AAAAGGAATAATTCTGACGATGTATCATAAGGTTTAATAACTTCACTGATACGCGTCTAAAATACAGGCTTTTACAATTTAATAAAGAAGATATTGCTAAACTCAAATGAAATTAATTAATAAAACAACTGGTAGGCTCAACTTATCACTCTGAACAAGAGCCTATAAATTAAACCGTCAAAAGTTACAAAAGGAAATGTCTTAAGCAGAGCAAAAACTTTATAGGCGTAACGTATCAAATTTCACCTTTCAGTGTATTTTAGAAAAGGTTTCAACAATTCATACGTGACGATGTAGCCCCTCGTAATCGGAATATAAATTTTGAAACGTGCTTCTGGCACTTTCTGCTTATTTAAGGATTATGATATTCTTATTTAAAAGTCAGAAAGGGGTATAATTTATACACCCTTTATCAGGCATTGTAGTAACCTAACTTTTTTTCAGTTTTAGATTTTATCATCAGGTTAAAATTGGTGGTATCTGTTAGTAAGGAGAACAGTTAATGTTTTATATTTTAATTTTCAGATTTATTCACATGAAAAAGAAAAAAATTTTGCTAATGCTGTAAATTGTTTTAAGTACGACTCACATACGTGACATTACACATGACTTTCCCGCGGTAAAATAGACATTTATTACTTATCTTATATACATACAAACATACATATGTCTTTATTAACACAACACTAATCGCTATTTCATAACCAAAACCTACAAACATCACTCATTCCACAACGGATATCGAGCTCTAGTCCATTAACATTACGACAGTAGAAAATGTATAAACTGATGGTACGAGTTTCTAAAAAAGACAGTTGTAACTGTCCTCGTACATATATGTATATGTGCTTATCAACTACATAGATAAAGATTAAAAACACCCGTATATAATAACTGGTTTTAAGGTAAACAGGCATTCCACAAATACATAATATCGATAAGTTTATTATACATCGATATAGGTATTGTACAATTTGACCTAGACATAGTAAACACATTTGTTTTCTGCAGATTTTTGCTGCAGACTTTTGTAAAAAAATTCTGGTTTTGTCTACTAAGAGCGGTCTTAATATGTCTTCATCCTACTACTACCTAAAACTTCAGCGACGCTTTCCCCCCAGTAATCCCTACTCTAGTACAGTTTTCTTTTTTATGCTAAGATAAAATGTTAAAGTCACTGTATTTTTTGCATAAAAAAGTTGTTTATAGTGTAGTCGCTTCTTGCAGTAAGAATAATAATGTTATGAATAGAAGTTAAACTGTAAACAACTAAGATATGTATTATCAACTCAATCTTCTTTGCGTTATAATTATTAACTTTAATGACTTAACTTAAAAACTTAACTTAAGTAATCAGTTGGAACTTGTAACTAATAGCATATCTGATAAAATGTTATATTTATGAGCAAATAGCATTACTTTTCTAAAAGTATTTTGTTAAATTAAAGGACTGACATAGAATTTTATTACTTTACCTCTTGAAATAAATTTTAGTACGTTATATTTAAATTGCAGTAAGTTTAATACTTTCATAAAGCAGTCTTTTGTTTAGACTTCTAATTGTCACGATCGAATTTATGAGAACCGAGAACATAAACATTGGAATCATTCTTTGATATATTTTGTTAGTATAAATTATGTGTTTGGAGGCTTGTTGTAAGCAATGCCGCTATATTTATTATTTAAAACTATATGTGTCCGTGTGGTGACGGATTAAGAATACAGAGTGTCACTGCAGAGAGAAGGAAAACTTGACACAAACCCTATACCAACCCGTCTGGCCAGCGTGGTATAGTAGGCCAAAACCTCCTTTCTAAGGAGAGGCCTATGTCCAGCAATGGACTGTTAAAGGCTGTTGATGTGATGATGTGATATGTGTTATTAGTTTGTAAGCCTTCTTTAAAAAAGAAAAACATTTATTCATTGTCAAAAGAACTTTGTCAACCAAAAAATTATTAAGGCCTCCCCGACTTTGTTCCATTTAATAATAACTTGAGACTTACATACAGCTGACTGATTGTGATTCCGAATAACCTTGATGTATAGAAATAACCTTCAGTTCTTGACTCTGATTGACACCTCGACTAACATTCTACACCAATATTAATTAGCATACGATACAAGGAATCTGTAAATACCTTGTTCATCTTTAAATAAAAACGGTAAGTGCGGGTAATAACGAATCATTTACTTATCATTTTCGTTAGCGTAGAATCAGAAAAATGATTTTATGTTATGTATTAATTTCTTTGTGTGTACACGTATCTCAATGCGTTGTTTCTGGTGACTTCAAGTCGTATAAAAACTATAAAATATACGAAATCGAAGGTGATAAATATGAAATAAATAAAACAATTACCTATTTACAGGTAAATTATGTAAGTGTTTATTTTCGTATAATTTTTGTTTTGTGGCATTTCTAATTAACCCATATTATATTATACCAGCTTTTGCACGCAGCTCCTCCCGCGTGTATTTCATCTATCGCGGTAAAAAGTAACATGTGTTACTCGCTGATAATGTAGAATAATATTGGTAAAAGAATTTTTGCAATCGGTTTAGTGGTTTAGGTGTGAAAGTGTAACAAACAAACATACAAATAAACTTATTTTCTTTTATAATATAAGTATTAACAACTGTTATTTATGCCAAGACAGATGTACCTTTTCTGGAAAGGGGTATTTTCCCCGGGAATGAGATGTTTCTGCGCACACGCGTAATAAATGAGAATATCACTAATTTCGAGAGTAGTTTCTAACTAGTTTGACGCAATATGGCGACGTATTACATTAAACTAGCTTGCCCGTGCCATAGTCACCGGCAATAGGTAACTACCTATTTTTTTTCTACCACAACCACACAACGCCATCTAGTCTCAAACTAAGCAGAGCTTGGTCGGTCGTCGAACCGTCAACCAAGATTAATATATTTATACTCCTAAATTAAGAGATGCTGTGATCTGTGATGTGTAAAAAAATATAGTTTTAATTCCACAATATCTTTACTTTATACTGGCTGCTACCCGCGACTTGGTTCGCCTTGAATTTGAAAATCGCTGCCTTAAGAGTTTAGTAGCCTCGGGTTCGATTCCCGGGCCGGGCAAAATTTTATAGGGTTTTTTCTGAGAGGAAAAATAGCTTAAGTTACTCCTTATACTGTTCTCTAGACAGCTACCTGGTAGTAAAATATTATCAGAATCGATCACGCTGTTTTGAAGATTACCCAGAACAAACAGACAGATAGACTTAATATATTTGAACTGGTTTTTCGGCATAGGTATCGTGTAAACTATTATTTTGATATTACAAACAGATAGTTCAATTTAATTAATTTGATAGATTAAATTAGAACATAGGGAAGTTTGTCATATATATTGTATGCATGTGTTGTAATATTTTCTAGAAACTACCATATCATTCGAGCAAAGGGAATAAGTGTCAAATAATGGTAGCACCAGATCTAGTACCCATCATTGAAAATATTGCAAGGGAAGGCGGACTTTCTACAAAAGTTATTGTGGAGGATTATTCAGAGTAAGATTTGTATTAGTTGCCTATTTAAACGCCTATTCTTTTTACATTACACTAAAGCTTACAGTTGTCCGTGTGGTGACGGATTAAGAATACGGAGTGTCAATTCAATGTCAAATTCATCCCGTGGGTGACATAAGAGGCGACTAAGGGAGCTAACGTAGGGCATCCAGCACTGCAAAGAGAAGGAAAACTTGACACAAACCATATTCCAACCCGTCTGGCCAGCGTGGTATAGTAGGCCAAAACCTCCTTTCTAAGGAAGCCTATGTCCAGCAGTGGACTATTAAAGACTGTTGATGTGATGATGTGTGATGTAAAAGCTTACAGTTAAAATAAAAAAAAAACCTCAATAAGCGTAACATAAAAGTTATTATGTATACCTTTATTTTTCAGAATTATAAAGACGGAAAAATCAAACAAATTGCGAAAACATGAGTTCTCTTGGACTGCCTACTACGATATCGACGATGTTAGTAATTTTAATTTTAATAAGAATATATTTTATACTTGTTTGGTGCAGGCGACTTCGTTCGCGTGGAATTTCAAACACGCTGCCTTAGTGGGTTCGATTCCCGGACCGGGCAAAATTTTATGAAGTATTTCTGAGAGGAAAAATAGCCTAAGTTACTCATGATATAGACAGCTACCTGGTAGTAAAATATTATCAAAATCAGTACAGCCGTTTAGAAGATTACCCGAAACAGACACTTGAATTTTATTTATTTATATAGAGAAACATCTATTTACATTATACTCGATGCTGTAAAACTACAATTTTTTAATTCATTAGCAGCATTTTGTAGCGTATTCAAGCAGAATATTGCAAAAAAAATTACCTTGCACTAAATAAAAATGAATAGCAGTTTCTGTTCACTAAAAAATAATGATTAAAAAGATATGTTCTTAGGCCGGATATTTAAAAATAAATGAAAGTCATCCTAATTTAAAGTTTCCTTTCTGCACGGTTGATTATTGAGGCCCTCATTTGCATCCACCAAACTGGATCCGGACCTATCATAAAAATATGTTAAAAATATGTTGTAATCGGAACTGAACAAACACATACTCGTAGAAACAGCCGTAGGATATCAGCAAGTGGTTTACGTTCAACTTCAAAGCTTTTTTTTTTAAATACAACTCCCGTACTGGGAATAAATCCTGTGTTGTGGGGGACTTTACAAACATACATGAAACGGACACAAAGAACACCCAGACTCAGAACAACAAAGTGTCGCTCCATGTGGGGATCGGACCCACAACTCTCAGCGTATTAACTGTAAGCGGGGCGGGGACGGGGCGACCGCTGAAACCAATACGCTATCCGTGCAGTCGACATTACCTAAAATACTAGCAAGATATGACCTAAAATAGTAAATATTGTAAGTGCTTGTAAACATAGCAACGAGCAACAAATTTAATTACTTTTTATAATTTTATGTTTCGAAGATAAATGGTTACCTCAAAAATATGAGTAAATCGTATCCAAAATCAACAAAGCTCATTATTGGAGGCAAAAGTTATGAAGGAAGAGATATTCTTGGACTTAGAATAAAAACTCAATCTAACAAGGAGAAACCTGTCATGTTTATTGAATCTGGTAAGTATTTAACTTATTATTATAGTATTTATAACTGTCCGTATGGTGACGGATTAAGAATCCGGCGCCGGAATGTCACCCGTGGGTGTCGTAAGTGCCTACTAAGGGAGCAAACTACGCAGAACAACTGCACTGTAAAGAGAAGGAAAACTTGAAACAGCCCTATACCGACACGTCTGGCCAGCCTGGTATAGTAGGCCAAAACCTCCTTGCTAAAGAAAGGCCTATGTTCAGCAGTGGCCTATTAAAGACTGTTAATGATGATGATGATTATTATATTATCTAAGTTTTTTGTGTTCTATTTTTTCTGTTGTATTCTGTGTTTTCATGTTCCTCAAGTCTGAGAAACATTTATCACACATAATTTTTGTTCCATGTAAGATACACGGTAACTAAAGCTTTTTTAAAGGTTTGTGCGAATATTTATAGGCATTCACGCGAGAGAGTGGATCACCCCGGCAACAACGACGTATTTCATCAATGAGATGTTGACAAATAATGATCCTGAAATTCAACGGCTAAGGAATGATTTTGATTGGCACATCTTTCCTTCTGTCAACCCTGATGGATATCATTACAGTTATACCAGAGTATGTAACAACGATTTCTTGTTTGATTTTGTGTCACTAGACCATAAAAATATTTGACTTATCAATCATCCTCACGAAACCTCACGTCAACGTACACGGACGTAACATATTACCGCAAACTGATCTACTAGTTCCCTGCAGTTTCATAACCACTCAGCTTCTAAGGATCATAATCCACCAATTAAATTCTGAGTCCCGACCAAAACCAAAAAATAACTACATTACTAGCACAAACTAATATAATCCAGATTACAGATCTTTTACACGTCATTATTTATCATACAGAGGGTTACTGGTTAAGTCGACCTAGATACTTTAAGGGATTGCCATTACTTCTGATAGATTTTGCAATGAAATACCATATCTCAAACCTAACCATTTTCAAGATATTGTACTTTCAAATTTTTAATAAAATTTTACGAATTTTTTTCCGAATAGTTTTTTTTAGGCATTATAGTCTTATTCTGTTCTATCTGCAAAGGTTATAATAGTCTAGGATAGTATCAGAATTCATAGAAAATAGACTTAGATGAAAGACCGTGAGTATTAGGAATAACGTACAACCCGGTAGTACCTAGTCGAAAACTTGGTTTGTATTATGGGATTCTTGTATTGTGGGTGTCGAAAGAGCCGACTAAGGGCGCAAAACAACGCAGACAACCAGCACTGCAAAAAGAAGGAAGACTTGAAACAAACTCTATACCAACCCGTCTGGCCAGCGTAGTAGTAGGCCAGAACCTCATTTTCTAAGGAGAGGAGAGGTCCAGCAGTGGACTATTAAGGGCCTATGATGATGATGGGATTCTTTCCTTTTCTGTTCGTGACTACCAATTGCTATTGTACTTTGATTTGTGATTCGAATATTGTTGAACATGATGACCTATACGAACGAGGAATATGTTCATATTTTTATTTCATTTTGAGTCATGAATAGAAAACGAAAGAGTCCAAAAATACAAGCCAAGTTTTCAACTATGTACTACCGGGTTGTACGTTAATTCTTAATAGACCCGGTCTTTCATCTACGTTTTTGCTATGAATTCTGATACTATCCCAGACTATCAAACATTGTTAGAAAGCTGATAATACGTACATGTTTTTTAATAAACCTACAACTTAACTGTCATAGAATTCTTTTAAATATTCATGAAAGAAAAAAAAAATATAATTTTATTTCTTTTTGCTAATATAAACCACTTCTAATATAAACTACTTCGGCCCAGTTTATTAAGTTAACTACAATTTGGTAATGGAAATTTTAAAACAATATATTAACAACACAAAAATATTATGATATGAGTTCTAAAAAAACTGTAATAGGCAAAATTTTTTCAATTTTATAAAATTCTAAAAGTCCAATATCTTGAAAATTCTTAGTTTGAGGGTATCTCATAGTCAAATCTGTTAATAATAATGGCTACCACAACCCCATAAAGTATCTAGGTCGACTTAACCAGTAACGCTGTGTATAAAGCAAGTGTTTTGCTGATACAGGACAGAATGTGGAGGAAGACCCGTTCAAAGTCGTCCATTTTTTGTAGAGGTGCCGACCCCAATCGCAATTGGGATTACCACTGGATGGGTACGTTATATTTCCTACAATATTTAGTACATAGAAAATGTTTTTATAAATAATTTATTTACTCAAGAAAATTGTAGCTATATCATATTAACTTTAATTATTATCTTATTAACTTAATATCTTATTAACTTAACTTAACTTATTATCATATTAACTTTAATATATTAACTTTAATAAGTTTAATATTGACTTTAATAAGTTGATTTTTGTTACGTACCTAATCATTCCAAAACGACTAAACAGATCTGTATAAATTTTAGCACAAACATACGCTTTAATTTGTAATTATTGACAATTTATACATAAACGCGAGCAAGGTTACTATCTTAGGTAATATATATACACAAGCTTAGATTACTCCGGAACTAAAATAGTTTTGACAACAATAGAAACTACCGACCAGCAGAAGTCTCATGTTTTATTTCAGACTACAGTACAGTGTGTACAGTTGAGAATGCCAAAGACAAGCACTATACTTTTCTTTAGCATCACATTTAAAAAAGAATTTTAAAAACTTTCCGTTTATCAGTTATGACCATTTTAAATTTCAGAAATTATCGCTCTTATTTCTCATAAAAAGAATAGATAAAATACGTAAATTTAAATCGAAGTTTTGTTTTAGAATTATTCAATCCATAATATAATGTATATATATATAAATATATATATATATAATGAGAAAATCATTAAAAACCAATTTCAAAAACATTTCATTTTATTCCTTTTTATATTATTCAGACTACGGTACATCAAAGGATCCATGTGATTACCAAACATACGGAGGCTCGAAACCCTTCTCAGAAATAGAAACTAGGACTCTCTCTGAGTATATCTCAAAGCTGGACAACCTCAAGGGATATATTGCTTTCCACGCCGACGCTCAGCTGTTGCTGTTACCGTACTCGGATTCTACCGAACATGACCAGTATTATGATGATTTGGTAAGTTCTCACTACTGCCTTAAGAAACGGTGGCAAGTGGTATACAACTGGCTTTTTCCATAAAAAAATTACAACTTAAATATTATTTTAATTTAAAATTTTGATATTCATTAATTGTTCGTTCTTGGAGACTAGATACCCATAACTTATATAAATCAAATTAACTAAGAACTCTAAGTTCCATTGTTCGTCTAACATGCCGCATTCAACCTCATTCCCAAATAACATTTTTATAATATTTGTTGCAGAAAAAAATAGGCCAAACTTCACTTGACTATGGATATGAAGTAAACAAAGAAAAGTATGAAGGTCCAGCCACAGCAGCCGAACTATTGTGTAAGAAAACTTTGTATTTTTAACACGTTTCCTATGTATTATAATTCCAACACTACTATACATACTGTGCTATATTTGAAAGACTTCAATTCTCCGTAGGATATAATTCTACAAGGAAAGAAGATGAAAAGCGTTGAGAGTTTCCTTGTCAGTTTGCAAAAATCCATTTTTCATCTGGACATAATGCTATTGCTAAATTAATTTCAAAGTTAGTCAAGTTAACAAACATTAAACATCTTTTTATTTACAAAATATTTTACATAAATAAGTGGTAATTACTTGTTTTATCAATCATCATCAACAGCCTATAACAGTCCACTGCTGGACATAGGCCTCTTCTTAGAAAGGAGGTTTTGGTCTACTATACCACGCTGGCCAGACGGGTTGATACAGGGTTTGTTTCAAGTTTTTCTTCTCTTTGCAGTGCTGTTCTCCTGCGTAGTTTGCCCACGGGATGAATTGGGGTATTGACATTCCGTATTCTGAATCCGTCACCACACACCACTTATGTAATGGTAGCCAATTACGAACGTAGTAAAAACACAGCTAATTGGAAGAAAAGGAAAATGAAACTACTACTTCAATTATATGCATTATGCAAATATGCTCAATGCATTATTTTACATTGGATTACTGTGACTAAAATTTCTTTAGGAAAATGTTTCAAGGGCCACAAGACGTATTGTTCAGATAAAAAATTAAAAACGTGTTTTTTTGATTTGATTTGCATTGATTCAGCTCATTCAGCATTCAAAACTTATTTTCGTTTTAGACAAAGCGTCAGGTGGCAGCATGGACTGGGTTCATCAGACAGTTGGTACACCTCTGACTTTCACTTATGAACTAAGGGGAAATCACTTTCATTGGCCTTCAAATAGAATTCCAGAGCAAGGGGATGAAGTAACACAAATGATGGTTGGATTGACTACAGAAGCTCGCAAGCTGGGATATTTTTCGAAGAATTGAACCTGTTCCAGTGATATAAAACTTAGGCTCATCATCATCATAATCATCATCAACAATAATTTAATAGTCCACTGCTGGACATAAGCAACTGGACATAAAACTTAGGCTAAAAATCGATAATCGATCGAGAAATACCGACTATCATAGTGAACAAACGTTATAGTATCCTTAATAGCAATCGAAGCAAGAAACTAATAGGGATAACGTTGCCTTCTCAATTTATTTTTAGTTGAAACTTATGTGTGGGTAACACAATTGTAAAACTGCACATTACCAAATTTGTCTCACCCGAAAACAATCGATTCATCTGTTTAAATTACACACTTCATAAATATCTGTTGTATTTTTATTCCATCTTCTTTTCTTTTTTATTTCATCATTCTTTGACGTTTTGACTGACAAGGCGTAGTTTCGTTGTACGTTGTAATTTTAATTGGCCTCACTTCTTTGTACACAGAGCACCATCTTAACTTGTTTATTAGATCTAAGTTTTTTGTGTATTATTTAGGTACTTTAGACGTGAGATTTTTTTGTACACACAAAAGCAGTGGATTGCAATTATCTGTGCTTAACGGGGGTAGATCCAAACCTGAAGACATAAACAAATTGTTGCAGAAGAAAGGAATATTTATGGTCCATTGACAGGAAAATAAAATTGTCCTGATCTTTTGCAAGTAAGTCTCTCATATCTCTTTGTACAAAAAAAATACTTTAAAAAGGGTCGAGGGAACATGTTTCAACTTCTTCAACTACGTGAAAGAGTTGGTTTTGTATTTGAAGGGAAAATCTTACTTTTTGCTAGATGGTAGCTCTGCTCTTGGAATTTAGTGTTTTACTAAAATAGCACAAAGCGGCTTTATTAGAGTTTTTACAATTATATACTAGTTGGGAATCTAATATACGAGTACTGACACAAAAGCCATATACTCGTACGTGACCTTACCTGAACGTGCGATAAAAGATAAAAACACTATTATATTTGAGAATCCACCGGACCTACCTATACCTGTCGTAGATTATGGCACATAGTATAATTTTACCTCTAAGTGTACACTAACAGTACCAAATTCGTTTTTTTTTTTGCTTATGAACTGTATCAGAAAAACAAAAGAAAAATGGTGGGAAAGCGTTTTTTTTTAATATCCCATATTTATTGATAATCAAACCAGCCAAAACAATACAACCAAAGAGATTTTTCTTCAATTCTAAAAATATATTCAAAAACACGAAAAGACTTTTTCCACATTCTATTATAAAACTATAATGTTTGCTGTTGTTTTTGTTAGTTATTTATTAACTAAAGTACAAAATTACTTCTTACTTCCACTAAAGGAAAAGAAGGACTTGTCGTCGGTTATGAGAAAGCTTGGAGTAAAAAAGTGAACCTGTCTTTTACTTTCATCATCAACAGTATTTAAGGGTGCACTGCTGGACATAGGCTTCTCCTTAGAAAGGAAATTTTGGGCTACTATACCACGCTGGCCAGACGGGTTGGTATAGGGTAGGCGCCTGGCCACAGGGGGAGTCTCCCTGGTGGTCGGGCGCATTGAGGCGCTGGGCTTACGGGTGGCCCTAGATAAGACGGAGGCCCTGTTATTTCATGGGCCCCGTCGTGGTCCACCCCCTGGCGCCTCAATCGTGGTCAACTCGGTCCTCGTACCGGTTCGGGCCCAGATGAAATATCTGGGCCTGATCCTCGACGGGAGGTGGCTCTTCGACGAGCACTTCCGACAGCTTGCTCCAAAGCTGGTCGGTGCTGCGTCTGCCCTAGGGCGACTCTTGCCCAATATGGGTGGACCCAGCGTCGCGACAAGACGGCTGTACACGGGGGTTGTCCGGTCAATGGCACTGTACGGTGCACCGGTGTGGGCGGCGGCTCTGACCGCCCAGAATAGGGTACGCCTCTGGCGCCCTCAGAGGGTAATGGCGGTCAGAGCCATACGCGGTTACCGCACCGTTTCTACGGAGGTGGCATGCGCGTTGGCCGGAACTCCCCCGTGGGATTTGGAGGCGGAAGTGCTCGCCGAAGTTTATCGGCGAGTGGCTGACTCCCGGGCGGAGAGCGGATTTCGCCCTCCGCCCGAGGATGTGCGCGAGTGGCGCGAAGCCGCTCGCCGAGCCACGATGGCTTCGCCGCCGTGGAGGCTCTCCAGCCGGTCATCGCCGAGTGGGCAGGGCGGCAGCACGGGACCCTTTCCTTCCGGCTGACGCAGGTGCTTTCCGGGCACGGTTGCTTCGGAAAGTACCTGCACACGGTCGCTAGGAGGGAACTGAGTCCCGCCTGCCACCACTGCGACTGCAGTGAGGACTCGGCCCAGCACACGCTGGCGGTCTGCCCCGCATGGGCGGCGCAGCGTCGGGCCCTCACTGCAGTCATCGGAGTGGATCTCTCGCTACCGGCCGTAGTACGCTCCATGGCCGGTAGCGACAGTTGTTTTACCGCGGTCGCAACCTTCTGCGAGGTAGTAATCTCGCGGAAGGAGGCGGCGGAGAGGGCCCGGGAGGACGACCTCCACTCGGACCCGATCCGCCGCCGGCGAACCGGGCGGCGGAGGCCCGCCTATCACAGCCTCATGCCGCCCTGAGTGTGGCCGCTGGTGGTCGGGGTGGGTTTCCCCTCCACCCGCATTAGTTTGGCCAGCCGCGAGGGGGCGGCGTCCGCGTGTGCCGGACGTCGCCTAAAGAGAGGAAAAATATATTGAGACGGAGCCCGCACCAGGAGCGGGCTGGCGCTAGGAGGGGTCCGGATGTCTTAACAACAGCTGTTCCCGGATCCCTCCTGTTACAGGCGCAGAGTGGCACACCGTGTGGTTTTAGTCGGTCCGAGTCCGACACACCACCCCGCCGCAAACCCCGGAGGGGTGACGGTCCGAGGGGATTTCCACACGTTAAAAAAAAAAAAAAAAAGGGTTTGTTTAAAGTTTTCCTTCTCTTTGCAGTGCCGTTGTCCTGCGTTGTTTTGCTCTTACTATACTCACGAGATGAACATGGGTGGAGAAACTCTGTATTCTTGATCCGTCACCACAGGATTAAATTTTACATTTAAACGGTTACTATAAAAGTGTGTTTTTAACTGACCTATAGTTTATAATTTAATATTTAGAATAAATACCTATAATTTTAGTCACGTACTTACTGTTATGGTACAATATATATTTGACGCAGGAATGACAACAAAATAAGGGCGACTATCGCAACTATGTAGATCTTGAGTGCTTCTATTCGTTCAAACAAATGCTTATCAACAAATATTTACATAGATAAGGTTCAATAATACTCGTACCCGAGGACAAAATTTTTGCGTCATGAGGCATTCCCCAGATACTTCAGACTATAAAGTCTAATGCATATTGACTTAGATTCTGTAGATATGCCATACCTACATCTAATAATAAAACTGAAGATCACTTGGTACTCTACAATACAATGTGGTATAAATTTTCAGAAGTGTTTCAATTTCATTCATCTGTAAAATAAATCAAACTAATTATTTCCAGTGTAAGCTAATACCATAGTCTTTCTTACGACAGCAGATTAACACACAGATATGGTCTCTTATAGTTTAATGTATTGATTACATATAATTTTTAACTTCATAACACAACTATTTTAAATGACATAATGCCGAAACATTAAATGAAAGGATGTATAAGAAATTATCTTCACATATTAAATATCTATCAATTATTTTACACATTACTGTTAAATTTATAACACAGTATACGTACGCCACTTTAAAAGTTTTAAAGAAACTAAAAATCCAACTGATATGGATATAAAAATTTTATTTGCTCTTTTCAAAGTACTCTCCACCAGCCTCTATACCAAGTTTCATGCGTTTAAATCCGTTTTCGAAACACTTTTTAAGTCTGCCGCAGTCTCTTCTTGAACGTTGTTAGCGCATCTTCCGGGCGCGCCGTCGTGGTGAAGTAATTTCGTAATGCAATCGATACCAGATACCAAGTCAAAGTAAAGAAACAAGCAATTAAAATTTTACGATTTCTGTTTCTAATTGCGTGTATCCAAAAATCAAAAATACAATAATAATATTTATTTTTTCCACGCTCATAATGTTGCTCATAACAATTAACAATCAACTTAATTTAAGTAAATATACAGTAAAAATTAAGTAAATGTACAGTAACAATTGTTTAACGGAGTACCGTTCAACCCGATCTATAAAAAAAACTCATAAGATAACATTCGCAGTGGCAAGCTAGTAGCCAGTAGCTAGGATGTAAAGCCGTAACAAATAAACAGACTCAAGTCCATATTCACAGTACTAATTAAAACATTTGTCATGTATTCTGTGTCCCTGGCCGCCTCTTACTCAAAGAGTGGCTCGAATTCTATGTCAACATAGATTATCGGATATTTAGCAAATAACTGTATCAGGGATCAGCAAATACCTCATTTATCTTTTAAATAAAAGCAGCGAGTGCGGGCGACATTCAACCATACAGTAAGTAATCATTTTGTTACGCATCGAAACAGCAAAATGATTTTATCCTTTTTGCTAGTGTTTATGTGTGTACATGTATGCTTTACTGCTGTTCTCGATGGGTTCAAGACATATAAAAATTATAAAATATACGAAATGGAAGGTGATAAATATGAAATGAATAAGATTATGAAACATTTACGGGACAATTATGTAAGTTTACCGTTCCCTTGGTATTTTTCTGTGATTTTCCTCGCTTTGTGAGATACAAATGCTTTGTACGTCTTTGTAAACTTTACTTACAGTAAGGGCTTACTGCTATAATACTTTTAATATAATAACTATATTTAAAAAAATTACATATTAAATGAACTGCTAAAAATTACCTTAAAATAAATAATTTATTCGTACAAATTACTAAAATTCGTACTAAAATATACGAGAACAGCCCCGCATGAATATTACAAGGAGCTATCATAACTTGTTATAATTATGTACTACAGCCAAACTATTTTTTTTAAATTTAAATTGTTCAAAGGCTTTTGCGTGTTTGTTGTTGTCAGTTTAAAAAAATCCTATTTTAACTATTAATGCTTTTAGTGAATTCGATAATTTAGTTTTTGCTATTTAATAAGCCAAAATATTTTAGATTTTTATATATAAGGCAGCTTAAGGATTTGGATAATAATCAACGTTGGTTACAATGGTTAGCAAAACTATAATACAAACTAGTGAATTACACATATCTTAGAGATTTATTGTCTTGCTCAAAGAAGGTTCTTGCTGGTATTAGAGGTATCTGAGAAGGGAAGTAGATAAACATTCAGCAAACACTACCTCTTTTTTCACCGTTTAAAAACACCTAAAGGTCATCGCCTCACCGGGGTAAACCCTGCAATAATGAGAAAAATCTAATCAACTAAGCCCACACGGTGTTCCGTCACATGTGAGTTGACTGCACGGATGGCGTAGTGGTTTAAGAGCTCGCCACGCCGCTTCCTACTACGCTGAGTTGTGGGTTTGATCCCCACATGGGACACCACTTTGTGTGATCCACAAATTGTTTTTTTGAGTCTGGGTGTTCTTTGTGTCCATTTCATGTATGTTTGTAAAGTCCGCCTTAAAAAAAAGAGATATATAGATATCATGTTCATAGGTAGACCCTAGCAGCTATTCCAATTTTAAACTATATTCAACCTAATTTCAAACTAATTTCCTTTCGAAGAAAGCTTGGAAAATTTGTAAAAAAAACAATATGTGAGTCTTTGACAAGGGGTTCTGGTACACCCTAAGTAGGAAGTCTCGGAAACCCTGGCAGACCCTTGCAGTTTCTCCTTGGCGAAAAAGCCTTGAGCTTCCGGGTGTACGCGAACATGACCCAACTAAATGTATTTTCTTTTTAGGTATTATGTCTCAAATAAACCATTTGTATAATAGGGGCTAAATTAGTGTCCGCTAACTTTGTATGCATATAAATTCAAATTATTTAATTTTTAGGAGTTACCATATCATGGAAGCAATGGCAACAAATGTCAGATGTTGGTAGCACCAGAATTAGTACCCGTCGTTGAAACCATGGCAAAAATAGGAAAAGTATCTACGAAAGTAGTTATCGAAGATTATTCGGAGTAAGTAAATTATTATGTAATTATATTGAAAAAGGTATAAACGTCCTCGGGAATAGTATTTTGATTATTTACTTTTTCCACGTTGGCGGTGAAATCCATCAAAGTTACAGTAGTATTATTGTCAATTACACACAGAGATGTTTGCTATTGAGGGATTCTTCAAGTCAGTCAGTCAGTCAGTTCAGATCCTCAAATATAGATTGTAACGAGCATACCCTCTTCAGCAAGTTTATAAAAGAAAACAAAACGCAACCCGTGAACTAACAAACACTGCCATCACCATTAGTTTAACTTCACTTGATGGTGCTTTAAAAGAGCAAGTTCACAAGACGCAAAAAGTAACCTAATCGCTTAAGATTTACCTGTTATGTTTGATGAGTTCCCTCGATTTCTAAAGGATTCTCTAAACCTGGCCTTATTGAAATAGAACCAACTAGAAAATTTCATATTGAACAATAGTACTCTAGTAGTAGTAATAGAAAATAAGCTCTATCGCAAATAATCAGGTAACAGATAAAAAAAAAACGAAAAGCAAAGGCAATCGTATTTTTAAAATTTATTAATTTTTAAAACCTTTAAAAGTGGTTCATAATTTAATTCGTCTTTAATATGCGAGTTATGTAAAAATGACTGTTAGAAGTTTCTGGTGTGGTTGCGCTGTAAGGATATAAAGAAGTACATTACACGACGTTTGCGGTAATAGATACGCCAGTCTAACCCACAAACTCCTGGACGTAATATATCTGTTCTCGTTCGCCCCATGAGGCAGTAATGCCTGTGACTACTATACTTCTTCTCTGATGTCTTTCACCTTATTAACGAATCAATTGGGGAAAATTGGAAAGATTAACTCATTATTGTCATCAAAATTATTCGAAATCGTAAATATTCGTAACCTATTTATTTGAGACATAATTATTCCAGAATCATTAAGATGGAAAAAGCTAATCCTCTGCGCATAAAGAGCTTTTCTTGGAACGCCTACTATGATATTGACGATGTGAGTATCTTGGATAATATAAGGATAATTTATTTTATATTTGTTATAGAGGTATTACAGAAAGTCGGGTTCTATAATAGCCATCGTAAATGAAATAAAGCGCTAATAATGTTACCATCTTCAAAGCGCTGATATCATAATGAATTTTAATAAACTGCATTCTTCGTTAGTTACTTTTCTACGCTTAGGGGTGGCATTTCTTCTCAAAGTATGAATAACAATAAAGGGAAGTACACCCTCAAAAATCAAAAGGAATTTTCCAAACCATTTTATAAATTACGGAGTTCTTCTGAGGTAATAATATAAAAATGTATGGATCATCGCCTCCTTTTTTGGAGTTGGTTAAAATGATGATTATCAATATAAACACTAAAGAACTATGATAGTTATCTAAATCTTATAGAACGAAAAGTTACAAATATTACTATCTAGTTTAATGTGTCTAATTTAATAATAATCATGTAAGTTATGCTCAGTTGCGTCATACTAGATTCGTTTTATACGTAACTTTACGAGTAAAAAGTCTTTAAAATTCTAGAATTTTTTCTTTAATTTATATTTTTACATGTTTTTTGTTTCAAAGATTTATGGCTATCTCCAAAACATGAGCCAATTGTATCCAGAGACAGCGCAGGTCGTAGTTGGAGGACGAAGCTATGAAGGTAGAGACATTCTGGGACTTAGGATCAAATCGCCGACTCGCAATGTTAAACCGACCATGTTTATCGAGTCCGGTATGTATTTCACCTAAACATCTCTTGTAAGTTGAGTTGATAATGTACCACGCAGGTTAACGGCTAATTCACCTTAAATAATAACTTACTTATAGTTAATTAAACCTTAAGCAAAGCCTTAGTGTTCTCATCTCGTTACTTTTAACAAAAAGACACTACATTTGAATTGTTAAGTCTGATATCCCTTCTCTGGAACCTTTCTTTTTTGAGAACGAGAAATTTCTTCACGAGTTTTTTTTAAGAGGCTTACTAGTAACCGCAGTTACTAGCACCCACGACCTCTTGATCGCAAGTCCAATGCCTTAACCACTAGGCTACCACTGCTTTTATTCTGGTTTCTTGCAATAGACACAATTATGACACAATACTGTGCGACGTTAGACTAGACCGTTTTAGTTCTATTGATTTACAAGATAAGATGAAAGATTTTATGACCTTTTCGCTTACAAGGTCTATGTCTGTCATATTAAACCAGTGGTTTTCTTTTTTTTATACTCCTAGTATGTATGTTTGAAAATAATTTAAAAAACATCTATAATAAAAACAATATTTGTTTGTTCGTGTTTAATATGTTAGCTTGCCAGTTATCCAATCACCACATGCCGATAAATTCGGCAAAAGTCAAATTCAAAAAAAAGAACGTACCATCCTCGATGGAAAAAAAAAACATTTTAACGCAAACGAAACTACGAAACTGCTTTACAAAAAATGTTTATGGTTAAAAATATGATCCATATTAATATAATGATACCAATTCTCCGTAATTCAAGCACTTTCATTATTCACATTCAATATCAGAGCAGATATTAAAGATTATTAATAAAATATACATATGATTATAGGCATTCACGCGAGAGAATGGATTACTCCGGCAGCGACTACGTACTTCATCAATGAGCTGTTAACTAGTAAAGATCCTAAAATTCAACGGTTAAGGAATGAATTTGATTGGCACATCTTTCCTTCTGTCAACCCCGATGGATATCATTACAGTTATACCAAAGTATGTAACTACACATTGCCTTTTTACAATTTTACTTCAGATTCATACAAGACGGCATGCTATCGTGTGCCAAAATATATTTTATATTTCTTGTTAGTTAAAGAAGTAACTTGCAAGTTTTAGCTTACCTTTAATAAAAATAACATTAAGTTAGTAAAATTTTATAATTGAGCAGGACTGAAAGATCCTTATCTTTCATACAAACACAAAACATGATTGAGTAAGGGGCAAGTAACGCAAAAACAAATCGAAACAACCGGTAAAGTCATCAAAGCATATGATTTTTTTTTTCCATTTTATCAGGACAGAATGTGGAGAAAAACACGTTCAAAATCTTCAGCTCGGTGCTATGGCGCTGATCCCAACCGCAACTGGGATTACAACTGGCAGAGTAAGATACACTGGCTACTTTATTTTTCTAAAGTTGCTGAAAAGAGTAGTTTTTGCTAGTCAAATACATACATATAAAATTTATAGGGTGGCCACCCTATAAATTTTATATGTATTTTATATGTATTTTATATGTAAAAATGGGACACTATAGCTTGACACACTTGAGAATGCCAAAGACAAGCACTTACACATACTTTTCTTCAGCATCACATTTTAAAAAGAATTTTAAAAACTTTCCGTTTAATAGTTATAACAATTTTAATTTACAGAAATTATCGCTCTTTTTTATCATAAAAAGGAAAGATAAAATACGTAAATTTAAAGCAAAGTTTTGTTTCAGAATTATTCAATTCATTAATGAGAAAACCACTAAAAACCAATTCCAAAAACATTTCATTTTATTTCTTTTTATATTATTCAGACTACGGTACATCAAAGAACCCATGTGATTACCAAACATACGGAGGCTCAAAACCCTTCTCAGAAATAGAAACTAGGAGTCTCTCTGAGTACATCTCCAAGCTGGACAATCTCAAGGGATACGTTGCTTTTCACTCCGACGCTCAGATGTTGCTGTTACCGTACTCAGATTCTACCGAACATGACCAGTATTACGACTCTTTGGTGAGTATCTTTCTTATGACAATGAATGTTTTATGTGGTAAAAAAAAATCCTTGACCTTCAGTTTTTCCTATGGTATTTTGTGCCACGGATCTAAGTACCAATACTCTTTTCACTGTAGGCTCACTAATATGTATTAAATACGCTCTACATAGTGAGGAGGTTTCTGTCTTTGGAATTGTATCTCATTGTATCTCATTATCTATTTAGTATAATTTTAAACTTGTATTTAAAAATGTTCTAATTAAAAAGACTTAAATAAATAGAACTAATAATAATAATTTAGATATATTGCTCACTGTTGTTTTTGAATTTCCAGAAAATAATCGGTCAAACATCACTTGACTACGGATTTCAAGTGAACAAAGCAAAATATATGGGTCCGGGAACGGCAGCAGAACTTTTATGTAAGATATTTCATATTATTTGTACATATTGATCATCATCATCATCAACAGCCTATACTAGTCCACTGCTGGACGTAGGCCTCTCCTTAGAAAGGAGGTTTTGGCCTACTATACCACGCTGGCCAGACGGGTTGGTACAGGGTTTGTTTCAAGTTTTCCTTCTCTTTGCAGTGCTGTTGTCCTGCTTAGTTTGCTCCCTTAGTCGGCTCTTACGACACCCACGGGATGAATTGGGGTGGTGACAATTTGTATTCTTAATCCGTCACCACAGGGACATATTGAGAAAGCACTGACTAGCTCAAAAAGCAGTTAGATTCTAAGAACAACACACATAAAGGCAAAGAAAATATGCGAGCAGTTTCGTAGCTAATTTATTTTAAATACTAAAATCAGTTACACTCACACTAACAAAACAAAGAATTGCGAGTCCGACTCGTACACCGATGATTCTTTGAGTACAAACATATAGATTTATTCCCTGTAATTTTGATAACAATATATCATCATCACCTGAACCGAAAGATGTTCACTGCTGGACTTAGGCCTCCCCCAAGGTTCAGTTCAATGATGTTTAGTTGTATGATATAAGTTTACAGTTATTGGTTTTTATTTTAGACCAAGCATCTGGCGGTAGCATGGACTGGGTCCACCAAACCGTTGGCATACCACTTGCATTTACATATGAACTGAGAGGACTGTATTTCTACTGGCCACCTAAGAGGATCTCGGAGCAAGGCAATGAAGTTACACAAATGATGCTTGGATTGATCACCGAAGCCGCCAATTTAGGATTTTATTAAATAGTTCGTCATTTTATGTGTGTAGCTAGTCGCTTAACTTCAAAATCCGCGAAAAGCTGTTTATTCAATAAATATATTAAAAATATATTTCAATCATTGAGACACTTTTTGCCCCGCACAACCAATCTGTGAAACGGGTTATCGTGTGCGGTAATTCCGGACCGATACGACGATCAAACCTTCAAGAAAAGATCGTACTCGTGGCGGGTAAATGAACAAACAAACTTACCTCACATTTATTATATACCAGCTTTTGCACGCGGCTCTGCCTTTATATATCTTAAATTTACTCGACTGTTTTGGATATTTACACAACATTTACTTTGTGAGTAATAAATTTAATATCGGCAAAATAAACAACCTGTATACTGACCTGGCTTTTTTCCACTAAGATTTATATCACGAGCTGTAAAAATCACTCCCAAGCTTGCTATTTATATTGTAAACTCCATATTATGGAAGTTATTCCGAGGTACGTAATTAAACTTATTAGTATGTACCGGAATATTCAGTAAATATTACTAAGTAAATATTAATAGCATTAGAATGAAGTATCCGATTGGAATTTCGCTATTTCGAATGATATTTTGTAAAGCTACTAAGTTGCTATGAGACAACAAAGTTGCACAGTCAGATGCAATTTTTACATACGTTAAGCAACAACCCTTTAAGCACTGGGTTCAATCTAAAAAAGGTAATTGAAAGGTAAAAAAGATGAAACTTTTAAACCGACCATGACATCTTTTAACTGTCGAAATTTTATATTGAGATGACCTTTTACTTTTGGATATAAAAAAATAGAGATATTGGGGTTATGTATATAGCCATCACTAACTATACTAGCAAAACAATTTACAATTAAGTATTCATTCACTTTGGATATGCTACAGGATGGAGGATTAACTGGTATCATTATCTGCCAACAAATTTATATAATTTATAAAGTTATCATCATTGCACACGACACTAAATCAATACATTGTTCTGTTCTGTAAAATCTAACGTTATTGTCAATACAGTTTAAAAAAAACGGAGATAGTAGTAGACAGATTGAAATATTATATTTAATATCTTTATATATAATACTTCAATGGTGTACAATAAAGAGATAAATAAATAAATCGGAAACATTTATTCAGTATGACAGACAGTTTTTGAGCAAACTTTATATAAACTAAATGACTACACACAAGCTTGGTGAAGCATGTATTTTGTACTGTGTGGTGTTAGTTTTTATCAACTTCGCTTGATGTAGCATCTTTTGCATTTTTATAAACCTCAGTGATTTTCAATTTAATTAATAATTCTAAATGGCTTTGCAAAATGGTAAATAAATAAATAAAATAAAGTAACGCATACTTCGTCTAATCATCACACACACATCACACATCAACAGCCTTTAATAGTCCACTGCTGGACATAAGCCTCTCCTTAGAAAGGAGGTTTTGGCCTACTATACCACGCTGGCCAGACGAGTTGGTATAGGGTTTGTGTCAAGTTTTCCTCCTTTTTGCAGTGCTAGTGTCCTGCGTTGTTTTGCGCCCTTAGTCGGCTCTTACGACACCCACGGGATGAATTGGGGTAGTGACATTCCGTATTCTTAATCCGTCACTACACGGACAATGACTAATGAAAAGCTTAAATTTAAAGACTTGGAGTGGTGCCCGATAAAAATCGTGGGGAAAATAATTTCATTTATTAGGTCACTAACCTTCACCTACTGGTATTTTATCTATCTACTAATTTTAACTATAGTCTATATCTGTGCCAAATTTTGCCTAGATCCATTCAGCAGTTCTAGCGGGACCCAGAAGATACTTGAAGAACAAACTTTAGCATTCATAATAGTAGTAAGACTATGTTTGTTTGTAGGTACAAATTAAGTAATGTATATTTTTATAGTATGCTAGCTGGTACCCGTGACTTCGTTTGCGTGGAATTTGAAAAACGCTGTGCCATAATGGATTCAATTCCCGGGCCGGACAAAATTTTATAGGGTTTTTCTGAGAAGAAAAATAGCCTAACAATCGACTTATTGCAGCAACGATTTCCAGAACACATTATCTCACGAAATTCTGATGTCAACGCAACCAAGATCGTGCGATTTAACGCCGTGTGATATTTTTCGTGTGGGTTTTGTAAAATCTCGGGTTTGTGCGAATAAATCAGAAACAATTCCTGAGCTCAAATCAGAGATCCAACGCGTCATCGGTGAGGTACAGCCACATCTCTGTGTAAAAGTCATGGCAAATTTAATGAAAAGAGTAATGGCCTGTCATCAGAGCCGTGGGGGCTATTTGGCCTATATTTTATTCCATACTCAATCGGAACATGTTTTCTTTATAATCCAATAAAAATATCACAACTCTTTCATAAAATACGTGTTTTTATTTTAAAATGAAAAAGTGCACTCTTACTGAGACACCCTTTAGTATTAAAATATTATCAAAATCGGTCTAGTAATTTAGAAGATTTCCCGGAATAAACACACTTACACACACACGGTTTTTAGGCATAGGTATGGTACAAATAACCGTGTGAGCATGAAGAAAATCCGCCCCCAATTCTAGATAGTATGGATTGAATAAAATCACAATCACACGTGATCAATCATATAATCACACCTGTGACTTATTTACAAAGCCACTTAACCAACCACTTAATTATTATTATTACGCTAGCGCAAGACTAGCGAAAGGTCTAAATCTAAAAAAAAGGTCGTAATCTTTGGTAAAAATATATTTAATTGATTTTAATGGCATTTATCTTTGTCTATAATGAAATTACAATCACATGTGAAATCGCGGTAACTAAAGCCAATCACTTCATCAAATGATTATGATTTAAAAGTAGCATTAATGCCCACGTCTAGTGGGTAGTTGGTGATCAAGTGTGATTAACACTCCCTCGGTGCAAGACAGAAGAATTGCCTGACAGTGGTATTCTGTGAGGCCTTCTTGTCATACACGTAACGTGTAATTTTTATTTTTCTTCAACTTATAAACAATATATGTAAGTATTTAGATCTATTCTGGCAATTATCAAAATTTAAATTTTATTTAAAAACTATTATTGTTCACATTCTTTTTTGTATCAAAATAAATAAAAGACTGAAAAAGTCTATGCAGAAACTAAATCAATAATTTAAACAGTACACCTTCAATAAAATCAACTAGTTTTTTTTTTACACGAACGTTTGTGTCCAAAAAAATTAAATTATATAATCAAACAAATAATTTAAGTAAATCACAAAATAGTAGTTACGATTAATTTTAAGAGTGCACTTGAGCTGTCGTTTTAAGTTTACCATCATCATTTGTTGTCTTAGTCTTAGTATCCTTGTCAAAAACGTCATCACCGTCGCTATTAGCTTCTAAATTTGTAATCTGAAATACACAATGTTTTTAATATAATTCTATTCACTAGAAAAATAGCAGTATTTAGAATTATTATATATTTTCAAATTCGGCTCAATAAGTTAACGCTAATACACACAACTCCACTGAACGATCGTCTAAAGGCGGATACAGACATTAAGAGGTATCTGCCGCAAATGCCTCGCATCGCATGCCTTGATATTAATTTGCCTCGAGTAAAAACAAAATCGGTCGGACCGATCCAACCGCGTGCGAAGCACTGGACTCGCAATGTACCTTCGTACCAATCGTACCTTCAACTGTGGTATCTACATGTAGAAAGCTATAAAAATAATTATCACACAAGATAGCATAGCTTAGTTTCGACTAAATAAGGTATGGTTATTTTTTTTTGGGTACGTTAATAAACTTAAGATATTATCGTGGACTTTTAAAAATATTTAAGAATGTTCTTACGCCTTCAACGCCCTGTTCATCCGCGGCAGAAGAAATATGAGTGTTTCGTCTCTGCAATAAAAAAACGTGTGTTTATTAATTTAATTTAATTCAAAGGAAACGAAAAGGAAAAGTTTAGTATAGAATTTAGTACTTTGATTAAACTTTTTGATTTATTTAGTTTAAAATACATCCTTACAATAAAATCAAGTTTTTGATGTCGAACAAAGTGTAATGTCCAAATGTGCTTATAAGATTAATAACAAATTCATCATCATTAATTCAGATGAGTGGAGGGCCAAGTTTAACATCACAAAAACTGAGAGCCTTTGACTGGGCTAAGTGAGGATGCCTGTCGGACCATTGCCAAAAGATTGATATCGAAAACATGTACATTACTGTAGTATATGTAAATTAAAAAATCAGAGCTTTTGTTTGAAAAAATCAGAATTAGATTCTTCATTAGAGTTCTTTTTTTTAGTTTATTTTTTATCGCAACCCTCTTCATGCATCATGCAAAAGATTACAGGAAAGTAACTTTTTGGCCACAGCTTCATATGCGTCAGTCTTGTTTACCATGGTGAGAATGCCACCCTGGTATTAAACTATCTGTGTAGCAAATTTCATGGAAAATTTCAGTTTCTCCGTCGTAGAGTAACAAAAAAATTTACAATCTCAAACAAGTGTATTATATTACTAAGTGTATAAATCTTGCTACTATTTAAGGGCTACTTACAGTGCTTCTTTGTCGGATACTTTCTCTATGAACGAGCAGTTTCTTTTTCTCTTCTCTCTTAAAGAATCCATACTGCAGAAAAAACAAACATATTGTTACATTACACTCCTTTTTTTTCTAAATATTTTAGTCATTTATAATCATTAAAACATTGCCGTCTGAAGAGATTGTTTGTAATACTTAGAGTTGATCTTTAATAGAAGCGCAGAAAGGTATAATTTATGTATATTATATTTTAAAAATACTTGTAAACGGTTAAGTCAAATTATAGACATCCAGTATAAATGTAGATTTGTCATGATACGAAAATCTTATAATGATAGCTTAAGTTATACTGAACATAGAAATACAAGAATGACTCAACGTAATGTTACGAGCGGTGTATATAATAAATAAGAGTTGTCGGTTAATTACTTTATTTACACTCACTACTAAGAATCACTATATTTCTTGTTAATCGCACTAGGAATTCACTCCGAAGTTAATTCGCTAAAAACGAAACTGTCTCGAACGGCCAACACCCTCCGCTTTTTTTTTATTGCGCTTTTGAATTTTACTAGAAAGTTCCTAGTCCGTTCCAGACAAACACGAATATTCCAGAATCAGTCCCGTGATACTTGCAGCGCCATCTAGCGCTGTAACGATCAGAACTACTCGTATTAACCACAATCTTAATCGATGTACTTTAGTCGATACTAGATGGCGCTGTCCTCCACATTTAATCTTATGGCGCAACAGTTATAATATATAGTAATGACATATGGTGCAAGTAATCTGTAGTAAAAACCACCGACCTAATAGATTATGTTAAGGAATTATATATCTTACTACGATAAAAATACATGTTATTATTGTTTTTTACTATAACTGTTTTATATGAATGCTTACCTTATATAAAACTATGAAGATCGCAATTAACATCAGAAGGCTAACGACGCCGGCAATTACACCGATGAGCAACTTATTTTGACCAACTGCAAGTTCTGTCCCAAACTTCAACACACTAAAAATGCTGAAATCAGAACAGTAGTGATTTAATTAAAGGAATAAATACTGTTGAACGGGAGGGTCATTAAAATAAATGTAATCTTATATTTCAATCTATTGGAAAAATATTGTTAAGGTGATACGAATATTCCATGGAAAAAGGAAACAAACTCGTAATCTTCCTACTCGTTTCCCAATAAATTTAAAATCGGCACAAATGTACAACACTACAAACAGGTTTTGGCTGGTTCTCTTTATGGCCGGCTGTGTGCTTTTTCTATTTGGAAATCATTGGGATACCCCACCGAATGGCCGGTAATGTAGTTATTTTAAACTCGAACCAACGAAAACATCATAATTCGCTGCAAAACTGACTAAACGTAGTTTTGTTTGTCCTACTCCTAGAGTGTAATTTAAGCCCGCGTAGGGGCCGATGGGCTAGGTGCCCCGCGAGCTGCGGAGGAGGTGGTTTCAAGGTTGATCGTTGAATTCATCTGCGACGACAAGCTCGCGTGGGACCGCCGGAGCCCCGCAGCGCCGGAGCCATGACAGATATGCTGCATGCTGCATACTTGCTGGCTTTATTATTATGGTAAGAAATACAAAATACGAAAAATATGGGCAAATTTCGATTTTTGCGAAAACTTGTAAATACCAAAATTTACCTTAATTTTCAACTTTTTTTATTTTTCATGATTTTCTCGTTACTTGTGCTGAAAGACCTTGCTTCTAACCAAAATACACAATTCTAGGTCAACCAGAAGTATCCTATAGGTTTTGGGTCGAAAACCTATGTGGTAGTTCCCGTTGACCTAGGATCACGAAATTTGGCAAAAAGAAACGTCTTACAGCACAAATATAGGAATAATTCCAAAAAATTGAAAATTAAGATAAATTTTGGTTCCTACAAATTTTCGCGAAAATCTACGTAAAATCTGTTTAGGTATGGAACCCTCGGCGCACGAGTTCAACTCGTACCTGACCGGTTTTCAAATTTTTAATAGATATGAAATGTGTGCCAAAAAGATGATTTTCACTGTAAACTTCCTGAAATATGAAATGATGAAATTTATGCTCAAAGACGATTCTGACTATGAACTTTCGGCGATATGATAGTTCTACTTTTCAATTATTATGGATAGAAAGTTTATACCTAAAGATGATTTTGACTTACAAAATTATGAGTTTTGAATGTATGATAAATACTCATTTATCAGACACTTGTCTGCCAAACGATTTTCTTCGAAATGAAGTTTGTGCTATCCTTTGTTATGCAAAATAATATTATGACAAAAAGTTCTGCTATAAAGGGTAGACCCAATAAACAGGGAACCAGGTATAACCTAGGAAGGAAATCGCTGGTACCCCGATTGACCCCAGGCCATCTATGGCTTAGTTACATAATTATATTAAATAATAACTTGAGACACTGCGTAAGTTATAATTTTTTATAATTTTTACTTTTATTATTCTATAACTATCTTTTTATATAATAAAACTTTATGTTTCTGGAACAAAAGAAGAGAAACTCCGATAGCCTGGTTGCGCGATACATCTTAATATATATAAATCTCCTGTCACGATGTTTGTCCGCGATGGACTCCTAAACTACTCAACCGATTTTAAATTAAATTGGCACACCGTGAGCAGTCTGGTATAACTTAAGAGATAGGATAGCTTAGATCTTTAATTATAGTCGCAATTTTATTTTATTGCAAATTATTGGTCTATAATTAATTGACAGGCACAATTATCTGTTAACTCCAAAAGATTCTAACAGATGTCGATACTTTACGACTGGATTGAGTAAGTAATCAATAGATGGTACTGCTATGGTAAACCGACATAATGTATATGGCAAAACAACGTTTGCGGGGTCAGCTAGTTAGTAATAAAAAATACTTAGTGTGACTATATTTTCTTAGATATCACTGCCGCACTCAAGTTTGTTTTTCGTTTTTGTTTGTAAATGTCACAGTATATAAATATCAGCTCTTTTGCTTATATTTATATACTGTGTAAGCCAAGCTTGTTGAAATATCTTCTTTCTAATATGCCAGTATAAACAATCACGGTTATATAATAGAAAATAATATGAGCAAAATAAATATTTCGTGAAAAGCGAAACACAATGAGGCGACGTCGTTGTTATAATTGGATTCATTCACGTAATCCTCTTTTTATTTTTCGATTAGCGTCCGTATTGCTCACAATAAAATATTCTGGATGCTGATTTTATTAAGAATATCCCTATTTAGAATTGCAAAGGATTTTATAAAACAATGGGGTACAATAAGAGCAATCTGAATTTTTAATGTCGGTTATTAATGAGGGTTGTATGTTGCGAAGTCTACTTGATGATGTCCTACATTCTACCTTAACGCAGTTTTTTCGTCCGTGTGGTGACGGAATATTTAAGAATACAAATTGTCACCACCCCCAATTCGTCCCGTGGGTGTCGTAAGAGCCGACTAAGGGAGCGAACTAAGCAGGACAACAGCACTGCAGAGAGAAGGAAAACTTGAAACAAACCCTAAACAAACCCGTCTGGCCAGCGGGGTATAGTAGGCCAAAACCTCTTTTCTAAAGAGAGACCTATGTCCAGCAATGGACTAGTATAGGCTGTTGATGTGATGATGTGTGATGCAGTTTTTTCGTTTTATTTTATTATACACACCGATGTGTAGCATCATCATCGATTATGATGAAACGACCGACTACGAGTAGATGTTAAATTATAGTTAAATTATAGTTTTACAATTTATTTGTTATTTCATATCAATGAAGATTTAATGGGATTTTTAATAATATTATTTGTCACTAAAATATGTCTTTTTTTTGTCGGCACAGTCGGATCACGTTGACGTTTTATCGTGTTAACTTAATGCGTTCACAAAGGCTTAAGTTAAGTTAAGGATAATTCTAAACAGCTAGTTGCAGCAATAACCATGAATGAGAATTTGAAATGGATTTTGTTTTGCCGAGTCCCCAAACTGAGTATGGATAAACGTTTATGACAATATGACATTATGAAGTGCGTTTTTGTTGTAACACAATAAAAATTACATTAATTTTGTATTTACTAACCTCTTAGTCAACAAACTTACCTCGTTTTTTTAATATCTTTTGTTGGGATCAAGTGCAACTGTATGGTATACTCCACTTTCAGTTTCTTGTCTTTTAAATGAGTTTCTAAAAAAGATGCATAAATAAGTATTATTCTCTAAGACTTTTATTATTGTGTTAGTTAATTTTTGAGCATAATTTGCCTTACAAATATACAGCATTCCACAGTTAACAGAACACAGCATTCACTGATTCATTAAAAATTACTTTTCACGACAATGAGAATAAGAGCAAATTGAGTATTACCACGTTGAGTAGAGTTAAAATTTCAACAAATAAATAACTAAATCAATTAAATCACAACACAAAAATGTAACTAAACTATAAGCAGTATTAATTATATAAAAATGTATACAAAGTTTATTTTTAAAGAAAACTTCTGCAATATCCGATGTCGCGGGAGACTTTACAAACATTCATCAGACGTTCACAAAGACCACCTAGACTCAGAACAACCATTTGTGGGTCACACAAAGTGTTGCAACTAACGCTTTCGAAATAATAAGTCATATAAGTATCTGTATTCATATTAATGATTAGTAGAGTAAATACCCTTAAATAGAAGAAGAGACATATTCATATACTCACCTAAATCCTTTCTTAATATATAAGTAGTAGCAATTACTTTGAGAGTAGTGTTCGGCATAATATCTAAACTGCATTTGCGAACAAATTCTGTCGCGGAATCGAATTCTTTACATATGAATGTACCCAATGTTGCCTTAAACAAAAAAGAAAATTTAAAATTATTGATTAGTAGCATGTAGTCAAAAATTCAAATTTTAATTTATTGCAAAAATAGATTTTAAGTGTAATATTTTAGTGCCCATTTTCCTAAATTTATTAAATAACAGGTAAGTGTGAGAATTGTTATGTAATTTTTTAGCAAACGTACCTTAAACTTTTCTATGTTAACAGTTTTCTCTGTTGAAACTGTAGCGTAAATATTTTTCCACGTTACTTTTCCATTATTAGAAATCTGAAAGAAAACTGGCATTTAATAAATTGTAATCTATTATAAATAAATAAAAATTTAAGAAATTTATTTAGTAACCATAATGGAACAATTAGCCACTGGCGCCTGGATGTTACTATAAAAATTAAGTAAAAAGTGTTCAAGGTATTCACGTTTTTAAATTTACATGTCTAGATGAAATTTCGCACTATATTTAAAACGTCAAAATCAACGGTCTAACTTTATTATGTTGGCATTCGTGCAAGTCAGTGGTTTTGTTCTTATAAATCGAATGTCTATAGCGCGCCTATAATAGAACATTTATATGTGTATATACAGCGCTAACACTACTGCCACACACAGCGACAGCAGAAAAAAAATTACCAACAGTTAGACACTTTTTCTTTTTCATTTTCACAGCTTTAATAGTCCATCTAGAAAAGTGAATGATTTAAGATATGATGCAATAAAGAGAGAGAGAGAGATGAGCTCACTGACTGATTATCACACCCGTAGTGTGTGTGCTAATCAGTCAGTGCGAGTAATATCTTACCAAAAACTCTTGGACGTCCATTATTTTAGATTTATCATCCTGCTTTTGTAGCTCATGGAATTGCCTTTCATGGTTAGTACTGGGAATGGAAAAGCGTACATGTAGATCAAAAATAAATATTTCAGAATTTATTTTCTATGTACCGATAAATCATAAATCAATTTGTTAATCCGCTAAGGGAATGCCATATAATGCAACGCAAATCATATAATATAGCAAGGTATTTTTTTTAAACAATACATGCCATAATATTAAATATTATGTACAACTTATTACATAATGGTAATAAATTTAGTGTACTAAAATTAATACCGCCACGAAACAAATCACCGAACTATTTATTGCTACTATTTTTGTGACTTGTATTTGTGATTCGTGATCCAACTTCACTGATTTAAGTGTATATAATTATTTCTTTGGATAGTTGAGTCAATAAAAAAGTAATTTACTTTAAAATCGTAGAGACGGGCCCACTTTCTTGGTCTTATTATTAAAACTTATTAATAAATTAAAATCAAATTTCAATTCGGTTTTATGAAAAAGAAGCTTACCCACTAACAGATACGTCATTAGTCAATAGGACGTAAGGTATGGCCAAGACTTCAGGATCTTTGTTGCTGACGCCACTACTGCACTTTTCAAAAAGATACGCTTTTACATCCAGTTGTTTAAATACATTGCTGCTATCCATTTTAAGCAACAGCTTTATGATAGTCTGAAAAAAAAATCAACCTTAATTATTTAATGCTGGGGTGTATGAGATATTCAATCAACAATAGTTTATAATCGAGCAGGCAGTTATAGTAGGCCAAAACCTCCTTTCTAAGGGGAGGCCTATGTCCAGCAGTGGACTTTTAAAGGCTGTTGATGATGATGATGATGAGCAGGCAGTTGCAATAAAAAAAAATTAAGGTTCGCAATTAAAAAGAAAATAAAAATGAAAATATTTTCTTCTCAAACACATGCATACACATAGTATACTACCATGCATAGCAACTACTATACCATACATAACAACATTAACCTAGTGTAATAATATTAGTCTAATTTGGATTTAATAGTACAAAAGTTGCGGCCTTGGTTCTAATAGTTACCTACAGATACCCACAGAAGGCTTAAAAAGCAGTGCACAGTTATATAAAATGCTGGCATCAGTTTGAGGATGGCCGATTAGTTTTTGCCCCTATGGGGACCTTTATACAAGGAGTGAGACACTGATACAGAGTCTGATGTGTAAAACTAAGAAATTACAAAATCATCTACGCTATAATCACGTCGCAATTTCGATTTCAAAACCAAACTGAAAAAATATACACGTTTAACCAAAATTATACGCCCGAAGACCGTAAGGAGTGCGTTAGGACCATCTCTGCGGGTCTACTTTTCCGTGCTTCTCGCCAAAAATGCTGACACACCCTTTGAAACACAGCCGGTGGGTCCAAGTCGTCGAATGGCTCCGTCCAACACAATAATATCTGGCACTAGACGGCCGGGATAGCTTGCTTTTTTACTTGATGTTTTTATCCGCGTGCTCGTGCGGATACGCATTGGCAGTATCCGCAAGAAATCAAAATATGAACATATTCCTTGTTCGTTGAAGTCATCATATCCAACAGTATCAGAAGCACAAATCAAAGTCCAGTTAGCAATAGTTAGTCAAGAATGGAAAACGAAACAGTCCGAAAATATAAGCCAAGTTTTCAACTAAGTACTACCGGATTCTACGATAATTCTTAATACTCTGGGTCTTTCATTTAATTTTTTTTTCTTTAAATTCTGATACTATCCAAGACTATTATACCTTGTTAGATAGCTGATAAAACGTACATATTTTTTAACAAATCTGCAACTTAACTGTCATAGATTTTTTAAATACATGCCAAAGAAATATTTTTTTACAAATTTATTTCTTTTTGCTGTTATAAACCATCGGCTTCGGCCATGTTTGTTAAGTAACAACAATTTAGGTAATGGCAATTATAAAACAATGTTTTAACTACATACATGCAGCCTATCAGGAAGTCAAACAGATAGCAGGAAATAGAGAAGGATGGCGATTGCTCCACCCACAAGGGCTTAGCTCTTAAATTAAGAGAGTATTAACTACACAAAAACTATTTTTAAGTTTCCTAAAAAATTGTATTAAGCAATATTTCCCCAATTTTTATAATAAATCTTAAAAGTTCAATATCTTGAAAATGGTAAGGTTTGGAATATAATATTTCATAGTAAAATCCTGTATACATGTACAGGGTTTGATCTCTAGATCCCACAATAGGATTCCCTGTAATGATGTGTGCTAAGAAGATATATTACCTTGCTGTCTCTCCTCAGTGGTACTGGCAAATCGCATCTATACCCACCCTTGTCTTCTCGGCACTCGTTATCCAACACTCGTGACATCTGGGCTCCATTTAGTTCGACCCAAACGCAAGCATCATATGAGCTACTACCATTGTTAAATACTTCAATAATTACAGTCTCCGTGGACGAAGAACTTATAGTATATGTGTCTTCTTTGCTGAAATGTAGTTACACATAATTAACATATAATATTAGCAACAGAGTGTCACCACCCCTATTCATCCCGTGGGTGTCGTAAGATCCGATTAAGGGAGCGAACTACACGGGACAATAGCACTGCAGAGAGAAGGAAAACTTGACACAAACCCGATACCAACCCGTCTGGGCAGCGTGGTATAGTTGGCCAAAACCTCCTTTCTAAGGAGAGGCCTATGTCCAGCAGTAGACTAGTAAAGGCTATTGATGATGATGATGAAGATGATGATCTGCTTAAATAAGAAACCATTAAAGTTGTAATTAATAAAATAATTATTGTACCTGCGAGACCAAAAGAGCTTCATAAATAAATTCGGTTTGCAGTCATCACCTTGACAGTGTCTTGATATTTTTGTCTCAGTCTGCAACGTACTCCTCGGAGTAGCAACTACCCAGGATGAGTTAAAAACTGAAATTTTGCATATTATATAATCATTTCAATTTTGTTTGATATTAATCGAGTGCAGAACGTCAGAAAGGCAATTCTTAATAAGTAACCATTTAAAATAACACTAATGTCCATTGGAATTAAAGAAATACGTGAATTCCACTATATTTCTTTTTTTTTAAACAACTCCCGCGTTACGAATATGTCCTGTGTCGCGGAGGACTTTACAAACATTCAAAAACGGATACAAAGAACACCCAGACTGAGAACAACAATTTGTGGATCACAAAAAGTATCGTGCCATGTTTAATGTTTTAAACTACTACGCCATTTTTGCAGTCACTGACTTTTTTCGCATTAAAACGAATACTTGCCTGTGCTATTAAAAATATGATCCGTTAATAGCTCCGCTTTTGATTTAAATAGGTAGTCTCCCTGTTCCTTGTGGTTCTGAAAACAATATCAAAGTGACAGAATGTAGGGTAAAAGATTTTTAAACTTGGGAGAAGGCTGTTCTTTATTAGTCAAATAAAAGGTATTAATCAGAGAATTTTGATTTTAATCTCAACGGCTCTAAGAGTTTTAGGAGCTGCAATGTATTTTCAAATGAATTCTATATTTTAGCTATATTTTTGTATAAAAAAAACACTTGAAACTCATTATTCAGATTCTTACGTAACCCGATACCAAGTGATCATTGCGAGCGGATGAAATTAATTTAATGTTTTTGTAAGAAGCTGTAATAAAATCAGAGTATTAGTAAAGAACTGTGCAAGTTAGTGCCTTCTCTAGAGTGTTTATAAGAAATATGAAATGAGATCGTATGACTTAATAATATAAAAAGAGAGAGAAAATATTAGCGGCTTTGCTATTAGCATTTTATTTTATGCGTATTATTAGTTAGTCTAATTTAAACGCCTTTACTCACATGTACCTATTACGATTATTTCACACATCCTTTATGCGGCCGTCTGATCCTAAACTACACAGAGCCTGTACTATGGCCATAGTATGGAATCGAATCTACGACCTCTGGCTTAGTCAGGATTAATAACCACTAGACCAACATGCCCGTCATTATTCACACACATCGTGCTCTCAAAGTGTACATCAGCGCCATCTCGTGAAGACTAGACGAACTTTACAGTAACCAGTGTTTCTGCATCGCGCAACGAAACGATAAACATTATTCAGTTAGCCCTTTTTAAATAGCCTTCCTTTACGACAAAAATATAGCCTGTATATAAATATAATATATACAGGACCAAATATTTGTATGATCTTTTCGGAGTTTGGGTGTTTTTATGTATAATATTTATGTAATACATAACACAAAAAAGTATTTAAGTATACTATCAGCTAATCTAGTTTTCATAGTACAAGCTATGCTTTGTTTGAAACTAGATGGTGTTATGTGTCAGATGTCCGAAAATATTATATTATAATAATGTTTATATTATATATGATGAAGTCGAAGGAGATGTAAGCTGTAAAACACAATAGTGGTAAGTTACTACCCAACCTCATGTAGAGGTAATTTCACAGTCTTGCAGTTTGCCTTTTTTTTTTAATTATATAAATACTTACAAGTTGTACAAGAACGTCTTTACAGAAAGGATGTCGATCATTGCGTGAACAATTTCTACAAGATACATTAACTTCAATCTCGGGATTAGTTATGAGTATCCCTTCGCCAATTATGTCACTCGTCAGCTTTATATCTGAAAACAAATGTTTGATAAACGTGTGTGTAGTCTTTCTCTAACAATATAATTCCCTGTTTTAGTCTTTTAAATTTTTAACTCAAGACAAAAAGAACCTTAAGCCCTTAATTACAGGCCATAACAGATAAATAATTATTTTCTTTATAATATATACCAAAATCCGCATTCAATTATAAAATGAAGTACTGGTAGATTAAAATTACAAAACAATACTTACGTACATGAAAAATGTTTTATATAAATAAACAAGTTTAGGCCGGAGATTGGTACCGGAAACCGTAAGTTATAATAAGTCAACCTTCACTTACGTGCGTCGACATCATTAGGCTTTTTGGGATATGTCACGGTTGCACACACTTCGACTGTAAAATTTAAGTCCTGTTCTCTAACGTCCTGTAATTTTTTTATAAATTATTTTTTAAAAGAAGTAAAGTACCATAAGTTAATTTTCAATAGAAGCAAGAACCGATAAAATATATTTTGCAGCAGACGCATCATACAATCTAGTTCCTAACAAAATGACGTAAGTGAACTTTAGCTTAAAGGCAGCCTTATCACATTATATATTATTTTATTGCCTGTTTCAAATTTTATTGTCTTACGAGTAAACTTATTGGCAAAGTGTTTCTTTACTCTAAAGCGGGAAACACTCGAAAGTAATAAAATGGTAGACAGAAGGTATTCAGTTATACCTTTCCACCCTTTACTTTGCTTGAAAGTGATATATCAATAGCCTGAACACACTTGAGCAATACAGCTTCTCCCCGGCCAGGAGCACCAGCCACCAGTTCTATAAAAGATTAAAAAAACCACATAGAAAGATAATCAGAATATAATACAACTGCTAGTACTACTACTAGGCGTCCATAGGCGGTAGTCACTATCCATTTAATGACCCATTTGCTCGTTTGTCACTAGCATCATAAATGAACAAATATGAATCTAAACGCTATTACATAATACAAGGGGTATTAACATTAAGTTTTGGATATAAATAATTATGATTTTCAATGTAAAAAATTGATGCTGATTTAACATTCCGATTTGTCCAAAATTTCTTCTTCCAACGAGCCTTTTGCCAAAACGTTGGCAAACGGTTGGGGTTGACTTTAAGTTTACTACGATACGGCTGAACTTCAATTTTTAAAGCAGAGCGAACGAGAAACTTCAATTATTATCAAATATAGCAGTCAGACGTTTCATTTCTCTCCCAACGCATACCCTTATGTCAGAATGCCATCACTAGCCAAGTACTAGGCGATATCGAAGTTCTGTAGAAAGACTATTGTTATACTTTTTAGGGCTCCAACTACCCTTGTCTTCCTTTCTAGGGTATACCTGGTTCCCCGGCTATTAGTACCCGAGACGGCGTGCGGTTTTAGTCGGTTCGAGTCCGACATGCCACCGACAGGTGGTATCCGAGGGGATTTCGGCACGGAAAAAAAAAAAAAAGAAAAAAGGTGGTATCCGAGGGGATTTCCACACGGAAAAAAAAAAAAAAAGGGCTCCAACTACCCATAACGATTGACACAGATGTTCGCGTGGCAACCTAGACCGACAGATTAACGTGCTCACCGAGACACAGAGGGGTATCTATGTGTTAAGAAGCACCCATCCATGGACTGACCCTGCTATGATTGCTTACTTTTGCAACATGTTAACCTACTCGGCTACCACTTAACCGCGATTGTCTAAAATTGTAGAAATAAAATGTTAAAAGATTCTTACCACTACATCCATTGTCGTCAGTGTCAGATACGAACTGGAGGCTGAAACCAAGTCTGCGGAAGTCTTCCTTCTGTACTCGTTGTGTATGTTTTAATTCCGACAGCGGAAGCCGTAGTTTTTCTTTCAATTGTAGCTTCTGATTCACCTCATAACCAGAAATAATATATACCACTCCTAAGCCTTTATCAGCGTAAGGTGCACTTACAGATATTTCTGAAATATTTGTTATACTGTGCTTCAGCTCATAGATAATTTGTTTACATAGGGACCTATATTTTAAGTTTTGTCATATATATACTGTTGATAACTATGCTACAACTAAATTGGTACACAAACACATGGCGTGCATAAATTGATATCACGCATCTATTAGCGACTAGCGTCTGATGGTCGCGTCATGGATGACGTCACTTTTTCAGTTAAATGCTATACTAAGCTAGTAAAACCATTTGTTACACGGGTGCAACGGCTGTTGTTTAAATTCACCTTTTCCTCCTATTGTATATCTTCAATAAGTGCAAACACCATCTACTCGAAACTATTCCATCGAGTGGACTATACTATAACATACAAGACTGACACCATTTCATAGTTGGCCACTAAGAAGTGAAAAATTTCTATATACCCGCAGCCACGCTCAAGACAGCATGAAACGTTATAACGCTCATCTTTACTAGATTACTGTAAAGAAAGATAAAAGTATAAGCTAGAATAAAATGCATAAACGTACCCGCTATGCCATCTCCGTCTAAGTCATTTACGGCAACGGCAGAACCTAAGCGACCGAAACTATCTATTCCTAGTATCTGGAGGTAATTTTTCTTGCCTATTGTGTCCTGCAAATAAAGTTATAGTGACACTCAGCTGTTTTTAATTAAAATGCCAAATCAGTAGGTGTACTCGTGTATATATTTTAACAAGTGGGAGATTCTCAGAACCAATTTTTAGGACAATTTAAAAAATTATGCTAAAAGGGGAATTTAAAAAATAGTTATTTAGCATACATGTTGACCTTCCATGGTATGGAAGTAGACAAGATGATAGTTGCAGCTACAACCCTCTCAAATTCAATTCAATTCAATGTCCACATACCAACATCAATTAAACTTAATACTTAGCTTTAGATATCTATAAAACTTTTGAAGGATGGTTAACACTCTTCGGATCTTAATTTAACTGTGTTATAGAAATCATCACCAAAATCATACAAAAAAGTAACTTTACGTATAATTCAGCCTTATCTTACCAAATCACCTCCTAGGTATACGTGCAAAGCACCACAATCAACGCAATCTTCTTCTGTATACAATGGTTCACCTATTAACAGATCATCCCAGGTATCATTGTTCATATCGGCAGCAGCCAGTACTGAACCAAACTTTGTAGCAATTGCCTTAGACTGTATCGCATATGTATCCAGATCAGATGCCATCAAATATAAATGAGGAGGAACGTAATCTAGAAACGCTATCTATAACAAGATATAATACAACATTTGAACCGACATGGTGTAAAATAAGTGCTGCCACAGTTCCATGACACTCAATTAGAAAATACTTACAGCACCACGCATGTCTTTCATGTCCAAGCTGAAAGCGTACACGGTTTTTTTAGAAAAGAATTTGCCGGCTGTGATGCCATATCCTGTAATAAACAATACGTAAGGGTAATAATCCAATTAATTTGATTATAAAAACATCATAAACACAAATAAAAACATTTCACGAGTAAGTATGCATCGTTTGATGATTATTCATTAAAACGAATCTACATATTTTATGTGTCACAGTAAAAATCCTTAGATTAATTAATGGAAAGTTTCTTCGACAAACAGACAATTGTAAAGAAATTGTAAACCTATAATTGGCCAGAGATCATTTATTGCGCAATTCAGGATCTCCAGTTATTACTTAATTCGGTTTATATTTAGTTTTAGAAATGTGATGTCATCACAATTTATTTTACGCATCCATAAGTCGGTTATCACTTTTGGCATTGCTTACATACATTAAGGTAAATATTGCATTCATACCGAGATTGAAATGTTTTGATGTCCACATTTCCAGCGTTGTGTTTTGTGAAACTATTGTATTCATTTTAAGCTCTCGTTGACTAATAGGACTATAAGCAATATGTCCTCTTAATGATGATTTCACTACAACCAACAGATCGTTAGTCTCGTCAGTTAATGTGGTCCATCCACTGCCACCGACGAATATTCCTAAAAAAAAACAACTTATTAACTTAATTAGAGTAGGGCAAAATACTCTTTTACAAAGTTCATAAATTATAAAGAAGCAGGCAACAAATATAATATTTGGATATTGACAAAAGGAGAAGAGCATGGTGTCATAGTCTAATCTAATTTTTAGAAGTACTTTTCTCTAGTTTGAAAAAGTCTCTTGTTTTATCCTCCGCTATTATCCGGGTAATGCAGAGCAGGCCATCTTTCTTCGGCCATTCGGTCTAGGCTTGGTCCAACAGAGCGGGCTTGTCTGTCGATTCCTCTGATGACTCTTCTCTGATGGAGCAATGAGGAGGTAAACCTCGAAAAAAACACGACCCTTTCAAGAGCTCGGCATGTACTCACACCCCCTCTCTCCCCGGGTTGACTTTTATTTCACCCCCACTTGTGGGTTATATTATGCAGTCTGATACTATTATAAAAGAAAATAGAAAGTAAGGAAAATGGAGAGGAGTAGGAATAATAATAATATGAAAGCAGATAACGTCTCGTCTAACGAGGCGGAAGTTTTGCTGGGGACGCCAATCTCGGTGTAGCTCCTAGAAGCTGGGAGCGGACACACGCACGGAGGTAACTCCAGTACGACGATGGACGCGCCGAAGTCGATGGAGATGGAGCTCTGCGATAGCAGGAAACGCTCCAAGGACTAAGAGAGTGATACATCCCAGGAGATGCTGCCTCCTAAAGTGGGTAGTAGCCGTAGAGGGAGGCCCCATCAGGCTCTGTCTTTCCTAAGGTGGAAGCCTTAGAAGGGAAAGAGCGAAGGGCAAAAGCGCAGCGGAAGGTCTCCTCTTTGGCTATCGCCGGGGTCGTTAAACCATCATGGTGAACGTAGCAGGCCTTCAGTCCGCCAACGAGTGCTTTACAGGGCAGCTAGCTGAGCTGAGCACTCAGTACGCTTAGTTTCGGGCGCAGACGGATGGCCTTGAGCAACAGTACCCGGCTCCGGGTTCCAGTGACGTCCCTGATGCCCATCTACGCCAAATTCTTGACGCAGTGGGGCTCATACTGGACAGGGGTCTCGTGGGCCTGGAGGTGAGGTTGCTTCCGGCCCTCGTTGCTCGGCTGCCGCTCGCTGCAGATAGGCCAAAGGTCGCATCAGTGCCAACTTCGCTTCCCGATGCGGGTGATCACATAACGTATCCGTGGGCGGCGGTATCGGTATTCATCTCATTTATTACTGTCTCGTGCACATAACTCAACACAAACACCTAAAAATATTTAGAAATCTAGATTTTTGAAAGAGTTATCCTCTAACTTCTATATATCTAGAGAAACATGCTATAATACCTTGTCGGGGCTGTAAAGTTTGAGGGTTTCCCTCGAACTTTACATCCCAGTCCATACAAGTTAGCTACACATTTTTCCCTATTACGGAATATTTGTTGGTAGTACATTAAAATATTTTTTTTCTTGGTAAAAAAATCGATATCTAAATTCAAATCTTATTATGAACAATGAAGAAACATTTTTATTACAGGTTACTTTATTTTATAACTAATAGTGACGGCTCCGTTATCGTTTGCGTTCACAAACGCCTAGCCGCGATACCGTTCAACCCCATCTCTAAATGGGCACAGTGCATTACTGTAGTTACTAAATTTGATACTAGATATTATTGAAAAATCAACTAAGTGTAATATCAAGAAATTGAATTTTTCGACAACATTCAGATTTGGAATCTACCTCAGTGCATTGCAATACGTAACGTGAACGGTAGCCTATTAGACCTAGTTTTCTATGTAATAAAGTTGTATGCATTTTATACGATACGCATGAATTACAAGATAATTGGTAAGAGATTTGAGACGGATTGCAATCATCATAAAATTCAACCAGTTAATAAGTAAGGTATCTATTATAAAGGATTAAGGAACTATACCTATGTACAAGATAGCAAATCTTGTTTAGAACTGCTCGTAGCTGAAATTGTCGACGAAGCCTCAAAAGCTCTTGGATTCATAATTAGAACTTGCTTCAAATCCCTTAGGCCAATTAAAGTTCTACTTACTTCTTCTTAGAATATTCATCTCAACTTTGGAATCATCAATATATAAGTAATTTAATAGCCACGGATGAATAGCGTCCAGACGAAATTTTTACGATTTCTAGATTTGAAAGTGCAGTAGATGTCAGACGTCAAAGGTTTATAAATGTATGTTTAATTGGTATTACCTTTGCTTATTTTAAATCGAAAGTTTGATCAGATTACCTCTATGTAGAAACTTGTGATTAGCAATAGGGTTACTTAACTTAAGATACAACAACATCGTTAACATTGTTATGGATAGTTTAGGGTATGTCACTAAGAATAAATTTTGTAAAATAATGATATAAATATAGTTATGTAAATATATTTTCCTTACTGGTATCTATGTGTGTCACTCTCCCCATTAATACGTTTTTTACAGTTTGTTCAAAAATTCCTAAATAAGGTTCGTTATTTCCGTCAAAAAAACATGTTCCAACAACGTCTGGTATAGATCTTGGAGTTATTCTGCCTGTCCAAAGTGGAGCGCAGGTCTGCAAAAAAGAAAAAAAAATATCTTTTCAAAATCTGTGGTGGTTAAATATTTTATTCTGCCTTTATGAACTCTATGTGAAAACTAGTACTCTCGTTTTTAGCTGTTTCTTAAAATACATTTCTTGCTGTTACCATCTAAGGGTTACGCTTTTCTTCAGTTACTGGTACCGGTTTTTAGCCGGTTCGTGTGCGACATGACCACTGGTCAAACAAACGGCAAACGGGTCAACTGATAGTAAGTGAAAATCGCCGACGATGGACACCTGCAATTCAACAGTCACAAGTGCTTCTCCCCCTTTTAAGCACCCTGCCCTTTATCCGGGGAAAAGGGTTTGAGGATTTTTTTCTTTTGTGTTCTTCTTCTTATACATATTATTGTATAGTCGCGTCTGTATCCTCGAATGGTCAAATAGAAGCGCACTATTACCCACATTTTGCAAACTGTAATTTTAGTCCCACTTACGTAGTAAGGGGCACAATACAATAATCACAGAATATGTTTATAAGCAAAACAATAACATATCGTATAGAACAGATCTGGAAGCAATGATCTTTTTTCAGGAATAAAATAAGTTAAAAAAAACATACCAAGTAATGTTTTGAAGTGGCAGAGACTGACGCACCAAGGCGAAATGCGACTGTTTCTGAAATATTTGTAACAACATAAAATATTTTAAAAAGGAAAGAAAAAAGTAATTCACAGGAATTTTGGGCAGAAACTTCAGATGTTCAAAGTTCAGATGTACTCGTATATATACATATACGAGTACATCTGAACTTTTTTTTTATATTGTCACAGTTTGGGCTAATACTTATTTACCCCGTAAAACGCTAAGAAATAATTCTTTTTTGGCAACTACTCAAACTAGTTGCTGAATAATGAATCTGGTCTCCTTAAATCCTCACAATAAAGGTATTAAGTAAAAACCACAAAATAATGTTGCGCCATAGGATTAAATGGTTCGATTGTTCCAGAATTGTATGGAATGTGGAGGACAGCGCCATCTAGTATCGAGTAAATTACAACTATTGAGATTTTGAGATTTATAATTCTGATACTTACAGCGCTAGATGGCGCTGCAAGGAACGCTTTACTGATACTGGAATATTCTCATTTCAACTATGGATATTTATAGTAAATTGTGAGTGTTAGTAAATACAGTACAATAAAAGTTATTAACCGACAACTTTTATTTATTAAATACCCCGCTCGTAACAATACTCGTACATACAAGTATAATACTTTCGCAGTAAATTTTAAAGTATGCTGGACCAAAAACACTTTTTATTTTGTCATCAGGTATGCTTTAATAACATGGCTGTGGTACACCAAGCTTTTTTAAGCGCACACCAGCTTTTAGATCCAATCCAATCAGAACTTATATCCTGGGTTCTAAAATAACAGTCTATAAGCATACTTACATAGAATAGGGATATGTACATTTTGTATACATGCACATACATGCATATTATACAAAAATAACCGGCTTAAACCATAAAAACATATTGCTGTACACAAATATTTGATTATCACGTGAATTTAAACCGCGATCACTATGCCATAGAATGCTCTCAAGCAACAACGCAGGCTTTGGTAAATTATTCTAAAAATATCTAACTTTGGGAGTTTACTTACTTGCAACTCTGGCCGGTATTGGGATATTAATTGATTCCTCCTTGCACTTTATTTCAGAAGATACATTTGCACCTTTCATGTTGCAAATATACACCCTACCGTGTACATTTTCACTGGGTGCTCCAACAACTAGAAATTAATATAAGATGTATTTATTCAATAGATATATCGATAAATTTCTTGTTGAACTCTTCTTTTATTACTAACTAGCGCTTACGGTAATATAAAAATAAATATAAATAAATACGATATGTATTGTATCGTTTACCAATTGATCATCATCTATTCTGTTTCGTTTTCCTAAGTTTGTTCTATTGTGGAATGACTGCTCTTTACATGCAATTGTTTAGTACAATTATACTGTTCAATATGTACGTAGATATTTTTTTATTTGTGACGTCTGGCAATATACATGTCGTATTTATATTGTGCATTCAATTGTCTCACATACAAATGTGATATGCAGAAATAATAATAATAATATTTATTTATTTCTTCTCTTCCACAGAAAATGTTAGATCAATAAACTAGTAATTTTACATCACAAAAAAATGATAATCTGTGTGAGAGACTGGTATCCGTACTAGGTAAAACCTGTATGACAGATGAACAGCCCCTCCTAGCTCTAGAAAAGTACTCTAGAATAAATAAATGTGTATTCAATAATTTGTAATATGACTAAGGATGTCGTCTTACATATAAGAAGATAAGTATATGGATGTAAGTGTACTCGTATATGTCCATGTGTTATACTGCATATGTAGATGTTCGTGTGGGTGTGTGAGTGTGTATGAGGCGTGTGTGTGTGTGTGTGTGTGTGTGTGTGTGTGTGTGTGTGTGTATGTGCTAACCCTACGACAAATATAATAAGTTCATCTTGGGATCAGAATCTGCTGGTTAGCTACCAGATCTATTAGCACGGTGTAACTGCGGGATGAATGAGATGAATGAAATGCTATGAAGCAACAAACAGCAATCTTTCAGTTTTCTCATAGTTAAGGGATTTCAGCCAATTGGAGATTGTATTTTTGCATTGGTACTTAGTGGAAACGTAGATATGCAGTAGTTTATTAATATTATTTTACATGTGTCTTCCTAGGAAGCCGTAAAATTTGTGGGCAAATGCTGTGCTCCATCGATTATTAGTTGGGGGACAAACCTTATATTTTAGACGCTTAGTAACTCTGGAGGGTTCAGATTGGAGTAGTGGATGTTGTTTCAGAACAGTGTCTAGAATATATAACTGTCGAACATCAGAAAATTGGTAGAGATCACTAGTAGGATACAAGAAAGGCAGGGAATTACCGACTTTAAAAACTGCCCTTTGAGCTCTTTCTACCCACATCAAGTTTGATTTAGATGTGCCACCCCATACAGAGATACAATAGGACAATATGGGTTGGCACAATGATGTGTAAACCATTTTAATGATGTTTTTATCAGCTATGTTACGTTTTTTTTTTTAAATAAAAATGAGGTTCCGCATTCTAGATGAAAGGAGATCGATATGTTGGCTGAAACTTAGAGTGTTATCGATGATAATGCCGAGATGTTTACTGTTGGTGGTGCTTTGTAGGTGATTGTAGGCACAGGAGTGTAGAGTTAAGCAAGTGTGGGCCACAATGGAGTAATCTTCAGGTGGATGAAATGCGATCTTTTTTATTGCAAATTGAATTTGTTTTATTTTTTTATATTCAGTGTTAATCCATTGTTCCTGAGCCATGAGGACACTGCATTGAAGCTCATTTGTGCGAAAGCAAAGGTAACATTCCAAGTATCTCCGTGAAATATTAACGCAGTGTCATCGGCGAAAGTTACAATTTTGCCATTATATAGTTGCAAATTACACAAAACATTAACATAGGCAAGAATGAATGAAGGGCCAAGCACACTGCCATGTGGCACGCCGAAAGCAAGTGGCAGGTCCTCACTAGTGATTTCACCAACCCTTACCCTTTGGTATCTTCCAGCCATATAGTTTGAGAGCAATTTATATTGTTCACCGGGTATCCGCAGCCAATTTTTCTAGTTTGTCCAACAATAGATGACAATATAATATATAACAATATGTAAAGTCACAGTCCACCCAAGTTAAATGGCATAAAAATCAAATATAAAATTTAGTCACCACATAAAAATGTATTTGGTATAAAATGATATAAGCAAAACATAAAATAAGTAAATTCCATGTAATGACCATTACAGAGAAATGACGGTACAACAACTCACCTAATTTATTACTAAAGGACTGATAACCCATGGCGTAACCAAAATCTGAATCATTTTCATGTTTTAGTGGACATATCGTTATGGCCGATGGGTCGTGGAGAAATTTTGCCAAGATAATCTTGGACACCATAAACAGTGACATGAAAGTCACCAGAAAAATATCTGGAATAAATAACAAAAGTAGCAATTACACTGTCTACGTTAAAAATGTAACATATTATTATTTCACCAATATATTTTGGACACGTTTGATCCGGCTGCAATATATTATTATTGTTTTTGGGTTTTTAGTATTTATTCTTTATTACCACTGGATTTTCAGACTGGATTGAATGGCGCCACAGGCTAGTCCTCCCATTCAACCTGGTTGCGTGAAAGCGAATGAAATTCAAAAAACATAAAACTGTCAATCTTGCAGATGGCTTTAAATTATCTACAGTCTGGAATCCAGTGATAAGAAATATGCCACCTCGCTTTTATCTCGCACTTGGATATATGAGTTACACGTTATAAAACAGAGACACTGTTAGTATAATGTGAAATGTGGATTCTTTCCAAAATAGTAAAATAAGCGTAACTTTTTTTTTCTTTTTTCATTTAGAGGCTTATGGCCACACACAATGATAGCCCCGTCGTACCCTAAACTTACAATATACTCATCCCTAAGTAAACTTAACTTAAACTAAAAGGAGAGAACATATTTATGTTAATAATACTGCATTATAGACTACTGTTTAAATAATTTAAAAACTAACAACGCCGCTTCTGACAGAGGCTTTGACAATATACTTTGAAACATGCCAACCTATAATAATAATATTTAACTTATTTACCAGAGTTAAGAGTTTGAATAAGACACCTCGCGCACTAAGAATATATATATATATCCTTTGTCGCCGCGACTTTACAAACATATATGAAATGGACACAAACAACATCCAGACTCAGAACGACAATTTGTGGATCACTCAAAGTGTCGTCCCATGTGGGGATCGAACCCACAACACTCAGCGCAGTTGAAAGCGGCGTGGCGTCCGCTTAAACCTGAGCGTCTCTCTCGTCCCCAGTTTTGACACATTCTAACAAAAATGATATATATCCACAACAATATCACATTCTGCACAATTTGGGCTGGTACTCATTCCCGTAAGATAACGAAAGTGGGACGTGTCCAGATCGTAGTCTATGAGCTATTACAGTAAATGATAGTGATAAAAATTGTGACTTACTTGACATATTTGCGGATACCTGTGAATAGCTTCGTTGTCACTTTATTATAATGTTTTAGCTTACGTTATTTGTGCTGTTGGTGTTACGAACAAAGTAAAATAAAATAAAAACTAAATAAAAATATTTTCAGTAACAAGACTATTAAATATAATTATCCATAAGGCGACACGAATGCTCAGGGCACTTCTAGTATTAGCACTAATTAATCCAGACCCGTAGGAGGACAAATATAAACAGTAAAACAAATATTACTATCAACTATAAACGTACAGGAAAACAGGTATCTAAATAAATGTTCAATTTTACACGTTGCTCAATACATGATTCCAAAATGTTGTATATATAAATATACGTATATATATATTATCCCATGCCGATTTTGGCCACGGTGATTGATTATTTTTGGGGGTCTAAGTTTCGAGCGTGTGCTCTGATGTGACTTACATACCCTATTCTTGGCACTGAAAGCCTGTACGGCTATATAAATATTTCTAGCTTCTGATCAAATATTAGCACACTTTAATCCAGAGGCAACTGTAGTTTTAACCGTTTATGCATCATCATGCGTTGATGGTCTTTCAGCAATTTTATCACAAGTAGAATCCGATAGATGTGAGTGACCGATTTCTTTTGCATCATGAACTCTTAATACGGCGAAGAAAATATAGTCGCAAATTCAAAAAGAAGCGACAGCGATTAGTTTTGGTGTTAGGCGTTTCCATCAATATTTATGCGGCAGATCGGTTCCATTTATTTTCCAAACCGATCATAACCCATTGTTATTGATTTTCGGAAAACATCGAGGTATACCCGAAGTTTCAACAAACAGAGTTCAGAGATACGCATTATTTCTGAGTGGATATAATTATAAAATAGAATATGTACGTAGCAGTAGTAACAACAGTACAGACTTTTTGTCTCGCGCTTGCGTGCTGGACATAGATGTGACAATGCCTGATGCTCTGATCGGTAATTTACGACAAATACAGGTGTCGTACTTTTTGCATTGAACGGATAGCCTGAGAATATGTCTGATGAAGGTTTAAAACCGTATCATATATGTAGGACGCAATTATCTGTAGGAAATGGATGGACGCGACAAAAGAGTTTGAAACTTTTTGCAAGATGAACGGAATTACCTACATGACGTCACCGACATACCACGCGGCGAGCAACGGGCAGGCGGAACGTTTTGTAAAGATAGGTAAGAAGGATATTAAAACAAACTTGCTTAGTACTACTAGGGCGCGAAATGTAAATAACCAACTATTAAGTTGGATACTTGTTTGACTACATGAATTCCGTTTACACGCCAACTGACACCACTCTGGCTGAGTTTCATTACGGTCGAAAACTGAGAACGAGTCTTGATCTTTTGAAACCTGACTCGCCGAAGCCATCATCCACGGCTCATCCAGTGTTTGAAAAATGAGACCGGTGGACACAATGCCTAATTGTTTGATAACGATGACATAGTTTATTATAAGAATTATACAGTTATTGGTAAATAAACCTGGTGCAAAGAAATAGTTAATAAAAAAATCGGCAAACTGTATATTAAGTTAGGGATGAAAGAACTAAAAAGACATCAAGAAAACATAAAATATAAAAAAAACATAAATCAAATAATATTATATAAAGGCAATAGTTGCTATGATAGTAAACACGTGGATCTAGAAGTAGAAGATCAAAGTGAATGCCCATCGACAGAGACGCAGTCATATGAAGAGAGAACGCTCTCGGGCACTAGTGAAGGGAGTGAGGACATGGCAAAAGCCATCATCCCTCCAGGTACACTCCAACTTTGAGAAGCAGTTTTCTTCACAAGACAATGCCAGGAAGGAGGAGTTCCAAGAGACCCTATCCGGGTCACCCAGCGCTGAACAAGCTCTAGAAGTGCCACCTCAACAGCAGGCAAGTGAAACTACACGAACACCACGTTTTAAACGCAACCGGCCTATGGTCAACTACAAATTGTTTTATTAGGATGTATGTATACTCAAACTCAAACTCTCTTTATTTCTCTAAAGTCATAGATCAACACACACAAAAGCAACAATCTCTGTTACTCTTTTTTGTCAAATAGTAAGCAATTAAATTTAACAAAAACCAAGCTCATACAAAATCTATGATATGCCTGTGCCGATCTATAACCGCCCGTTTCCAAGGGGTTGAGCCTTATGAGAAGACAGGGCAAACAAACTCATGGCCACTCTTTTGAAATTCACAGATAGATACAATGCCACTATTAAATATACCACAACATTGTTTTGATGTGTGCCAGTATGTCCGTTATTAAGGACTAAAAGGTAAAAAGACAATGAAGAGAAAACAAGATTAAGAAAAAAACACGAATAAAGAAAATTAAGTGAAACATAAAAAATAGAAATAATAATAACAAAAAAACTCACTAGCCACATTACATTTTTACTTAAGAAAGAAATAGCCTGCCTGTAATCCACAATTGAGTAGTAGGCCCTCTGGCACAAGCCAGGTTTTATTGCGGATTTAATTTTTTTAATACTTAAGTCTTGAGTATTATTTGGGATTTTACTATAAAATCGGACACATTGACCTTGAAAAGACTTGTTTGTTTGGAGCCTACTACAAGTGCTTTCCGTGTGGTCCCAGTTCAATTTGGTTCAGTTCTGATAATGGCATCCGTGAGAAAACCACATAAAGTCTTAAATTTGGATTCAAATGTTCGCGACAAACAGGCGAATAACTCAAGATCACGCCAACCGATTTCGACTATTCTTTTTTTATTGGAATGGATGTACGGGTACTTTGATGAGAGTTTGGTTAGATTCTGATCATGGGATTCATGACAAAGTAACGGAACTCTTCAATTTTATAGGCTATCCGAATATTTGAGTCTCCTACAGTAACGTCGTTATGGTCAAGTAATTGTCGTCATCAACAACCTTTACTAGTCCACTGCTGGACATAGGCCTCTCCTTATAAAGGAGGTTTTAGCCTACTATAGAACGCTGTCCAGACGCGTTGGTATTGCGTTTGTTTCAAGTTTTCTTCCTTCTCTTTACAGTGATGCTGTCTTGCGTAGTTTGCTCCCTCAGTCGACTCTTACGACACCCATGGGATGAAAAGGGGTGGTGACATTCTGTATTCTTAATCCGTCACCACAGGGACAGTAACGGACAGTAACGGAAGTAATTATCGTAGTCGAATATAATAATCAATATAACTCTATTGGCTTACAGTAAGGGTGCGATCTGTGGCAATTCTAACTGTCTGTAATCAAATTGCAATTCGCTTACGTTCTTTGCTGCATTGCAATACGACGCAAGCGTTCTAATTGCATTACTTAAGGTGAATTCTGTGTGACCTTTATTGTCGTAAGACAGATTATGAAGTCTCGTTATTTCCGTCAACGATCTATTGTCGTTTGGCGTCCAAATTTCATAAAGCTATGCCTTCCAAACTTTTGACACGACTTAGTGCAACATATATTTGCCCTTTTGCAAAGTTTTTTTTTACCAAGGTCGATTACAGCTCTTTCGAGGTTTATGGACTTTAACCGCCCAGCGTAATATTAGAGGCAGCATACGGCGCTCCACATCTCCATAACCTCTTAATGCCTGAAACGTAGTACTAGATGGAGGTATAGGTATTCAACCATTACAATGTTTTAGCCTAAGCCCAATAGATTCGTCTTCTTCTTCTGGTAGCTCTTTATCCTCCATGTTCCCTGTGCGCCCTGGAAGCGAGCGCGCTTCGCAACGCGCTCGCTGCCACCCCGGCCTGCTTCTGCTAGGGTGACAGATGGCCTCACCTGTCACCCCCAGGCCTGCGCTTATGGAGGACGGAGGTCGTTCTGCGACCTCCGGCGCCTGAGTCGCCTGCGGTACCTGGCCTGTTCCCGGGCCTGGCGGGCCGGGAGAGTCCTAAACCTCTCCCGGTCCCGCTCCGCCGTCTCCTTCGCGAGCATAACTTGCTCGCAGAAGGAGACGGCAGAGTTCCACGCACTCTCGCTCCGCACAATAGCCGCAATCAGGCTATCGAGCGAGAGCGAGTCTTTGACCTGTAATTATTTTGCATGTCATAGTAATTTTTTTTTCTATCGGATGCAAGAAAATACTCGATATTTTCCCTGTTCAAAACTTTTTTCATGTAAAGCCGAATTATGTCTATTTTTGCGCTCTTCGCAAGTTCTTTCTTTTTTTTTTTAATTGTTCTCGAGGTAGATTGCCTCTGTTGAGATAGGCGTTTATCACTGACTTCGTTTGTTTCATTCAAACGGCGCTGTCTCATATGAGCAACACATGTATTAGGTCTACCCATATTCCCTGACAGAGGCAGTAGAGAGGCTACGGAGTGAGAATGATGCGCTCCGCTCCCAGATGGCCTCTTTACAAGAGTAGAGTTAGAATAGTAGGGGACCGGCGATCCAGTCTGAACCGAACCGGGACCAATACGCGGCCCTGATAGACCGCGTATTGGCCGAGGTCCGGACGATGATGCTATGGGGACAGCGCTTAGGAGGAGACACCTTGTCTCTTCCAACCACGGCCCCAAGCGCGGAGACGGCGGCGGTCAAAGGCCAAAAGAAGAAGAAGAGGAAGACAACGAAAACACAGGGTGCTGGCCAGGAGTCACTAGCACCAGCACCGCTTCCACTGGCAACAACGAGGCAGCAAAAACCAACGGCTTCGTCGGAGAGTGAGTCTTGGGTCCTGGCCCTTGGTCGAAAGACCAAAGCCAGGGCCGCGGAAGGGGCGGCCCAGTCGACGGGGCATGCTACCGCCCGCCAGCGGCCCCAAAGAAAGAAAACAGCCGTGCCACGGAATCCCACAGCCGCGGCTGTCACTGTCACTGTGCCGCCTGGCTCGGAGACGACGATAATGGAGGTCGCTAAGGCCAATATTAGCCTTGGTGATCTCGGCATTGCAGGTGGACTCCGCACCAAGCGAGCCATGACCGGGGCTCTGAGCTGCTCTGCTTCTGGAGCTCGCCGAGTTAGGGGTGGATGTGTCGTCCAAGGGATCAGCGTTCTGGGTCTAAGGGTCAATCTAAGGTGCATCATAAGACAGAAGCCCTGTGGTTTCACAGGAAACGCAGAGGTGCAGTTCCCACCAGAACGCTTATTGAAGTGGGGGGAACAGAGGTCGAGGTCGGGCGGTACATTAAATGCCTCGGCCTCACCCTGGACAGCCGCTGGAGCTTCGAGGAGCATTTCCCCCGATGATGATCCCCCGAGTTCGCGGGGTAGCGGGCTCCTACAGAGGCTTTTGCCTAAACTAACCTCGTCTGTAGATGGCCCGAGGTATGTCGGGGCACTAGGGACTTCCTTTCTAGGGTATACCTGGTTCCCCGGCTATTGGTACCCGAGACAGGGCGTGTGGTTTTAGTCGGTTTTTTAGGGGATTTAGGTTCGTTAGGTAACCCAGGAAAAAACAAGATAAATTGTACGTGTAACGTACGAAGTAAAACAGTGTCCTTAAATATAACTTACCTCAAAGGATGATCACTGTCAGAAATCAATTTAAGTAAGGTTATAAAGAAGACAGATTTTAACTTTATTGATAAATTCTATGTATTTAGTGAGGTTAGTTAACTTAAAATAGTTAGTCAAGTCAACAATATCGATAACAGAAATTATTGGAATTTTATTATTTTAGAAATGATAATATTTTACTTTTTTTTATGTTTGAGAGGGCAGACGAGCAGACGGGTCACCTGATGGAAAGTGACCATCGCCGCCCATGAACGTCTGCAACTCAGGAGTCACAAACGCGTTGCCGGCCTTTTGGAAAGGAGTACGAATAGTCATAATACATCCATAATCATAATGAAATATATTAACTAATTAGGTACTGCTTTTAGTTTATCACACCAGTCACAAGGAAAAACTTTTTCATTAAATACACATAGATTTAGATTTCTTGTTGACGGGCAGAATTTATCCCTAAAAGCAAAAAGGATAAAATAATACCAGGACAAATTTATAAATTTAATTAGATATTCAGTGTTCACATTGTAAGTGTTTTCCTCAATTATAATATGAATGCATCATTTCATAAATTTCTCATTAGTTGATACTTCACATTTATTTGAGTTATCTAGCAGCTCTGAGTTGTGTATTTTCATCTGCCATAGATCCATTTGCGGTCTCCACATGAAGGTGATTATAAACCATCGATCGTCTCTGCGAATATGAATATTATTAAATTAATAGTATAATATATAAATATATATTATACTATATAACTATACTTCTTCTAAATACATAGAAATTATAGATAAATTACACCCAGACATAAAACAAATATGATCGTGCTGAACACAAAATATTTGAGGTTGTATATAGGGAGCCCACGACTTGTGACTTATCAGTGTTTGATAGTGCAATGGGACTTAAATTATGGTCGGCGCTTTTGGGATTAAGGATGTAAGTATACGTATGTATGTCTATAATAATATTAATGGAGTATTTAGCAGTAGCACCTTGCCCATGTTCTGCCTGACTAACGGTCGATCCTCCGGTAATGCAGATGATAGTCAACAATACCGCTAATGCTTTATAAAACTCTTCACTGGTGGCTCCAAGAAACTGTTAAGAACATAGTGGCCACACCCCGGGAAACCGTGTTGAACCACGGGCCAAGCTCGGTGAAGGGGAACTTTAACTACAACTCGTAGTGTAGTCTGAACTATAGATCCTAAACACAGTGCTTAAAGTCTGCAGTGGCTCGAGAGGTGAGTTCCACCAGTACGGCAACTAATTCGGCAATCGTGGTGTTAAAGATATATCTATAATATTACAGGGCGCATGTTTGAACCCTTCACTATCGTGCGGCCATTCACTGCACCTCCTCTTCCTAGTTGTCTGTATCGGTCACTCAATCCACCGTTCACAAGAATTAGGAGGCGAGAGAGTGGATTCACTTTAATATTTTACCGCGCTAATGACCCGTGGCAATATATAAGATTCCGATTTTGCAAGCCCTGTGGCTATGGGGGCCGTTGGTGGGGATTAAACTGATAAGTTTGATCTTTAGGTGGCTCTGTACACTGATGACTGAGATGGGAGGACTGACTCGGCAGCTTGTTCAACGACAAAGCAGCCCTATTGATTGATAGCACCAAATCCGGGGAGGGCCTAGTAAAGGTGGCCTAGACAAAGCCTGTTTCACTTTCACCCAGATGGTTAGCCGCGATCGTCTGCTTACAATATATAAGCGTACTTGAGAACGTGAGAACACTCTTGGAGAACGATAACAACCAATATCCTGAAAGAACTAATATAACTCGTGAACTCTCCCGTTATAATATCGACAAGTCCTAAAGGCAACGTAAAGGTTTCAGTGACAGACTATTTACACTCCGATTTCACACGGTATCTGAAAGTTCATCCACCTTGTGAGCGTGTACGCACCCATCATGACGAGGAAAATACGGAGTTCTATAAACAACTTCAAGAGGTATCATTTCATTCATCCATAGTGCATCGCCTGGAATAATATTCTTGAGAGGCATGGCATCGGAAAATGCGTGAGCCTAATTCTAACGGAGTGGTGTCGCGAGATCGCGTCATGGGACATAGTACTCAAGAGTGAAAAAAAGCGTGTTAAACGCAGTTGAAAATAAATTATTAAAACACATTGCAAAACACAATTGCTGTTTTATGCAATTTTATGCAATTTTATATGCAATTTTTATATATATATTTTTTTATGCAATTTTATATAATTTATTCTAACGGAGTGGTGTCGCGAGATCGCGTCATGGGACATAGTACTCAAGAGTGAAAAAAAGCGTGTTAAACGCAGTTGAAAATAAATGATTAAAACACATTGCAAAACACAATTGCTGTTTTATGCAATTTTATATAATTTTGTAGTATGTCTCGTCTTTAACGGTTTCAGGTAATTTATACGTTACCAGGGATTAAATTACCATTGCTTTTGTACGCCTCAGAGACCTGGTACCTTTACAAAGGTGATATCAAACACCTTGACGCGTTTTAGCTAAAATGTCTCCGAGCTGTACTCGATTTCGAGATTTTTTGTTAGACAGGTTTAGCAAGCATGGACAGTCCTCTAATGAAGAGTTATCTACACTGGTGAGGGCACTTTGTACGTATGGAGTCTTCCAGATTGCCAAAAGCTGTTTTTTACTCGGAGATCAGCTCAGGTAAACGCCAGTCTGAAGGACAATAATTCCCATAAAACGATGTGCTGAAGCGCTATTTAACAGCAATCACCTTGTCTCCTAATTTTTTTGAGGAACTGGCTAGTATCAGAATAGAGTGGCGGAGAGCTGTCCATAAGGGCATACAAAATTGTGATTGAAGCCGTCTTGAAGACCTTGACGCTAAACGCCAGCTCCGGAAAACTCGTCCTAAACCCTCCTACAACTACACTTACAATGCGCAGGGTGAGATTCACTTCTTCTTCTTCTTCTTCACTTCTGCTTCTTGTAATCGCATACATATTTAAAACCAAATTCGGTTTTGCGAGTCACGTACGGGCACATGATCGTAAACGGAGTTGTTGAAAAGTGACAGGTGTCGCCGTCGACGGACACCTCTGGGAGGACATCATCATCAATAGTATAATTAATTTCTCAATTAATTTCATCTTTGTATTTTGTTTTTAACACTTCGTTTACTCTTTGTGTGTATTATATAAAAATATCGATTTAGGAGTTATACGGATCCTATGTAAAATGAATTGGGCCAAATCTTTTCAATGCTTTGCTTTTGTTACTTTATTGGAAAGTTTGTCGAACACACTTTTCATCTATATACTCGTAGTTTAACAATAATAGGGTCATCCAACAGTTTTACGTTACTGAGCTGGCTTGGCAATATACTAACAAAAACACTTACACAAAGTTTTCAATATATACTTACAATAGATTGACTTTTAACTTTTTTTTTGAGATCCTTCAACCTTTCTTTATTCTTACGTCGCAAGAATCCGCTCTGTGGAATAACGTGGCAATTTAAAATTATAATTAATTACATAACAACTTACATCAGTAAAAAACAATTCAGATTTATATTTTATGCTGTATACGTTTTCTATTTTTGTTTCCCAAAATTTACCGCGTAACTATAGTCTACCTAATCTAAGAGGTACTGTTTGATAGTTCTAATAGATTGAAGTATAGCGATGGAGTCAAAGAAATGTATCACTAAAATATCTAATTCTTAATAGATTTCTATATCATTTCTTGGTATGTATTAATCGATTACAGTTTTACAGATTTATGTATGTTACTATAAAAGCCCGTGTAATGGCACATTATAGGTTTTACTAGTAAATCTCAGTATACAATAGAGTTGGACACGGACCATTTTTGCCTACAAAAATGTATTTAAAATTACATTAACTTTAATACATGAACTGAAATATTAACTAATCGCAACGCCAACGCGCTCGCTGTCGATAGTGACTTGATGTGACTTGATGTGAAATAAACTCGCACTTGGTAATGTTACTGTATTTTTATCTTTATCTTCTTTTCTATTCTTTATTCCTCTTTACATCTAGTTGTTGTAGAAAAACTGAATAAATAACTAATTTTGCTTGTTTATTCAGTGTGAAATAGATCCTACTAACTTTGGTGTTTCATTAGAACGCACTTTGGAATTTCAACAATTACATGGCTATCACAAGTCAGCCGTCATTTAAAGCATGCTGTACTTAGAGTGGTACTTAAACTGACTGAATTGTGGTTCAAATACGTTGGGTAGGTAATGGATAGGTAAATATAAAATGTGAACGTACCTTATAGAGCACAATGGCGAGAATGATTATCAACAATAGTCCCACTAAGCCAGCGACTATCGATATCCATATATTGACAAATGCCTCCTGGAGATGTATTAGTGTTGTTATACTGAAACTGAAAACATCAGAGGCTTTAATAATGCATATGCTTTGCTGGAGTAATTCTACCATATTTTGGGTTAGTTTAGAAGAACTTTATACCTAACTGTCGGGTACATTTTTTAGAGAGAGATTTAGAGATTCGTTACTTAATGATAAATGTAGTGAATGTAATAATCAAAGACAACGTTCCAGACTGCACGGATGGCGAAGTGGTTTAAGCAGTCACCTCGCCGTCTGCTACTGCACTGCGTGTTGACAGTTCGATCCTCGACGGTTGTCCTGCTTAGTTTGCTCCCTTAGTCGGCTCTTACGACACCCACGGGATGAATTGGGGGGGAACTGTGTTGTGCAGTGTTATGTTGATTACAATGCACATCACACAATAGCTCTAAGGATATGATGTTTCAAGTACAGATAAGAAAGCAAAAATTTTAGTTTAGAAGTACAAGTAATAAAATCGATAAGAATAACGATTTTATGACAACTCTAATGTTTGAAACATTGTGCTATGTGACACACTCTAATTTTAAATTTAATTTTTGCGTATCGCGATACAAATACACTCGGTTGGGGTTAATAAACTGTACTGTCTGTATGATTAGCTTATTTTTTCTTTTTTCATTTATATATTCATTAAAAAAAAGTCAACAGAATCGGAAACACTGTTTCCGAGACATTACGGTATGTTATGCTATGCTATCAGCTATCAGCGTATTTTATTTCTGACCAGGATCGTGAATTTTCACAATTTTAAATTAGTTAGATACTTATTCTTGGTTTCTATTAAGTTTTTAATTTTAATTAACAAACCTACCTCCTAGATGTAGTATTGTCAAATTGAATACTTAATACTGAATTGACTTCTATATTGCTTCGTTTCTTAAGCACATCATAAGCTGGAATGCAAAAACATATTATTTTTGTTAGTGTCAGTCACTGACTATTAAAAAAAGTTCACCCTAAAAAGGCGTTTGTTTTTGTTGTCATTACAATCCTTAAAAGTCGAGAAGAAAGTTAATTCTCGTAATAAAAGTTCGATCTCAATTCAGTATTTTCATAGTAAAGTATTAAACATCCATCGTTGACTGTAATGCGATTATATCGTACTGTAACCGAAAATTGAATCGGTAATCTAGTATTAGTGATACTTTACTATTTTATTACGAAAATACCTTTTATAACAGTTGTGAGACCGAAAGTTGATCAGAACTGAATTGTTACCGAACTTTCATTACGAGGATTGGCCTTGTTAACAATTTAGTCTTGAGCTAAAGAACTACAGAGACAGATAGATACTGTGACTTAATAACTCCCTCCAGCTAGTTTACACCCGAATCATGAAAGTATCCTCGTATTCCCTTTCTTTTTCTACTAAATTTATTTTAGTTCTTAATTATCTTTAATTTTTAGGCAATTCCAACATGTTTTCCTGTTACTGGAATGACATACCTAGATCGAGTGTTTATGCTATCGGAACTACGAACCTGTCGACCCTAACTATGCCTTGAACTGAGGCCTATATATAATTTCAGCGAATTTTAAACTTAGAAAATAAATAGTATACTAAACGTTACTTACTTAGAACATCTGGATTTGTTTCCAATGAAACAACAACTCTCACATAGTTATCTTTAAATAAACTATGTATCGGACATATTGCTGTTATTTTGTAGGCATTATTCGCGTTGACTTTACATTCAATGCCATTGTTGGTGGATTGTGGCGCCAGAGAAGGTTCTTTTATATATATCTGCGAAGAATACTCTTTATATATTTTATTTAGTTTACATAGACAACTTATTCAACCCAAGGGCGTTGTAACCGACTAAGGGAGAAAAATCGGCAGGACAACAACACTGCAAAGAGAAGGAAGACTTGAAACAAACCCTATACTAACCCGTCTGGCCAGTGTGGTAAAGTGGGCCCAAACCTCCTTTCTAAGGAGAGGCCTATGTCCAGCAGTGAACTATCAAAGGCTGTTGATGATGATGATAGACAAACAGAGGATCCCCTAGATTCTAAGGTATCATCCGTTTACCTATATAAATACGTAAATTCGCTAAAATTATTCAAAGCAATGCACACGAACAACCAATTTTATTTAAAAATGCAATTCGTTTTGGGTTATACCACCGAAAACAATATTCAAACTCAAAACTAAGAAACAATAAGATAAACATTTTCAATATATAATTCAAATGTTTGTCACTGAATCCTCCGTCCTAAAACGCTGGACCGATTCTTTTGTGTATAGGTATATTTTGTGGTCGTTGACGATGTTATCATCTTTACTGATGGTTTAAATTTAATTTAAAGAAAGTAGTCTATAAATAAAGGTTCTCTTATTAAAAATTTACAGATACATATGTTTTTATAATTAATAACTTGGTGTTTAGCAAATAAGTGAATTGTTTGTTTTATTGTTGACATAAAATTCTACAACTTGACAACGCTATACAATCAACGTAGCACAAGTTAACACTCACGGATACGGGTACGTCTGAGTATGCGACGAAATCTATTTTCTGCACCACTACTGTGGCAGTCAAGTGTTTGAAGTTGGTTGGCCCTTTGTTTGTGATCTACAAATCACATAAAATATATATAAGTTTGATTTATTGGTTTAAATAACATATAAAATATATTTTTCTTAAAACATATTTAGAAATTCGTTGGGAACCTTACCGTGATGATTTTATTATCTACATGATGATTAAATTCAATTATTAATAAACTTTAGTTTCTGGTTTCTAATCTCTCCCACACGCCCACTACTGTGACATCTGTACACTAGGAGCCACAGCAGTGACCCACGAACATACCAAGTTATAACACTCGGGAAGTCACAGGAAAACTTAAACTGTTTTAGAACACACAACGAAATTAATCAGAAGAAAATTGAAGGAGTTAAAATATAATAAATCCACTTCCCTCCTTAGCAAAGCGGGAGACAAAATGAAGGAAAAATAGGCAAACACCTTTTTGCACACTACAGCCACAAAATATTATGGGTCCTAAGTGAGCAGTATTTGATTTCTATAATATGTATGATGGAATCGTGTAAACGCACGGAAATTCACCCTAGTTGTCATACAAGTATATGATATATATATATATATATATTTATATATAGGTATACTATGGGTCTCTCCTTAGAAAGAAGGTTTAAACCTTGGCTAACCTTAAGGCCTATGTCCAGCAGTGGACTATTAAAGGCTGTTGATGTGATACTATGGGTATATATATAGTATATAATATTAATAATAATTTAATTTCTCACCACAATATAGTATACATTACATTTGAATAAAACAAAAAAATACAAATTATATAAATATTTACTGTCCTCCAATTTTCTTCTGATTCATTTCGTTGCGGGTTCCAAGACAGTTTTTTTTTTCCTGGGACTTCCCGAGTGTTATAACTCGGTGTGTTCGTCGGTCACTGATGTTGATTCTGGTGTACAGGAGTTACAGTGGTAGGCGTGTGGGAGGGATTAGTCCCATACCATAAAAAAAAAGAATACTCGTATACCGCACGTACCGTATAAATATGTTTGAAATGTTTTGACAATAAAACGTCATCTTTAATTATATCAACAGTATCTCCGACATCTGTTATTCTGAAAAACAAATACAGTTTTTATTAATTTTGTTAGTATGCAATTAGGTTTTACAATCTTCGATTAAATAAACAGTAAATATACAAAATGTCCCTTGAATGAAATTCTAATGCATATGATAATCTTATCAAAGAACTAGTCGTTTCACGCAGTTTTACTCATATTAATATAATAAACTAGCTGACCCGGCAAACGTTGTTTTGCCATATACTCGTACATTAATTCCAAATTTTTGTCAAAAAAATAATAATTGGGGTATGTAAAATAGATGTTGGCCGATTCTCAGACCTACCCGATTTGCACACAAAATTTAACGAAAATCGGTCGAGCCGTTTCGGAGGAGGTCAACCACGCACACAATGACTCGAGAATTTTATATATTAGATATACACGTGGACCTCAATTGTAATATAATTTTATTTGAAATATCAGTTATTTACTATTTTGAAAGTATTGTTGTAAACTATGTCATAATCCCCACTACTAGTATTTTTCTTGGCGTTAAAAATGGAAATGTTTTATTTGTTATAACAAGGTACCCCCTTTTTTTTTTCTTTCCCCGTGCGGAAATCCCCTCGGATACCACCGGTGGCATGTCGGACTCGAACCGACTAAAACCGCACGCCGTCTCGGTTACTAATAGCCGGGGAACCAGGTATACCCTAGAAAGGAAGTCCCTGGTACCCCTTAAATACACTGTTATTAGACTTGTATTCTTGTTCTTCTTGTATTGGGTATAATATTCCTGCAAAAAGAAGGATGCACGGCCCAACACGGTTGATTATGTGCAGTTGAATAAATACTACTCGGTGCGTAGAATTTCATTGCGCGATGCAGAACTAGTAGTTGCTTCGTAGTTTGATGTATCTCGCCATATACTTGTTAAATTTATTTTTAAAGTATCTTGGAGTCATAGGATAGACTTTCTAGGTCAGATTATGCTGTAAAGTCATTTCTTGGAAAAAAATAAAAAATAGATTAGTTCAAAAGGTACGAGTATAAACAGCACATACCCTTTTATATAAACACCATCAAGACGACTTTTCAAAGGAATACTATATTGATAAACTTTGCTGTTATTGGTGTCTGTACAACGATTAAATAAATTTAAATTTAAAGTAACGTTTCTGTCTTCGTTGGTGAGGTCTCGTAAATCCACAATGATATTTCTGATTTCCTGTTTTAAAAAAAGAAATATTAAATCCAACAAAATTAACTTATTCGTTCTTACAAAGTAACGGCTGCACTGAGCCCGAGTACATTTTACTGCTACTCGATCGTCACCAATCGCAACGACGAACGCGTTCGTTGTCGAGAGAGAGTCGATGTGAAATCTTTATTTCCGCCTGTGATACGTTCAGGGTTTAGTGCAACTTTTTGCACTAAACCCTGAACGTATCACAGGCGGACTCCAAAGGTACGTACCATCAACGTAAGTGCGTATCAAATAAACATAAATAACATTACATACCAACCCGTCTGGCCAGCCTGGTATAGTAGGCCAAACCCTCCTTTCTCAGGAGAGGCTTATGTCCAGCAGTGGACTATTAAAGGCTGTTGTTGATGAACATTACATTACATGTACATAAATAACATTGTCAAAATCAAATTGATTATTTTCCTGATAGAAACTATGAACTCTCTTAATGCCTTCTCAGATATTTCGGTACGAAACATTAGTATAAACGTTTGATTGAAACAAAACAAAGAGTCAGAAGCAATGGCAAAAGTGTTTTGTTGTTTCAATGTTTCACACCATCTCTATTTATATAACATATTGATACAAAGTCTGAATAAATATAAGTACCCAAGTGCCATTTGTCTTGATTGGCTTCATCGAAGTACACGACCATCTTTCCTTCAGATGGGAGCAGTACATAGGTGGTGATTGCACGTTGCCACCAGATATGCTGAACTGGATGCAAGGGTCATACGCCACATCACCGGTGTTCAGAACCTCGATGTGGAACGCACCCTTGTTGCGAGAGCCAATTATAAGAGGTATTCTGTAAAAATATATTTCAAGTGGCAAAAAAATGTGGATTTCTCATTTCGTGTTTCCAACTTTGAAAATGACGGACCTACAACCTTTCATCCCCTATTTCACCTTCTTTGAGGAAAAATTTCCAAAATTCCTTTCTTAGTGGGTGCGTACAACGTAAAAATCATCATCTGCCAAAATTTCAAGTCTGTAACCCAACGGGTTTAGGCTCTGTTGAACTAGTTAGTTAGGACAAGTAATTGTATCAGTATAGATAAGTTATAACTCACGTGATATCGGAAGTGACAGTCAAGGTGAGATTTGATATGCACTTGCTAGGCCCAGAGCACTCACCAGCCCAAAACGAACCTGAATAAGACAGCTTACTGTAGTCAGTAAGGATCACGTGGGAATCATTCACGTTCTCCAGATCCATCGGGTTGTTCAGCAGCGTTGTTGTAAGCTTATATTCTACTTCCATGCTATAATCCTTATCCTGGAAGTAAGTGACGTAAGTAACATGAATGAATATCTCTCTTTATCTTTATCTATCTCTCTTTCTCTATCATTCTTTATTTCTGTATATATTCTGTGTATTTAAACATTTTACAAACATTTATTTATTCGTTATTCTTTTACAATATTTACTGACTCTTTTGACAATTATATAGGTATGTACATTTTACATCACAAAACATGTTCGGCTGGCACTTAAAATAGGTAATACCTGAGCTATAAGTACCAGCAACCTTCTAATGACACAAATATACATTACAATACAATTTTATATCATTTATCTAATCCTTTCACACAATGTTCATAATGAATTCGTGTTAATTAAAGAAGCTTAACTAAGTAAGTAGGTAACAAAAGATAATAACAACATGTGCTAAATGGATACGACATCAACAGACATCACAATCACATATTTACATGTAATTTATTGATTAGCATATTTTATTCGTAAGTCAGATGTAAATATAAGCTTACCAGTGGCAAAACAAATTCAATATTTTCACAGTACTTTTTATTCTTACTCTGAAGTTGCTTTTTAAAAGTATAAAAATTTTGGTTGTTCAGGTTCTTCAACGTCGCGTACTTGTGGTACATTTTTACATCGGTCGATAAGTCTGTAACGAAATACCTTCTGTTAATAATTTATTTTGATTGGCAATACGTGATGACCAACATACGTTACATTTTTGACGACCGAATGGCGTAGTGGTTTGTGTAACGGACTGCTATTCCAAAGGTCGCGGGTTCGATTCCCGCTCAAGTCAAACATTTGTGAGCATGAACATTTAATGTTTGATTTGGTCTGGGTGTTTCTATGTATAATAAGTATGTATTTACAAAAAAAAAGTATAAATGTATTTATATCAGTTGTCTAGTACCCATAGTACAAGCTCTGCTTAGTTTGGGACTAGATGGCGTTGTGTGAATGTGGTACAATATTATTATTATTATTATTTATGGAGTGTAGAGTATGGAGTTTAGAGGCAAGGAGAACTATCTCATAATGGGTGAAAGTTGAAAAGGTGACCAGCTGTATACTGAAAATAGAGGTCGCTAGCGTATGAAAAATTACGATACGAACACAGCTGTTCTAGATGGAGTGAAGTGTGCTGAGTTCAAATATTGAAAAAAAATCATGACTAGAGTAGTTAGTAAAAGGCCAGTATACAAAACCCCAACTATTTACGTGATTTTATTAGTCTATGTTACTCGTATTCTAATTATCTACATTTGATGTTTTCCTTAAAATTTATCCTAGGCCCTCCATAGTTATAATAAAAGTATCAATTCGCGAGGGATACGTTCCGTAAATAACAGTGAGAATGACATCTGCGTTATCCAGAAGTAGCTCTCTAAAATCTTTAATTTTTTCTAGAAATATAGAACTTTAGTAACAAAACAACCCCAAAATCGGACACAAACATAGTATTTGTAACACACACTTTCCTATTTGTGTGCTACGCTAGTAGGCACACGTATTAACATATTACAAGACAATCACAGATGCGATAAAGCAGAGCAGCATTTCATCATTTCTTTTTTTACCTTAAGACCAGCTCTAAAACATGAACAATGTATCTACAATGTCTCAAATTTTATAAAGCTTGAATAAGAAAACAGTAAATCACAACATAGTTGTTTAGGAAGATAATATTCTGGGAAAGCGGGCACTAAATACGCGTCAACGGACTTATGTCTCTTAAATTGCAGGTGGAAATAGGTGTTGGTTATCATCAGGGGAGCCGTCTGATCGTTTAACCCCCTTCAATTCAAAAAGATGTGTGTATCCAATAATAACTGTAACTGCATATTAACATAAAAAGCTGTGCGACTGTTGTATCAATATCTTGATAACAAGATATTGATGTACAACTACAGAACTCTGCCACGCTTCGCTTTGGTACATTGTGGTTGCAATGATATGAAATAAGGAACAAAACTGGTATAAAAAAAAAGATACAACAATCTTTGAAGCGGATTGTAGATCGTGTCAAAGTTTAAGCACAATCGGTGTAGAACTGTTATGAGTATTTGAAGCATACACAAACATTTCTATGTAATAGATAAGTAACAACAATAAACGTAACTGCAATAAACGTAATTGTTATGCCTATCATCATCATCTTTATTAGTCCACTGCTGGACATAAGCCTCTCCTTAGAAAGGAGGTTTTGGCCTACTATACCACGCTGGCCAGACGGGTTGTTATAGGGTTTGTTTCAAGTTTTCCTTCTCTTTGCAGTGCTGTTGTCCTGCATAGTTTGCTCCCTTAGTCCCTTAGTTTTACGACACCCACGGGATAAATAGGGGTGGTGACACTCTGTATTCTAAATCCGTCACCACATAGACATTATGCCTAACCAGAATGTAATGATTTTGGAAGTTTTCTTGTTTTTTTTCAGGAAGGGGCAACAAACAGACGGTTCACCTGATGGAAAGTGACTACCGCCGCCCATGAACGACTGCAACTCAGGAGTCCCAAGCGCGTTGTCGGCTTTTTATGAAGGAGTACGGTTTGTCACTGGCGCTTACTTCGTCTAATAAATATATATTTGAATAATTTAATTCACTTACCAGCAACTATTGCTTTTGGTTTTTCAGGATACTGTACGTCCATGCAAACTTGGAATATGTAATCAGTTTTACGCGACACAGTCCGATTCTAAAAATAGCAATTTACAAATTTATTACATCACGAAATATTTAATTAATATGCTGTCTTTATAGGATATATACTATAGGTTTTTTTTAAATGAAAATACTAAAATAGCTAACGTTGCAAATAAATTCTTCACTACCTTTACGTCAGGAAAAACTGCATATAATTTAGAGATAGTAACCGAAGCCAAGCATTTATAAAGCAACACTCTGTCAGAATACGGAGCACTGATAGCCAATTCTGTAAAAAATAAAGAATACTGTATTAGATTTGTATTGTAAATAATATATTAATTATTTGTACTAAAACGTATTTTCACTAATGAACCGTTTTGAACTTTTTTCTAGATGAAATACACCCTGTCCTTTGCTGTATATTCGGCAATGTGTATGTTAAGAGTTCATGATTACCTGATTGACGGTATCTCAGCGCATAAAACACGAATAAATAAATATTGGTTTGTATACACTGGCTCTCCTAATAAAAACATGTGGCAATTTGAATACAACGTTCTAGAAATATCGCAAAACAATCACCAAAGAACGTTAGTAGATGTAGAAAAATTATAATTACAACAAATCAGCCGTAATCACTTTGCTGATTAATATCAAGGGTGCACTCACCATTGCATCCATTGTGATCATAATCTTGAAGTGCAGTCATGCTGAAACCAAAAGATTGTAGATTCTTTTCAGTAGGCTTGATCTTTTGCAAAAAATTCAAGGTCTTGTCCGTTGAAAATATAGAGGCGCCAGAGTACAAGTACACAGCGCCACCATCTTCGAAAGGCGCTCCTATTGCTATTTCTGTAAAATATATTATCTAGTTAAATTGGTAAAATTTTGTGTTAGTAGATTTAAGATTCTTTGGATTAGTAACTTAGACTTTCGTAGTGCCTTCTCTGACAACCGGAAAACATTTGTTCCAAAGGAATGTTACTTACTATCCTTGAGTATATTAAAAAGCCTTCATACAAAATTATTTCAGGTCGTAATTGTCTCATGCAAGCTTCTCAATTGTCTAATACAATTTAAAGTGGACGAGTCTAGTAGACGAGAACTTGCTAGGCCTGAGTGAATCAGCAGTGGACTTACATGTGGTTGGCAGTGTTTATTCTATAATAAATCTAAGTAGTGTGTAAAATGCATTAAACCAAGCTTGAAATGAATTCGTAGTAACGTTATTCCTATCTTGAAAACACTAAATTTAAAAATTAGTATTGTCTTTTAGCCTCACACTTTACAATTTGATACGACAACCAGTACCCAAGCCTATTTAGGTCAAATCCATTATGAAGTAAATACAACAAGTATTTACATACCATCTTTTCTATCACCGTTGAGATCACCGACACTTATTATAGCACTGCCAAATAATGAACCAGACTTGTAACCAACTATTTTTCTTCGGAATACAGGTGTAGCCTGTAAACGAAAATTATTAATTATATTGGTTGTTAATAGAAATATGGCATTGAGTTTAGAACGAATATACAGACCAATAGGTTTGTATCGTATCCCATCATCATCACATCAACAGCCTTTAATAGTCCACTGCTGGACATAGGCCTCTCCTTAGAAATAAGGTTTTGGCCTACTATACCACGCTGGCCGACCAACCATGTACCAACCGTACAGGGTTTGTGTCAAGTTTTCCTACTCTTTTTAAAGTGCTGTTTTCTTGCGTAGTTTGCTCTCTTAGTCGGCTCTTACGACACCCACGGGATGAATAGAGGTGGTGACACTCCGTATTCTTAATCCGTCATCACATGGACGGCCCGGTCCGTATATTCGTCCTAATCTTTAATACGAAGACATCGAAAACGAGCAACTTTAAGAGATAAACAATCAATATCAATAATTTGATTATTTCAGGTAATACTTTAGGGTGTGATTTCTGATTTATGAATTCTTATAATTCTTTTAAGTAATTTGCTAGAAATCTTTTAACTATTCAGTAACAGTTCTTTAATACTTACGTTTGCTGTATTGTAAGCATACACATAAACAGCCCCAGTGTTATAACCAGTATCCAAGGCGTATGTCGGTGCGCCCACTAACAAATCATCTCCTTTGCCGAATTCATTTATCTTTGCCTTGCACAGTACTGCGCCGAACATTGATCCTACTACCTCCACGTCGATGCTTTTGTTCAATGTTATGTAAGAACTAAAGAGCCCATTAGTATACGAATAAAAATAAATCTGAAATAAATAACTATTATTTACAAAATGGCATGTTAACAAACTGCATAAACTGATGATAAATAAATTTGAAGTGCATATTTTTAATGTCAATATATTGGTTTTTTCATGCTCATACGGTTATTTGCAAGATACCTATGCCTAAAAACCAGTTTAAATATTTTTTGTCTGTCAAATTCCACGCGAACAAATTCGTGGGCACTAGCTAGGTTTTATATATAAAGCTTCAGCCAATATTTTTGAAATAGCAAAAAGTCAGCAATGCACGCCTAGTTTTAATTTTTTTCAGGCAAAGGATCAAGAGTAGAGAGAATTATTTGCCCCGATAGGCTTGTGCCTTCTTTGTCTTTATTCACAAGGTGAGTAAAAGACAAACGCCTATTCTAATACCTAATAAAAAAAGTTAAAGCCTGTCAAAAAAAAAGGCAACACTAAATCCTAAAATCTGTAAACCTATTTATCTATTGCCAAAGGATTTAAAAAAAAAGAAATAACGTACTCACTAAACGTTTGAAAGTAAACAAAGCTTTAAATCAACGAGTGTTTGGTTATCAAAATAGTAAAACTGCGCAGGATCTGATCTGTTCTTATCTTTGCCTCTCTATTCTCAAAAGTAAATTACAAAGATATCAGTGAAGAATATTTTCTGAAGTAAAAGGAATCGTTAATATATATATTAGTCTGTTCTTAATTATTAAGTGAATATGAAATATATTATTGTATATTCGCATAAATCATCATTTCTGTTCAAATTAATACTTACTTTTCCAGGTCCGACTGTGCCATAAGTTGTACTTACGGCATAAGACAATATTTCTTCACTCATAAAATGACCTATCGCTACACTATAACCTGGAACATGAGCAATACGAATTAGCTTCAATAATTACTCTTACAATTTAAAAGCTATTCAACGACACGATTTTACAACTTTAAAATCGTCTAATGGCCTTGTATAAAATTGTTAATTCCTGTTGGGAACAGTGGATAAATCCTAAGTATCATCTACTATCTATTTAGGCACTCGAAAGAGTAAAAGAAAATTATCTTACCAAGGTTATATATGTTTTTTTCCTTATTGTTTAAACGTATTAAAACGTTATCTTGGTCTGTCTTAACTGGCCGAATAGCAGCAATACCTTTAAAACAAAAAAATTAAAATTGAAACTTGCAAGTCTAGAACGATTGTTCCGTAAAACTGGATAAAAATTACAAAAGTTTTGCGTTTTCCTAATCCCTGGATGTGTAAGGATAGTGTATATTCTGGCCACGTCAAATGATCAGATACGTTTATTTCCTGAACCAACCACAGCTTTAGCTAATATAGGAAGAGATAAATTCTAATTATTGTCACAAAGAATTCCTTATTTCTAATGAATGGGCTGAAGTATCCACAGTCAATACCACAATTGGTAAGGAAGAAACTGTTAGCTTAGAACAGGTCGCTAGCTGAGGCCGACGCTAAAGTATTTGTAATATTTAGATTTTACTTTTTTTTCTATTTACTCTTGCACATATTAGAATAGTCATATACTAGTTTTTTGTTCGCTACAGTAATAAGCTTTATTTAAGAATCTAATGACAATAAGATGTAAATCATATACAGAATGTTATCAAGACCTTATAATAATTATTCGGCATTTTTTTTTATAAATATTTAATAGTTTTACATTCATATAAAATGTTTGCCAGAATTATTAAAACCTATGCAAGATAATCCAAAATAACTTGTTCGGTTTGTATTTTAAATGAAAATCCTTACATTTAACTAAATTGCAATTGTACACATGAGTGTGTTACATAAAAGAGTCAAACTGTTAAAACTGCATTTTTGATAAAAAGTTCAAACAAACAAAAATGAAATAAGTCCATTTCTACACTTTTACTAAATTCTTTTTACTTCTATTGAACGTTTGAACGAATCAAGCATTCGATAAATTTTACCGTTAACGGACCGTAATCGTAAAGCTTAAAAATCAGATTTAAGATATACATCGAATTATTGAAACCCTAATATACCTGTATTATTAAATAAGATTGGGCTCCCAACAATTATGGAGCTATCTTCTCCGATGTCCAAACACCATCCCAGACTGTCCATTTTCTTCTCTGCAAAACATAATTTTATTTAGTTACAGTACAGTTTACTATGAACGTAATTATTCTACTTTCCCGTTCGTATTATGGTTGTAAGAGGAAATGGAGAACAAAATTGCTCTCGACACAATTGATGTCACAGAACCTTTATTAATGGGACTGATCCCCTACTTAGTATATTTAATAGGACTGATCCTTACTTAGTATCTTTAATAGGAATGATCCTCACTCAGTATTAGTGAGATCAGTGCTGCAGTGTAGTGCAGTGCAGTGACTCCTGGACTCAACTCCTGGACTCCAGAATCCAAAAGATTGGAGTAAGACATCCTTTACAGTTTAAATTTCCCTTTCCAGAGGATAAACATGCTGGGAGACTTGAAAGTAAAATTAGGCTAGAAGCTTTTGTGTGTGAAAGAGCTTGAAGGTATTTGAAGTATAGTAATAACTAAGATGTCGGACTTCCATATAAGCGGAGGCCCTGAGGGCCAGCAACGTCGCACTACTACGACGACCGCAAAGGGTCCTGGCCATCAGGGTCTTAAGGGGGTACCACGCGATTCCTTTGAGGCAGCGAGTTTCCTGAAACTCCACCATGGGGTCTGGAGTCGAGAGCCCTTGCGGCTCTGTAGTGGCGCAAGGAGGCGTGGGGGTTAGGTCGGAATCTTGAGACTCGAGAAATCGAAGACCAGAAATCCCAACTCTGCCAGGTCCTCGTGGAGGAGTGGAAAGAACGAGTTAGGCAACCATGCGCAAAGGTACCCAATTTCAAATGCTTTACTCACCATGGTGCACACAGACTCCTTTATTGTCATATTCTGCCGCGATGGGCTCAGGGGCCATGTGCGAACTAAAGTTACTTTCAATTTCTTTGCGAACGTAACACCGTCCAAATATTCCAACGAAGTCACAACTGTTGATATCTGGTAACATAAATTTACTTAAAGAGTTATTTATTTATAATTAAATTAAGTTTCTTCTTTAAAGCTGTTATTTAATATTAATGACTTGACACGTCTCACACAACGTCATCTGATCCCAAGCTAAGCAGATCCTGGCATTGATAACCAGAATGTTCATCAATTGTCTTTGCACCGACTTCAAACAGACTAGAAGGGACTATTGGTATTATAATGTTACCTGTTACATTGAGGGTACTTATTATAGTTTTTTACTTAGACTTGTAATTATTTTTTAATTTTTAGTGCTCTTTGTCGGTGTTGTTTGAAGTCGGTTCAACTTTTTATAAAAGGGTTTTTTGACTTTAATGTATTTAATGACTTCTATTATTCCAATTTATTTTAGGGATGCTAATTAATTGTTCTAAAATTATGTTTGTTAATTAATTGATTTCATTTCTTTTCTTATTAAAACTATTAATGCACCTAAATGAAAATATTTCTAACAAAAAAATTAATCTGTAAATACATACTTATTTCGGATAAATTACACCCAGACAGAACAAATGATCATAGTCGTGGCACAGTCCTGGGAGGGAATTGAACCCCTGACCTCTGGCTTGGCAATCAAAGTCACTAACCATTAGAATAACAGCCAGTCTCCTCGGATGAGTACAACCCTACAGACAGCCTCCCTTGAGCACTCGATCGACACGCAATCAATTCTGTTTTTATTGGTGACATAGCTATTTGAATAACCTTTGTGAAAGGGCCGATTAGATTTATATTTTGAGTTATGTTTATTTTCTACTATAATTATTACATTTTAATAACAAAAACAATAAAACAATAATTCCCACAGATAGAATTGCTTTGCAATGCAGTAAGTAGTCAATATTATTTATATTATTTTTAAAAATAATAATTGCAAAACAAAGTACTTGCTTTTGAGAATACTTACAACTGGAATACCTTGGAGTACATGCCTGAAAAGAATCAATGTTTATATATTACATACAAAATGATGACTAATAATAGTTTATTAAATTATATACTAATAATATTTATACACAATTAAATCACTGGCTAAAATATCGTCGACGTCTACATAGTTATTATTTAATAAAGTACAGAATAAACGGTACTTACTATAAAGTACCTATTTACTTGTTTTAATTAAATAGATTAGCTGTTACGTTTATATAGCTAGGGCCAAAATAATAAATATTTTACTTTGCTTTTACTTCAAAAATTAAAATCAAATTCATAATACATATCAAGTGGGATATGAATAGAGCGCATGTAATTTTTTATATATATATACATGATATACTGCAATAATATAAATAATTATTTCCTTAAATAAGGTTGGCGAAGGGAGTCAGCATTCCCTTGTTTATGTTTACTATAACCGTGGTAATACAGTACACCTCCGCGTTTCATCCCAGTCCTTTACCAATCAAATTAGTTTAGTATGTATACAGTTTTAAATCCGTATCAGTACAGCATTTGTCGTTTCGACATAACTTTGAATAAAGCGGCCTATATGTTTAGAATCACTAAAATGTTACAAAATCGTAGACTTAAAAAAATATATTGTTTTAACGGAAATCCATTTGCCCAGAAATTTAAAATCTCTAAACCGGTTTACTTAAATTAACCTTTTTTTTTTAGTCCGTGCGGAAATCCCCTCGGATACCACCTATCAGTGGCATGTCAGACTCGAATCGACTAAAACCGCACGCCGTCTCGGGTACTAATAGCCGGGGAACCAGGTATACCCTAGAAACGAGGTCTCGCTTTTTCATCACTTTTATCATTTTTAATTACAACATTAGAATCGAAGTTTCTACACGCAGCTCAACAGAAAGCGTCTTCAAAGATCATAAAAAAACAAGATTGTCTGTTAACAGTTTTCACTCTTACAGGATGGTACCAAAATTGTTCATTTATTTATACACCTGGGAGAGCCATGCTGGCCCCCGGTAGTTGAAAAGGCGCATGTAATAACAAGTCAAAATGGTGTTTTTTTTTTTAATAAAGTTAATGGCAAATCGTTCGCTATCTTAGTAAATGAAATATTAAAAATTGGAATTTATAGGCATGATAATAGTCTTTGACAACAAGTAATGAAAATATAAGTATTTTCAAGTTATTTAATTAAAAATGACAAGAAACCGTTTCATTTTAGTGTAAAAAAAATGTAAAAAATACTTCCTTAATTAAATAGACACAAATAGCCAGATGCTCCTTTTAAATCTCAAACGCTTTTTGAAGTAAATTTTAGTCTAACTATTTGTGTGTAGATCTGTACTTTATGTTTTAAGGAACAAAGGTGCATTTGGTTATATCATCATCATCACCAGCCTATCGCAGTCCACTGCTGGACATAGGCCTTATATAGTATTATCTTTGGTTATATGTGCCTCTTTATTTAAGTATTCAAAACTATGCAAAAATGAGAATACATATAATTATCTATTAATTGCTTCATGTGACTCATTAACCTGAAAATAGATTTACCTACTGTATATTTTCCGTTTAAAGCCCCTTATGATTACACTAAGCAATAAAATAGATTTAAAGTAAGTATGAAGCCGTATATGACAAATGCGTCTACGTCAAGACTAACTTTTAGAAACAAATAGGGCTTAGGAGGCTGAGAGAGATGTTTTTTCTTAGTGTGAGAGCAGTTTTCAATTAGTGCATTAGGCTTAAATGGTTCCATGCACATTATTAATTTCGTCCTAGAAATACAGTTTAATATGCGCCTTTTAGATTACCGTACTAAAAAAAAATCGTATGAATTATTGGCGTATTTATGCAAATGTTATTTTAACTTCAATAAGGTGTAAAAAAAGTATGCATAAAATATATAACTCAAATTCGAATAAAATATTAAATGCGCCTTTTCAACTATGCAGCATGGGCTGATGCCCATGCTGCATAGTTCACAAGTTCATAGTTTACTTAGCTTGGGCACAATTGGGCCGGATCGACTTGAGTGCTACCAAGGTCTCGCAGAAAACCGATGTTGAGCCATTCTTTCGTTGGTTTCTACCGATTAAGTGACGTATCCAGAGCCCAAACAACCACTCAATTAATACTGGCGGGAAGAACTCAAAGGGCGGCAAAGCTCTCTGTGGCTCTGGAGTTGCGGGTGTCTATGGACAGTGGTAGTCACTTACCATCAGGTAACCTGCTTGTTCGTAATCTCCTCTATACCATAAAAAAAATTATGTACTTGAAAACTCACCACTAGGAAATTAGGGCCCGCCTTTACAGTCGCTCCAAACCAGTAATCGTGCGTATACAGTGTATCTATAACAAGTAAGCAAAATAGAATAGAAACAGGTAGAACTGTAATGAAAACCAATGGCATAACAGGACATTACATACTGTTTATGTAATACTCATCCAACAACAGTGTTATTGTATTGTGTTCAGGGTCAAGTTGGCCTGAATGTATGTGAATGAGAAGATGTATGAACTGTAATGGTAGACTATCTAGACGTCAAAAAAAGAAACTTTTTAGCATTCATCCCAATCTTCTAATCATTATGCTACCCTGATACTCTCTGCCGTTTCGTAGGACACAATCTTCAGCAAATAGCTGAAATATTTAAGGGATACGATGAGACGAGGGCAATCACTGTGATGGGTTTTATGTGACCTAACAATTGTCACATGAAGTTGAAATCAAACAAAGCCTTGTTTTAAGTGACATAGTCACTTGAAACATAGTCACTCGTATAATAAGAACTAAGACGTCGGTAAAAAATTCTTCAAGTTAAAGAAAAATAGCACTCATTCAATTGTTTTTACTTTTCTCGAAGTCTGTTCTATGATTTTATACTAAGTCATTTCTATGTTTAATTTTTTTTTAGTTTAAGAAGTATCTTATGCTAAAAAATTAAAGAATAGATAATTGAATTGGTATTACACCACAAATAAGCATCGATAACGACGGGCGCATTTTATGTTATATATTTATGTTAATGGTGTAGTGGTTTGTGTAACGGACTGCTATTCCAAAGGTCTCGGGTTCGATTCCCGCTCAAGTCAAACTTTTGTGTGCATGAACATTTAATGTTTGATTTGGTCTGGGTGTTTCTATGTATAATATGTATGTATTTACAAAAAAAAAGAAGTATATATGTATTTATATCAGTTGTCTCGTACCCATAATACAAGCTCTGCTTAGTTTGGGACTAGATGTCGTTGTGTGAATGTGGTAGAATATTATTATTATTATGTTATTCAACCAGTTTTTTCGTTGCCAACTGTATATTTTAGAACAAAAGATTGTCACTATAAAATCCACTGGCTGTTATTTACCTTCTACAAGTTATATACCCGAGCTAGAGTTTATACCCATCACTAACTCCATAAATATAAGTAATTTTAATTTAAAAGCCCCTTTAGTTACTATTTAGTGCATTCAAAATTTTCCAATCTCCAATTCCCAAAGTCCCTGCTAGCCAATATTACTTGCCTATTAATAACCAAAATGTAATTGGCAAAATATAGGTATTTAGTACATCTTCGCCTATCAGTTTATGTACGTATTCGGAGTTTATATAAACAATAACTATCAGGTAGAAGGAAAACCATGATCACAACTATTTTAGATATTGAATAATACAATGAAATAAGGACCATTAAAGCAAACCGGTAAACTATTTATTTTATTGTAATGCGTGTTGATGTGAATACTTTGAAATTAAAGAATAATAAGTTTAGCGCTAAAAATATAACAATCTTCCTGGTTCTTTTATGGTTGAGTTATGAGGATGTAGTGGATATGAAACTATTTGGGTCTGTACTTTAAAATCATTAATTGACTGAGCTTAAGTTTTTCTACTTAAAAAACACTGGTTAAAGCTGGCATATGTCAGTTTTTAAATTTATGTAGATCAAAAACCTAATTTTCCCATTTGTTGCCCATGCACCAGGTTTACTACCAGTAGCAGAAGAGGTAATTCATTTCTTGCAGTAGTAAATACTATCAGTATTTTCTTAAATGAATGAGCGTAATTCCTAAATATTAATGACGAATTTTTTTCTATATCATAAAAAATATTTGGCTCTGTCATTCTGGGTAACCTTTGATGACTTTTAACATAGTGTGGTATGGTTTGACAATGATTTGTATGAAACAACTATGATCATAAAAAATACCCGTTTACCAGTATTACGACCGGTAGTAACTCGGGTATAAAGAAAACATTCCAACGAAAAAGGTAATGAAAGACAACACAACTTTTCTTTTGTCTCTTTTTATTAGTAGATTCTACGTTTCTTTATAATGTTCCACTTTAATTGTACAGCTGCTTTTTGTGATCGTTTCGTATAATAATTGTAACATTCGAAAACTTACAATTTGTAACAACTTGTTTTCAAATTACCCCACACCAACTAACTCAATACTTCATTGCTTCCTTGATGTGAATACATAGGTGACAACAATTTAAGCGGCAACAATTATGGACCCTGTCGGGCGCAGCACAGTTTGTTTGGGAGAGAGAAAGATGACACAACCACATACATATACAGTAGAATATTTTGTTTCTAATTAATATAGTAGTATAAAATCATGGTAACTATACATGTCATGTATAATTATAATATTAATTATAATCAATATTGTTACTTATATTTGTTCATAATTTTAAAATTGATTTAATAGTGTATAAAAGAAATATTGTCCGTTATTTATTATTTTAATTATTTATAAGTTATTATTATAATTATTTGATAGATTAATTATAATTATTTTAATAATCATAAATATATTATATTATTAGAAAAGAGGACACTATTATTTCATCCTTCAAAAATTTTTATTTTGTCTAATCTGGTTATAACAATTATAGACTTTATTATTCTAGAGTATTTTATTTACTTTCCAAATACTCTTTTACGCTGTAGAAACACTTGCTTATTAGGAATAACTTTAATTATTATATTTGACTGCACGGATGGCGTAGTGGTTTAAGCGGTCGCCACGCCGCTTCCTACTACGCCGAGTGTTGTGGGTTCAAACCCCACATGGGACGACACTTTGTGTGATCCACAAATTGTTGTTCTGAGTCTGGGTGTCCTTTGTGTCCGTTTCATATATGTTTGTAAAGTCCCCCGCGACACAGGATTTATTCCTAATGCGGGCGTTGTCTTTTAAAAAAAAAGAAAAAAAAAAAAAATATTAACAAAAGTAATAAATTTAGTCTCGTTTTAATGTCAATTGGTAATTTATTATAAACTTTTATAGACATGACCAAAGGACTACGAGAATGCATTATTAGTCTAGAAAGGGGTAGATTTAATTTGTTTTTGTGTCTAAAGGAAAAGTTTGTTTCTTTGTCTTCCCGTTTACTATACAGTTCCGGGTATTTTCGGACAAATTTACTTATTTCTAATATGTACGAGTATATACTGGGTAATGTTAGGAAGCCTAATATCTGGAAATGAGGTTTACAAGTATCTGTTTCTTGTATATTAACTAGAATTCTTACTAACTTTTTTGTAAGGTGAATATGGTAGATGCCTCTGCACCATTACCCCATAATATCACTCTATAAGATAGCCAAGAAAAGACGTAGGCGTAGTAGGTGACAAGTGCTGCAGCTAAATCTGTCGACTTTCTGATTTCTCGCAAGGCGTAAGCGAATTTTGATAGTTTCATTCTGACTTTTTTACTTGTTGTTTCCAATTGATCTACAAGACCTAGCAAGTTAAAATCCTTTACTTGTTCTATTTTTGTTGCTCGAAATATGAAGTTTATATGTATTGGTGTGTTTTGGTAGGGATGGAAAGATATTACTTTTGTTTTGGTGAAGTTTATTTGGAGGTTATGTTTATCCATCAAATCAGTTGTTTTGGTAAGTAACACGTTTAGATCTTCGTTAAGCTGGCGCGCTTCGTTAAGTCGCTTAAACCTTTTTGCGTATAACTGAAACTCTAGCAAACTCCCGAAATGATTTTTAGACGTGATGGTTTAACATGTCTAGTTGGATTAAAGCGTACTTTGATAACATTAAAATTCGATTCTATTAATCTCTATTTAATAATCTTTATTTAATAATCTCTACTTAATAAGATCTATTTAATAATCTCTATTTAATAAGCTCTATTTGATAATCTCTATTTAATAATCTCTATTTAATAATATCTATTTAATATTTTCTATTTAATAATCTCCATTTAATAATCTCACCTTCTCTAGTTATATTTACGGCAATTCTTGAACACGAATTGTTGTTTATTGTGGACAAGTCACACGTATATACCACTCCAATGTCACTCTCACGTGGTGCACTTATTATCATTCTGTAAAAAAAGTCATTTTTTATACATCCACAACCAATTGGTAGTAGTATTATCAACCAATTTAATATGTAAAATTGAAGTCCCAATTCTTGATTTGCACTTCCAAAAAAAAATTAAGAACACAAAGCTATAGCTCTCGTAACCAGTAATTAGATTCCAAACAAGTCGTGTAGAGTCTTTTGAACAGAGTTTATAGTTCTTTAACAGGTAAAAATTGTGCATTACATAATATCGAACCCCAGTCGCGCATCTCTGACTTTCTCTCTGATCATACCACATAGACATATTCGTCAACAACTTCGAGGACAGAGTTTCCCACGACTATGGGAGTCGGCGCGACATGGACATTCGACATGATTTTCCTCATGTCCATGTTCATTTTAAGGCCGATCTGTTGAGAAACTCCGTCGAGGTCAGCGAGCATTTGTCCCAGGTCTTCCAGCTATGCCGCCATGACTACGATGTCGTCGGCAAATCGAAGGTGAGTGATGTATTCGCCATTGATGTTGATGCCAAGTTTTTCCATTCCAGGAGCTTGAAGGCCTTCCAGAGCAGCGGTTAACAGTTTCGGAGAAATAACGTCTCCCTGTCTTACGCCTCTCTGTGATGGAATTGCCTTCGTGTATTGGTCCTGTACTCGAACTGACATATTGGCGTTATTATACAAACACTTCAATACCTCGATGTACCGATAGTCAATACGGCTCCGCTGGAGAGACCTAAAGACTGCCTAAGTTTCGATCGAAACGAAGGCTTTCTTATGAGAAAGCCTTCGATTCGATCGAAACTTGGGCAGCAATATCCACAAACGCCAAGCATAGTGGCCGATTATACTCCTCGGTCTTCTGTATAATCTGCCGCAGCGTATGTATGTGGTCTATGGTACTAAAGCCTTTTCGGAAACCGGCTTGTTCGGGAGGCTGGAAGTCATCAAACTGACGTTGGAGACGATTCGTGATGACTCTTGAAAACAGCTTGTAGACATGGCTCAGCAGTGTGATGGGCCTGTAGTTCTTCAATTATCGCCCTTCTTGAAGAAAAGTACCACCACACCCCTGTTCCATGACTCTGGCGTGTGTCCCTCGAGCAAGATGGAATTGAAGAGCTTCTGGAGGACCTTGAGTACCGGTTTGCCACCCGCTCTCAGAAGCTCAGATGTGATTTCGTCATCGCCCGGTGCCTTGTTATTCTTAAGCTGTTTCAGAGCCATCCCAATCTCGTACTGGCTGAATTCCGGGATATCTTCGGTATAATGTCGGGTTAGCCTTGCTCTAGTTTCTTTAGCTGGGCTACTACTTGAAGTACGATCTGGGCTACTACTACTGTTTGAAGACTAAAGAAGCTAATAAAGCCAAGATTCATTAAGCTACCATGATAGACTGAGTGACTGAGATTAGCTATTACTTGCGCTATCGTTGCTTAAAAAAACTATAACTAACCAGTCTTAACGAAATCAAGTTTACTTAAGAAAGCACGATGGAATAATAACAGCGAGAGTGAACCGTATTTCATCAAGACATATAAAAATTGGTCTTTTCATGGTCGAATTAGGCATGAAAATCATAAAGTAAATCGAAAAAGATCCCACCTACCCGCGTCTGAAAGTGAATGCTGGTCTTGTTTCAACGACATAATTTATAATTTATGATTAAAAGATGTTTATAGCTCACCGCCTGTTGTATATGTCGTAAGTGATACTATAACCAAAATATGAGTCCTCTCTTAAAGTATTTGGTGGTTGAAATTTTTCAATTGAATGTTCATGATAATAAATTTTTCCGCACACCATTTGTGTCACACACAGCAAAAGGATTACTGAAACAAAACCTTGGAGTTTAAAATGTGTCTTATACCATCATTTTAACAGAGAAAGTATAGAAATATTTTAGAGTCTCTCCAGAGATCCTAATGTGGTATCTGCCTTCTCTCTGGTTGTACATATAAAGAATAACATAACAAAATATCATTCAAGTCTTTATTAATAATTAATACAAAGCAATAAAAAAATTAAACCTAACTGGATTAATAAATTAATATGTTACACAATAAATTAAACATGAAAAATTTAAATCTAAAGTAGGTTTCTTCGAACTCCTGAAGCTTCAGAAATCAAATCTTTATTTGTCAACCAAGTGTACATTAATGGTCTTATAATAGTAATTTGTCTCAACTTAGTAGCATTTTTCAGGCAAAAATGAGAGAGAAAAATACAAGCATTTTAGAATAATAATAAGTAAGTGACTCAATAGTACAGTATAACAATTGAACAAATCATGCAAAATACAAAGGCATTCGACATTTTTCATCAACACATATTCTTCTGCTGTCCCTTTCATTATTGTGTATCGAAACCGATTTTTATTTTTTATTATTTGTGTTTAGGTATATTCATTCACCATTACCTTTGACATCTTGCCTTATCAGTTTCCCCTTCTACAATTCATCTTTCCTTCTCTATTTATAGAAAACGATTACATCTATCTATCTAATCTATTATAGGTTAATTCGTGATTTTTAAAATAGTCATCTTAATTGAAAACTGACAAATTGAATTCGAATATGACTGAACTAACGTGAATGTAAATATATAATAAATACCAATGAAATAAATAGAAAGTTATAAAAACGGATAATTTGTATTATGAATGTATTAGTTATAAGTTTACACATATAATTAGGCAATAAAAATTTATACACAAACTTTAATATTTTAAATTGAAATACTTAATAATAATTACGCAATAATAACAAATAAAAGTAAAATTATAATGTGTTAATGTGTAATTTAAGCATGTTATAACAACCTTCATGTCTAAATTTTGACAAATAAATAAATTAATAAATAATTTAACACTCACATATCATTATTGTGTTCACTATATGCGTGCGTCTAACCCTCACAGTGTCAGTAACCACTGTGAAACATTTTCCTTCTAAACAAGACACAATAACTGCAATCCGCTTCCTCCTCCACAAAACCGGCAAATATACTGTACAGGCATTATCTGCTGTAAAATTACGGAGTTGTAAAGTAGTTAATTATTCAATTAAATAAGTTATTGTTATTAATAGTTATTCGTAATTTAACTTTATTCATTTTCCTGCATTTTTCAGTTTTTATTTGGGATCGGTTTCTTATGGGCGGCCTGTCTGACATTAGCCATGATTAACAGCTTTAACAGCAAAGGAAGAATGAACCATTTCAGAATTATGAATTTGACAAAGAAGAAGATTATTAAAGTGGCAAAGATATCTGTCATAGTTGCAGCAGATAAGTGAGATTGTTTAGGAATACAACATATTGTGTTGATACTACGCACGATTTACATGTTTTCGCAGTTGTACGTCTAAAAAGCCATAGGCATTAATAATTTGAAGAACCGTGCAATTATAATAAAGCTAATTATGAAAGGACAAACTAAAGAGTTAAAAATTAAATGGTTTAGTCATATTAACCCGAGAACTATCCATCTCTAAATATCCTGTTATGTACTAACCTACCATACTACAAACCATAACATAACATAATAACAACCATACTACATAACTCTAAACCATAGTAATGGTTTAGAGTTAAATAAATCTAATCGTGGAAAGCCAACCACCCCGGTTATTTCTCTCGCAGCTCTGCCAAAGAATGAGTTCTGTATATAGTTTGATAAACATTGAGGAGTGTCCAGATATGCATGATATCTAGAATCTAAGCTATGACAGCCCTCTCTTTGTTGCAGGCAGATTGACATAGCGAAATTTATTTTCTTTTTATAATGATTATTTGTTAGGACTACGGAAATCTGTGTTCAATCGAAAACATATACTGCTCAATATGTTCTCCACAGATCGTTCTGTGAAGATGCGATCTTTGATTTTTTCTTCCACACTCAGTTTACGCCAGCTGTCTTCTTCAGGTCGTTTACTAGGATATCTCTACTTACTTTTTACGTTACTTAGTACCGGTGGCAGTGCGGTTAACACAAATACACGACAGAACTAAATGAATAACAAAACTTAACCAAAAACTTGTAGGCATATTTGTTATTCGTTCTGTCCTTCCTTCCTCCGAACCTTTTTCCCAAACTAGATTGATCGACTTTTGTACGAGTTGGATTAGATCAAGGTGAACCGGCGAAGGTGCCAAATCCTATTTTTACTGCCTTAAAAGGAATTCTCTTATGTGCAACTTAACAAGATGTACGTGCATCAATACTCAATACTTTTTGCTCCTATAATGTAAATAGATAACAATTTAAGCGCTATTTCCAAATGACAATAAGTACTTATCCAACATCGGAACATCAAAAATTAGGTCAGTATGATCATTTAGTCCGGTTGAAATAAACTCCCTGTGTTAGAGGGACGTCTCAGTTTTCCTAGTGGTGGCATCTACTCGTCGACCTGAGTACCTTTATTGCGCTATACACAACTAATTTTAGCCAAGTATTTCAGCTTGTCTTAGTTAGATGGCGCTGAATGTGTGACAGAATGATTTTTAAAGAATGAATTTACTTCAAAGCAGTTGCATCGCGATGACAGAATCAACACAAGAAATAAAATACATATGTATACAGTTGTAATAGTATTGTAAACATACAGATAAGTTGGAAACATTCAATCTTACCTTAATTTTATTACAAACTAGTGCTCGCCCAGAGTAAGATCCTTAATGTGGTTGCCTCACACTGCGGTGGTCAAAGGGAAGGATCGGGATGAGGATTGGCAAGGCTCTAACTCCACAAACGATTTAAAACCTAATGTATTCTATAATATTTTTACACATTTATATATATGTATATTATTATTATTTAAATATTCTTAAAAGAATTTGTGAATAACAGAAAAGGTAATCGACTTGTTTATCTATTTCAATTCATATATCTAGGGATGAGAGTAGCATTGGAATAATTTTCTAACCAACTATTTATATTTTTAATATAAGTACATGTCATTATATGTTAAGTTATAACTACAAAAAAATTAACTTCTGAATAATTAAGATGTTTTGCTAGTCGCTCTTTTCGGGTGTGGATTTTCATCGAATGCGATTTCATCCGACATTTCCATATTTTCTAATATCTCCGAGCGATCCTCAGTTGCTGTTGTTGGCCGTGCCATCATTGACCGTCTCTGCGAATACAAATTTCAAGCGATGTATTATGTTTTGCTGTTATTATTTAAGAAAAATCAGAACTGCTGCCTGCAACTCAGGAGTCAAGCGCGTTGCCGGCCTTTGAGGGATGAGTACGCTCTTATAGATATTTAACACATACACATTTGTAGATACATTATACCCAGATACAGAACAAATTATCGCGTTCATCACACTATTGCTGGTCCTGAGTGGCAGTCAGAATCACTAAACACTAGACCAACAGTCCGTCAAAGTCAAAATTAAAAAACATTTTTGAAAACAAGCTTTTCTTTGAGTTATTCTCAACAAGCCCTTTCATTTGATACCCATATTGTAGGTGTGCATTAAAAATAACTAGTCCGCCGTCTTGGGTGTGCCCCACGTTGGAATTAGAATGACGCCATACAGCTAACCATGCATTGTCATAAAACTAAACGTGTACCTAAAATTTCAGCTCAATCGGTTAAAAGCTTGTAAAATTTATTGCTTGCAGACTATTATAACTATTTTTTTTTTGAAAAGACAACGCCCACATTAGGAATAGGACTTTACAAACATACATAAAACGGACACAAAGAACACCCAGACTCAGAACAATAATTTGTGGATCACACAAAGTGTCGTCCCATGTGGGATTTGAACCCACAACACTCGGCGAAGTAGGAAGCGGCGTGGCGACCGCTTAAATCGCTACGCCATACATGCAGTCATTTTTTTAGTAATCTTTCTAAGGACACTACAATTTAGTTTCTATACTAGTCATATTTTTTATGGTATAACAAACGAACAGACCGGATTACTCTCAACTCAACAACAACCGGCAACGCAAAACTCACTCAAGTGTGTTGTTACCCCTAAAGTGTAATTTTGTAAAGTATTTTCTTCAAGTGTTAATGTATAGACTAAATGTACTCACTATAGTTTGTCTTTTAACACTTTCCTTGAGAGTATTTAGCTTCTTCTTATTCTTACGTTGCAGGAAACCATTCTGTAAAATTACATGTAAATTTTAATGTAGTTAAACAACACATGTCAGTGATCATATTGCCGCTTGTCAGGAACTAGTATAATACTATAAATTCGTAAAACTTAGAGAACATACGGTACTTATTATATTTATTGTAGTAAATATACTGTATTCTTGATGTTTATAACTACTTCATATTAAAATGTAAACTGAAAATCTTATAGGTAAGATTTCATATTTTAAAGTTTTCGTTAAGGTTTCGCTCGAGAAAATGTCGAAAATAAGGCGCTTAAGCCTTTAATAAAAGCTCGGTTGTTTTCCGTTTCTACATTTAGATAAGAGTTTTATTATTAAATAGTGCTTTTCTTTATTAGCGGTGTAACCACCTTCAGCGTATACAAAATCATCTTGATCATCGACAGCATTTGGAGCACTCTTTCTAAGGAGAGGCCTATGTCTACTGCTGGACATTATAAACCTTTCTGTAGAAAGGAGGTTTTGCCCAACTATACCAAGCTGGCCACGCTGGGTTGGTTAAGGATTTGTGTCAAGATTTCCGTCGCTTTGCAGTGCTGTTGTCCTGCATAGTTTTGCTATCTAAATTATTTTTTATATATTCTATTGTGTGAATGGTTGATTATATTTATGGTTGATTGATTTTATTTATTTATGCTAATTTCATAATAATATCTTTTGCTTCTGCAAAGTATAGTTCATATTAGCTTCATCTATCATCATCATCATCTACAGCCTTTAATAGTCCACTGCTGGACATAAGCCTCTCCTGAGAAAGGAGGTTTTGGCCTACTATACCACGCTGGCCAGACGGGTTGGTATACCAACCCGTCTGGCCAGCGAGAGAAGGAAAACTTGACACAAACCCTATAGGGTTTGTGTCAAGTTTTCCTTCTCTCTGCAGTGCTGTTGTCCTGCGTAGTTTTTTCCCTTAGTCGGCTCTTACGACACCCACGGGATGAATAGGGGTGGTGACACTCTGTTTTCTTAATCCGTCACCACACGGACCATATAGCTTCATATTAGCTTATAAATATTTAATTTTTTGTTATTGCATTGGCCGATTTACGTGCGTCACTCAGTAAAAGGTCTGGTTGTAAACCAGCGCTTGACATCTGTCAAGCAGACGCTGAACCAAGTCCTATGGTGACTGACACGAGAGGTACCTACACGTAAAAATGTATTTTCGCTTAAGCTTAGTATAAGTTTCCCTTATATTGTGAGTGATGTTCTTATGTTCACGAATAAATTGTTTTTCTTTCTTTCTTTCCCTCAGTCGGCTTCTATGACACCCACGGGATGAATAGGGGTGGTAACACTCTGCATTCTTAATCCGTCACCACAAAGACAGCATACAAAATATTGTTGTGATTTTACACGCAAAAGACCGAAGTAGTTACTTAATAGTCATACATATAAAGTATGACTAGACATTAGACGCGCTTGGAAGCAAATGTAAATTAGTATGCCGGGAAACTTTATAAAAACTTTAAGATTTATTTTTTAAAATCAAGTTTTGTTAGAGGTTTCAGCTGTCAGCCAGATGCTGTTGCAAGTGTCGAAAGAACTTATATTCACTAAAATGACAACGTTCAATCTAATAACTATTATAAATTTGAATTACTTGACAATCGTACCTTGTAATGTTAGTGTTTTAAAACAGAAATCATTTATCCAAATTAGGCTTACTGCCAGCAATTTATAAACGTCATTGTTTACATAAAGACAGCCCCCAAAAACGCCTAACCCGTCACAGCTTCCTAATGCTTTAGGTGGGAAGAAAAAGCGGTGGAACAAACTTCCCAGCAAATGTGTGTATATTACCTTATATAATCATCATCATCATCATCAACAGCCTTTAATAGTCCACTGCTGGACATAGGCCTCTCCTTAGAAAGGAGATTTTGGCCTACTATACCACTCTGGCCAGGCCAGGCCATTACCAACCCGGTAATAATACTAGTGTATAATTGATACATACCTTATAGAGTATGACAGCGATCACAATTATCAGTAATAATCCTACTAAACACGCTGCGATTAATATCCACAGGTCAACGTGGGCTTCCCGCCGTTGTATCACCGTTGACAACATTAAACTGGAAATAATTTCTTTTATTTAACATAGTTTATAACAATAAGTAATACGAAAAAACAAAGAGAAATTGAAACCAACCAACAGAAATGGTAAATGCCTCCGCCCAGTAGAATAACGAGAATTATAATAAGAGAAACGAGTTGAAATCACCTCCATTAATAATTTCTTTTAACTGAATCTCTATTTCTTCTCCTAAATCCTCTTAGAATATTTCATGTTAATTTATTTGTATGAAATGGTTTTTAAAATAGATTTTGGGAAACCTAATCTGATATAGAAAAACGACATCGAACAAAGAATCACTGGAAGAACATGCTTGAGGCATGAAGTCTGTCTTCAACAATGCATTTGTAGAAAGTGTTGTAATATACTCGTTAATAAATCTTTAAATTGCGTATGCAACGTAGATTACGTTAGATCAGTATTTAGACCATAGTGCCTGAACCTATTTATAGTCTGTATAATAACAGAATCCATCCAAAGGTTGCCAGGAAGAAATTGCACTAAGCGATAAGGCCGCCCTTTGTACATTACATCGGTCGTTAATTACTGTATAATGTCTGTAAAACATTGGTGTACAAATAAAGTATTTATCTATCTATCTATCTATCTAACAGTATATAGACAATCTTATATACCTATTGTATATAGTAATGTATTATAATAAAATGCATACAAAGATCTGACGTAGGATAGGAACATTTCGGGAAGGGGACGTTTTGGAAAAGAGAGATTCTGAGCCCGAACGCGAAAATCTCCACTGTCTGTATAATAATGGTAGTCTTCATAAATATTCAAGGTCATTCAAATCATTAACATTTTAGAAGATCGTCTTAATATACAGTGGTCGTATATCTATACTAACGAGATATCGCCTCACGGTCGAACTCCGACCGTTTTGAATGTTTTCTTTCATTGACCAGTATAATTTAAACCGTCAGTGAACCATTGTACCATGACAGAGCAAAATATGTACTGGACACCTATTATATTCATATCATCATCACATCAAAAGCCTCTAATAGTCCACTGCTGGGCATAGGTCTTTCCTTAGAAAAGAGGTTTTGACCTACTATACAACAGTGGCCAAACGGGTCGCCAAATTTATTTCAAACTAGCTGACCCGACAGACGTTGTCCAGTCTTAACTCTGAATATTTAATTGGTATAACATAAAAATGCAACTTTCTTAGTTCATTAATTTTTCTTTCATAAGGAAATCCCTCTCCTTCTTCTGTCAATAACAATAAAAAAAAATAGAAGAAGAAGGATTATAGGGATCCATTTTAGGGTTCCGTACCCAAAGGGTAAAACGGGACCCTATCACTAAGACTCCACTGTCCGTCCGTCCGTCCGTCCGTCTGTCTGTCTGTCTGTCTGTCCGTCTGACACCAGGGTGTATCCCGTGAACCGTGATAGTTAGACAGTTAAATTTTCACAGATGATGTATTTCTCTTGCCGCTATAACAACAAATACTAAGAACCTCCTCCTTTTTTTGAAGTCGGTTAAAAACAGAATAAAATGAATATTTAAGTGGAGCTCCCATTCAACAGACATGATTTTTTTGCCGTTTTATAGTTAATGGTATGGAACCCTTCGTGCGTGAGTCCGAATCGCACTTGGCCGGTTATTATTTACAGACCCCTATTCTCTATATAAAAACCGGAAAACTGCGATTCGTGTAAGGAATTTTCTTCGAGTATTAATAAATAGATTGAATAAAACTGAAGACTTATTGTTTGATTGGTATTTTAAACGCTAATCTCTTAACAACAAGTAGGATGTAGAAAACATCGAATTCAATGCTGAATGAATCGTTAAAATTCCATATTTAAAAATATCTAAAAATTTTGAATAATAATGAAAACCGACCTTTTAGGTGCTTCGGTGTCCAAGTAAATTGTCAAAGTTGAATTTACTGTCACACGATTTTGTTTTTCCAGTACATCATAAGCTGAAATAAATAATAGGTGATAAAAAATCATAAATTTTCCAACCTCAGGGTGTATTTTTTTCTTAAACTTGAAAAGAACAACTACATCCTCCCAAATTAAAAGAAAATATTTAAATCGGTTCATTCAGAACGGAAATGTAAGGTATTAAACAAAAAAAATCACCCAATCGAATTGAGACCCGCTCGTTCTTTTGAAATCAGTTAAAAAACTAACCTTATCCGTATTTATATTATAAATAAATATTAAAGTGAGTTTATTTGTGTGTTTTTTTGTTACGCTTTCACGCCTAAAACACCCTACCGATTTTTTAAATTCTTTCGCTTGGAAAGCTACATTTTTAGGCGAGTAACATAGGCTAATTATACCGCGATAACCGACATACACAAAAGCTAGTAATGTGATAAAACTTGCTTACTTAAAACATTTGGATTTGTATCCATGGCTATTCTGATTTTCACGAAACTGTCTTTAAATAAACTGTCTATTTGACACAAGGCTGTCATTTTTAAACCACTTTTATCAGTGTGACATGTCTTGTGTGAGCCTTCGGATTGTGATGTTCCTTCGACATGAATCTGTATAAAAAAATATTTCACATTTAATCATAATAAAACTGCAGTATTAAACATTATGAATCTTTCTCGGAATAACGATAGCCTAAGTCAATATTAAAGACTATAATCTATCTTTGTAAGAAAATTCATGTAATTCCGTTCAGTATGATTGACTAATAAACCTCCATTCAGCGATTCATCCCTGCAAACTTTTATATTCATAAATTTATATTATATTATTGTTTATATCTTGATAGTCAACGACAACAGCAAGAGTCAAAAGACAAAATGATTCTCAGTAAAGTACACTCACGGTAACAGGTATATCTGGATATGTGACGAAATCTGTGTTCTCCATCGTGATGTTACTGGTCAGGTCTTTGAAGTTGGTTGGTCCTTGGTTTACAATCTGTGCAATGATAAATAAATAACTAACAATAAATATCATCCTTGTTTGTCATACATATGTTATTTTAATCATCATCTTCATCAGCCTTTAGTAGTCCACTGTTGCACGTAGGCCTCTCCTTAGAAAGGAGGTTTTGGCTTACTATACCACACTTGCCAGACGTCTTCTCTTTGTGGTGCTGTTGTCCCTTAGTTTGCTACCTTAGTCGGCTCTTACGACAGCCACGAGATGAATACGTGTGGTGACACTCTGTCATCTTACTCCGTTACCACACGGACTGATTATTATTATATCTTAAGTAAAAATACGACATGTCATAATAAGAAGTGGGACAATATTTTGACCATAATAGAAGTGGAAAAAGTGTTTATAAGTTTCATGTAAAATAATAAGGATAATGTAAAGTGTATATAAGTAATAATTATAAATATTCTTAATTATATATTTTTTTTACTCTGTCTTCTAGAATTTATAAATATATATATAAATATAAATAATTATATGTATATATTATGTGTATGTAAATAATTATGTATTGTGTTAGTATCATTATCACTTATTGTATATGTATTATTCAGTAATAATTATTTTAATGTAATAAGTACTCTGGGTATATACCATGTTTTATCTCTGTATCGCCCTAAGGTTGACTGGGAGAAAATGCCTACGGCATTAAGTCCGCCTTTGTCACATTTGTGCATAAAGTATAAATAAATAAAATAATAAAACTTCAACCGTCACACATACCGTATAAATCTGCTCAAAATGTTTGGCAAACAACACTTCGTTCTCAACTATATTAACATATCCAACGTCTGTTATTCTGCAAAAACAACAAATAAACAATTGTGTATAAAACAATTTGTTTTATTCTTTCTTTTCGTTTATGATAAGAACTAATTGAAATTATATTTTTTTTTACATTAGTAATATTTTCGGACATCTGACACACAACACCATCTAGGTTCAAACTAAACGTGGCTACTATAAAAGCCAGATTGACTGATAAAATACTTAAATACTTTTTTTGTAAATACATACATACTAAACATAGAAAACACAATTGATTATATTTTTTATTTTGAGATTTAATTTAGTTTAATTTTTATAATTCTGTATTCAATTATTATCAATGAATATAACATACTTTTTATCAACATTTCGACTTTAAAAAAAGGCAGAATATTCTCATCATAATGGCGTCGTTTATTTTAATTGGAACCGATTTGGAAAATTCTTTTTTTATTTCTAAGGAGAAACTTTCAGGTTAGTCTCGTTCAATAATGCAGAAAATAACTACTGCATTGGTGAAAAATTATGTTAATTACAATTGATCCTGATGATGATTGGAGTTGCAGAATTTTCTAAAAGTTTATTACTTCCTTAATGACACTGGCTTTTTTTCAGTACTTACAAACATAAAAACAACGCAGTATTTATTAAAACGCAGTTTCATGAAAATGAATTAAATATTTTTTTATTTGTGGATGTGTTTTTAAAGTAAAACATGTACATACCCCCTTATATAAATACCATCGGAGTTACTTCTTAAAGGAAAACTTAATTCGTAAGACTCGCTGGTATTGGTGTCTGTGCAGCGTTCGAATAATTTCACTTTCAATGCCACTCTTTTGTCCTGATTTGTCAAACTTCGTAGATCTACTATTATATCATTGATGTCCTGTTCACAAAAAAAAAGAAACTTTAAAGCGAGGCTCTACCGGTTCCTTCAATTATGATTATACAAAGAGTACCAACAAAACTAAATGCTAAAACAAATATTAAATGCCCAATCGTTTATAAAGATAACAGAGGTCCATGAAATTCTGATCATGTCCATGATTAAGAAAGAACTTAACAGAAGAGATAATTCTGAACCAAAAGTAAAGACTATGGAATCACCAGCCAGTGGGAAAGCCCACTTTGACGATTATGAATCGAATATGATTGAAATTTATTTATAACTTAACTGACAAAATAATAAAATGTAACCACTATTTATCTTGAGTATGCTGATTTGTGTATTTAACATTTTTTAGGATAACGTTCTGAAATCTGCTTCTTCAACTAAACTTTGAAAGCCTCTCAATCTCTTAAACATTCTTTTCCATCGCTTGTAATATTATCTCAACGTGAAAAAATTACCCAAGTAGCATTAGTTCTGATAGGCTTCATCGTCTTGCACAACCATGATTCATCTAAAACGTTATTCCAGGAACAGAACATTGGTGATTTTTGCAGAGTACCACCTGATACTCTGAGCTGAATACACGGATCATAAGCCACCTCACCAGTATTCAGCACTTGGACGTGAAACACGCTAGCGTCTTTAGAGCCAGTAATAAAAGGTCGTTCTCTGAAAAAAAATACGAAACATTACTCGTATGTTACGATCCCATACTAATGTTTGATGCAACTAATGAAAACAAGATTACGACGACGACTTTAAAATAAATAAATGAATTTAAACTTTAGTTTCTTGTTTTGTTTTATTTAAAGTTTTAGTGACTCCTCTGTGTAGGAAAGAATGAATTCGAGAACTAAACGTTTTCTGACTGTGATCATATGTTTAATGTTAAACGTATTATGTTTTTAATAGTTTTTTATAATAATAAAAACTGAATTGTCTAACGAAACAGTTCTAATAAGTAGAAACAGGAGTATTACACAATTATTTGACACTTGTTACAATGTTGTACTCACTTTATATCGGAGGTGATCGTTAGGCTGAGATTGGATATACAGCCACTAGCCCCGGAGCACTCACCAGCCCAAAATGAACCAGAATTAGATAGCTTGCTGTGGTCAGAGAGGATGACGTGGGCACCAGTCACATGTGTCATGTTCATGGGGCTGTTTAGTAACTTCGTTGAAATCTCATATCCTATTTCGGTACTATAGTCCTTATCCTTAAAAGAAATGTGATTGTTTTACACAACTATATATGTGGAATACATCACATTTGAACTATAAGAATTTTAGGAGTCGTACTCTTAATACTTTTTTTTATTAAATCCTTAAATGTGAAGGTGAGTTTGTTTTTTTAAACGATCCTTTTGAACGTTAGCATAGTTGAGCATAGATACAGAAAATGTTACCGAGTGGTGGAAAAATATTTTAGAGGACCACTAATAAAATCAAAAGCTGATAATTTATGAAATCACTTTGGCAGTGAGTGCTTAGAGCTTACCAGAGGTAAAATAAAGTCAACTTTTGCACAGTACGTAGAGTTCTTACTCTGAAGTGGAGTATGAAAATTATAGACATTCCGATCGTTCACAGACTTCAACGTCGCATACATATGATCCAATCTTACATCCGTTGATAAGTCTGAAATAATACAATTTATAAATTGATTTATTTCAATAATCCCTCATAATGAATAATACTTTACAATGGATAAATTTACTATCACCGCTGTATAAATATTTTTGACTGGCCTGTTGGTTTAGTGGTTAGTGACCCTGACTGCTACGCCAGAGGTCGTGCGTTCGATTCCACCCAGGACCAATAATTGATGAGCACGGTCATTTGTTCTGTGTCTGGGTGTACTTTATCTTTAATGTGTATGTATTTAGAAATATATAAGTATGTTTATCAGCAGTCTGGTTACCGTAGTTGTGTGTGATATGTGTTAAATATTATTTTTACTAGCGAGTCAATATTTCTATCATATCTCTGCGGGGTTGTTTTCACACACGTTCATCAATTTAAAAGAATCCCGACTCGGTCGGCACACCCTTCCGCCACTGCCAATCTCCACCGTATTCGTTTCTTACTGGTGAAGGACCAGGAGTGACTCACATATTAAGCGTATTGTTTGTATTAATAGTTAGAAGCATATTATTGTTGTATTAATAGTTAGAAGCATATGGAGCACTCTCGCTTTTGCAAGACTATAGGAATAGAAACACAAACGGCTTGCTCCAAGAAGAAACAGCGATGCTGCCAAAAATACGCTACTTGCATCTCACATCACATCACATTGTACTTCTGAAAATAACTAAGTGAAGTAATTGCTTATTAGTACTACTACTTAAGTACCTTTAATTATTTCGTATGTTGGATTTCATCAGTAGAATTAAATGAGTATTAATTATTGTTATATTCATGATGATCATCTCATAAAAAATCAAACTTGGATCGCGTGGGTCCGACTGGGTTTGTTTTGTGATAGCTACCCACTTTATTTATTTATTACACTATTTATTATATAACTTTTTACACATTTTTTTTACTGATATGTAAAAACATTAATATGTTAGTCAAACGCCGCTCCGGCACTTGGTATTTACTGTATTTATGTTGTATTTTCTCTGATAAACGAATGTAATTATTCTTTTGAGAAAATAAATGTCTTTAACTAAAACTAACTTACCTGCAGTTATATCTTTTGGTTTGTCTGGATATTTGACATCAATGCAAACTTCGAATACAAAATCTGTTTGACGAGAAACAGTGCGCTTCTGAAAGTTGCAATACAAAAAATTATAAGTATTGCGTTCTTAACTGAATTTTTTTACACGTTCTACAAGTTAAAGAACAAAGTTTTAAGGCGTCTATTTCTATGATGGAACTATCTTAGTTCCATCATCAAATCGTCTTCTGTTACATAGTTGTCCAAATATTCAAAGCAATTGGCAATATACTCGTACGCCACAAGCAATCGTGCAGGTTCCCCTAGTCACCTACCCATTCGTCACCATAGCAGTAGATACTACATATTTAGCACAAATACAGGTCAATTTACTCTAGAAGGTTAAAACGATATCAAAAGTGATGAACTCGTAGTATCGCATGATAATGACTCTTTATATACATTACGAAGTTTTTTTAAGGAAAACGATACATACCGTTACGTTGGGGAAAATCGCATACATTTTGGTGATGGTGACAGCAGCCAAGCATTTGTAAAGCTTTACTTTGTTTGCAAAAGGAGCGCTGACTGCTAATTCTGTTGAAAAGCAAATAAATGTGAAATATATTTTATAAAAAGCTAGACTACGCTAACACTTCCCCGCGCGAAAGGAATCTTTATTTACCTTAAAAGGGCTGTAAAGCTAGTGATAGGGTAATTTCGCTTCAGAAATATTTTTTTCATCTGAATATTGTATAATTTACTTACCGTTACATCCATTATTGTCATAATCTTGGAGCGCAGCGAGGCTGTAACCAAAAGATGCTAGATTTTTTTCACTTGGCTTAATTTTCTGCAACCATCTAAAAGGTTTATCGCTTAATATAGCAGCACCAGAATAGATGTAGACTGCGCCATCGTCTTCATAAGGAGCTCCTATTGCTATTTCTAGAAACCAAAAAAAAATGCGTTTTTCTTCATATTATGTTTATAAAGGAAACAGGCAAAGTTTTTTACAAATTCCAATAGATTCCGATAGATTTAAACCGTGGAAGAGCAATGCAGCAATACAATTTATTTTTAAGTAGGGGTATACAGGATCACCTATGCTGAGCACATCACTGAAGTTTTAAGAACCTTTACAGTGTTATTTTTTTATGTTAGAGGGGGCAGACGAGCAGACAATACACAATGTGGTAGCTCGCAAATTGTTGTCTGCTGTCTACGGTGAGTACCTGTATAAGCCGGTAGGAAAAACTGTCTTGTCGGCTTTCCCATTACCTCCATGATGGGTTTTTAGAGCCACAACTCTAAAATAGTTTAAGAAGCAAATAGCAACAATAGGTTGTTTGCCTCCAGTGCTTTTCTTTTAAGTCGACCAATAATTATAGATTAAATACATTTATAAAAGTTTTATATGTTGTGGCATGAAACGGATGAATCTGACAAAAGAAAAGTCGCAAATAAACAAACCCAAAGTAGTAAGCAAAATATACCCACCATCTTTCTTATCACCGTTTAAGTCACCAAGACTTATTATTGTACTGCCAAACATTGAGCCATGTTTTTGACCAACTATTTTGATTCGGTATTCGGGTGGATCCTGCAACAACGCATCATTCAAACTTATTATACTGTATGGATTATAAATTCATTCTTGAACATTTTATTTTGTTTTGTATCCAATGGTTAAACTACTACGTTAAAATGAATTCTGACAGAACTGTTTACACTTTAAAATTATAATAATAATAAAAGTAATAACTCGTAATGAGTACATAATTTTAACATATTTTTGGATTTATATCTGAGAAAATAAGGCAAAGTAAGTTAAAGTAGTTATTACTTTTATCCCATACAAAGATATTTAAATGTGTATTCTAATACTCGATTAGTACTTAAAATTTAAGGCAGAACTAATTTATCTTTGAAAAAATGGTCCGACTGTGTGTAGAAAAAAAAAACTCCCTGACGGTAAAATACTACTAATTTCTTAATGAGTATCTATGAAAAATAAACATATATTGGTACTTACGCCTTTCTTTTTAAATTCATACACATAAACAGCCCCAATGTTGTAATCAGATTGCAAGGCGTACGTCGGTGCGCCCACTAACAAATCATCTCCTTTACCGAGTTCATTTATATTCGCAACGCACAGTACTGCACCAAACATTGATCCTACATCGTCTACATCTTCGCCTTTTTTCAGTAGCAATGGCTTATCAAAATTATTGTTTTTATCTTGAATATAAAAATAGACCTGAAAAATTAAGATGTTTTATTCCAACTGCAAAATTGACTCCGTATGTTTTATTTGACTCCGTATTTTTTACATATTTTTTTTTTTTTTTTTTTTCTTTATAAAAGACAACGCCCGCATTAGGAATAAATCCTGTGTCGCGGGGGACTTTACAAACATACATGAAACGGACACAAAGAACACCCAGACTCAGAACAACAATTTGTGGATCACACAAAGTGTCGTCCCATGTGGGGTTTGAACCCACAACACTCAGCGTAGTAGGAAGCGGCGTGGCGACCGCTTAAACCACTACGCCATCCGTGCAGTCAAACTAATCTAGTCAAATATGTATGTGTGATCCACTTTGTCTCGAAAGTAAATTAGATATTTTTAAAACATTGTGGATGATGGATTGTGAATGAACTTCAAACGGTAAACTTTAATAATATGGAGTGGCCAGCACGCAACCCGATCGAGCATGCTTGGGATGAGGCAACAACGAAACCCCCGTCCAAGCTTCTAGAGGTAAATAGTTATTAGGAAATGAATCCTGCGATTGCCTAATAGGCCATTGGCCTGTCCTTAGAAAGGCGGTTTTAGCCAACTATGCCACGCTGGCCAGATGGGTGGGTATAGTGTTTGTGTCAAGATTTTCTTCTCTTTGCAGTGCTGTTGTCCTACGTAGTTTGATCCCTTGGTCGTCTCTTACGACACCCACGGGATGAATAGGGGTGGTGACACTCCGTATTCTTAATCCGTAACCACACGGTATCCCTAATGTAATAACTATTTTATTTATTTATTATATTTCATTAGTATTATTTACATTGTTATAACTTGGAGCACAATAATACAAAAATAATAATAGCAGCACAAAGTACCAACATATCACAAAGTTTTAAAGTTGGGGAAAAATATGGTTATTTACTATTTTAGTTTAAAGATGTGATGGATACTTCCTGACTAGTGGGTAAAACGAACAGAGTATTTCAATTAGAACCAAAGGCAATTTAAAACGCTTAAAAGAAAATCGTGTTTTATTATATCACTAGCTGACCCGCGCAACTTCGTCTGCGTCCCTCAATAGTTATAAATTTTCTCCGTTTTCGAAATATTCTTCATTGGTGCTCCTATTGATCTTAGCGTGATGATATATAGCCTATAGCCTTCCTCGATAAATGGGCTATCTAACACTGAAAGAATTTTTCAAATCGGACCAGTAGTTCCTGAGATTAGCGCGTTCAAACAAACAAACAAACAAACTCTTCAGCTTTATAATATTAGTATAGATGAGAATAGTAAAGGTTAGGTGATTAATGCTCGATAAAAAATCTGTGCAACAATTCGCTACCTTACATTACAAAATATAAATGTCAAGGAACTTGATTGAACGCAACAAACTTGTATTAGAGTTTGTCTTTTTATAATATTTACTAACTAATAGAAGAGTAGTCTTAAGATTAATTAAAAAGGTAAAAGCACTTACTTGTCCGGCTCCAAAATTTCCATATGTTGTGCTCACAGCGTACGATATTTTATTTTCTACCAAAAAATAGCCTGCCGCTACACCATAGCCTGTAATAAGGTATTTACATTGCACTTATAATAATGCATTTTCTAATAAATTGCTTAGAGAAACGTTTGTAGGTCCTTCGTTAACAAGATCTTCCGACCAGGTCATGTTATCACAACTAGCCGCCCACAATGATTGATGTAAAAAAACGCGATGTGATCCCAGTATACGAGTAATTTAGTTTCCTGTTTGTTAGATATCTTTAAAAACCTATTTCGATTACAAAAAAAAACGAGTTATATAATTCGATAAAGAAGATTTTGACAAAGAAAGTGAGGAGAAATGTTAAGAAAGCTACAAGACATTATAATATGGTAAAAAAATCCGACGAATTGAGAACCTCCTCCTTTTTTTAAGTCGGTTAAAAATGAGACTAACTTCCTCTTGGTTCACTACTTTTGGTAGCAAACGAGTAAAACCATAATTCAAATTTCAACTTTATTTTTAATTATTAATTTTTAATTACTATCAACATAAAATTGGAACAGAGCAGCTCATTAAATTATAATAACTTTACGTAGTTACAAGAAATTACTATAATTAGTACAATAAATTTGTTTACTTTTTAATTAAACTAATGATAATCCGATGCTGCGTCTGATTTCAACGCTCACATTTTAGCACCGGAGGTAAATTTTTAGAGGACATACGTGGCGATAGTTAAATAAATAAAACTTACCGAAGTTATAAATGTTGCTTTCAATTTTGTCTATCCGCTTCAAAAGCCTTTTCTTTGAAGGTAAAACTGCAGCAATTCCTTTAAGATTAAAAAATGTTTCGAAATTTAAGTAAATTTTATATTAAATACATTTGTATACAGGTTTACATACCGGACGATATATAAGTACATTGATACAGAAAACGCATAAAGGGGTTATTTTGGAATATTTCCAACTATTTCAACAAGAATAATTTTTTCTGCAGTTTAAAAATAAGTTGATATTTGTCAATTAACTTAACTTGTCGACAACATATCGATATATCAAACATATGGAAGCAAACAAAAATGGAAAAGAACAAAGCATTAATTTTTTACATAAGTTCTACAACTAGTTTCATGAAGGACATGAACTTTTAAATAAGGTAATAAAACAAAATACATATGAAAATATACCCAAATCAAAAAGGAGATAATGAAAGAAATGGTAAAATTAGTTACCTGTGTTTTGAAACATGCCCGGAGAGCCTATAATTACAGAGTCATCTTTGCCGATATCCAAACTCCATCCCAAAGTATCCATTGATTTCTCTGTGAAATAAGCATAAGTAGGAAACATAATTAAAAAAATTAGTACTTGTCTAATTGATAATAACTGTATAAAGGCAGAAAGATATAAAGAACAGAATAATCTGAAATTCATACCTAACAACTAATTTAATTTGTAAAAAATGAATTCTGGTTTGCTTTAGTAGAAGTTTTCTGCTGCAGCAGTAGTATTATTCAACGATAGTAAAAACCAAAATAAAATGCATTTAAATAAAAACCGGAAAATGACCAACAACACCTCTGACAACTCAACGTAAGCTCTGCCTTGGACCTTGTGTCAAATAAGGATAACCAATGTTTTAATACTTTTAGGTATTTTTTCTAAAGTTGTTTTTTTAAGTAATACCCAGTTACGTGTTTTACTGTTCCAGGCATACGCACTATTCATAACTGAGTAAGCTGGTCAACTTATTGTGTATCATGTGACAAAAAAATTAAGACCAAAGTTATTCAGTCATTTCCGCAGCCAAAACAGAAACCCACAGCAAAGTTCCCCATCAAATAAACTGGCTGGTCATTTATCCATCTCTGCCATAAAAAAAGTGCGTGTTGTCAGCTCCGACGCACGACCGGAGTTTACTCTTTAAGAACGATTCAGCTGTACACAAGTATACAAGTGTGAAAGCCGCGAACGATAAGTTGCGTACAAAAAATGTAACGAGGTCGTTCGATCACTAAATTTTACTCTTCATATTTTTTTGATACCGGGCCTTATAAGAAAATCGATTCCTAAGGAGTAAACTCCAAAAATCGAGGAGGTCAACGTCTTTATTATATATTTTCAGTAGCGTTGGGTCTTTATCACGTCCATTGACCTTAAATATTTTTCATGACATTAGCATTTATAGCACTAGAAAGCATGGAGCCATCCATGCTTTCTAGTACTGACCGATAATGCTACGTCTCCCAAAAGTCATTTCTTACAGGTACCAAACTGATAACTTAACTAATTAAAAGATCCATTGAAATAATAAAGATAATAATAATATTGTACCACATTCACACAACGCCACCTAGTCCCAAACTAAGCAGAGCTTGTACTATGGGTACTAGACAACTGATATAAATACATATATACTTTTTTTTTGTAAATACATACTTATTATACATAGAAACACCCAGACCAAATCAAACATTAAATGATCATGCACATAAATGTTTGACTTGAGCGGGAATCGAACCCGCGACCTTTGGAATAGCATTCCGTTACACAAACCACTACGCCATTCGGTCGTCAAAAGAAAGAAAGAAAAGAAAGAAAGAGTATGAACTACTCACCCATATTCAGACAGTCTTTTTGCGTGACGGACTTAGTGAACATGGGATAATTAAAGAAATTTTCATTTTCTCTGCGCCTATAACAACGACCAAACGTTCCTGCAACTGCGCAATTGCGTGGATCTATTGAGCAGAAAAATGTAAGTTAACTGAAGTTAGTTTATTCTAAAAAAATATATATGAATCACAAATTGATCTCACACCTTTAAAAATTTAATAAATAAGGCTACACTACGTGTACAATATAATTAATCTGAAGAGTAAGAGATTAAACTAGCCAATCTCTGGAACCATCAGTCAGACTGTAATTATTCTTTTCGTACAATGTCTAGTATTTTTAGGAACAATGCAAAAAAACATCACATTCTGACTGTTAAGAGTGGCGCAAAACATTTTAATGTTCTGAGTTATAATCTAGTAAATAGAAGTTCTTTCCATATTTCCTTCTCATAACCCAATGCAAATAGGTAGCCACGAAATTCGTCATGAATAAATCTTATGCGGAAACTGAGTACATGCTTAAACTATCAGTACTATAAATATAGATACGTTAATGTACACACAAACACATAAACGTTCATACAACCTCGCACACCCACACACACACAATAGAAGACTATAATAAGCAGTAGGAGCCCCGGTACCCTAAACACAAGTTTAATCTTACCTTGGGTACCAGACTTCATCAAATAAAACTGTCAACCTGTATTTCCTTGTATTGTGTTCATTGGATTGTAACTTTTTAGTAATTAAATTAATTATATTTCAAATGTAATATAACGAGTCTCCAAATTATAGAATGTATGGTAATAGGAGAATTCCATTATTTTTAAACAAAATACACCTACTTACATCTAGTATATCTCGGCGTGCATGCCTGTAAAAAATTGAAAATAGAATGTCAGTTTAAAGAAGTTCATTAAAAAAAAAGCTAGGCTTTTTGTGAGTGTATCAAATGGACTACCTTTCTACTTCTTGAAAATAACATGGTAAGTAATATTAATAATTTAAAACATGCACGGCGTCCGCTGATCCCAAATTAGTCACAAACCGCACTTTTGTAATCAGACAGTAGAATCATTTGTCCTGGATGGGAATCGAATCCACGGTATCTAACTTCGTAATCGGGATCAATAACCATAACATCAACATTCAGACAAAATCTCAGTAAACAAGACCATATCAAGTAAAGTCAAATCTCTCAATATTACACTTACACCTGTGTGGGTTATATAAATTAATCTGTGTACCAAATTCCAGCTTAATCGGTTCAATAGAAAGGCTCAGAGATAATTTAAAGTAAACATTTACGTATGTACTCTTTAATTCTTATGAGCAGTGCTTCAAAAGCTCACCAATACGTATGTAGGAGCTGCCTCCAATGTAGCACCAAACCAGTAGTCATGTGTATAGGCTTCGGCTAAAACAATAATATACAATATTAATAAATATTTTTTCGAAAAAATTCCGTATTTTTTCAAAGTTCAATTGCAAATTATTTGCTTGTTTCGCCGTTAAAGCAATAGGAAAAGTGTACTCTGTCAGGAAAAGTGTATTTATAGACAAGGGTCTTTAGAATCTCGAAGCAAATAATAAAATTTTCATACATTGGATACCGCCAGATTAGAGAAGATAGCTATCATAAATAGAGATTAGAGTCTCCGAATGAAGCGCTGAAGAAAAGACGTTTACCGACATTTTCAGTGTTTACAATTTTTTTTTGTTTGATGCTTGTGGGAGGTCATAGACTACTTTTTACCGCGATAACGGACATGCACGCGGTCGGAGCAGCGGGCAAAGGCTAGTTTTGTAAAACAAAAGTCCTCATGGGACAACGATTAATACTGCTTTTTTATATAACGCTAAATCGCTTTGCAATACTTGCTAAAGTGAAGCAAAAAAACGAGTTTTTTAACTATGAATATATTTAAAACCAAGAACACGAAGCGCATGTTAGAAATGCTGGTTACACTCTGGTATTAACTGCCTTAGGACTTTAGGTGCATTGTTTTTTTACTTGTCAGACACGGTAATCCCAAACTAGGCAGAGCCTGTGCAATGGTAACCAGACTGCTGATGAGCATACTATATTTCTAAATCCATACATCAATACAAATAAATAAAATTGGAGTGTCTGTTTGTAATATTAAAATAACCGCTTTTTACTAAGTGCATATGTACTCGTATGTTTACACGGTACATATGCCAAAATAACATTTTTTACAATTTTTGTCTGTCTGTCTGTTTGTTCCGGGTAATCTCTGGAACGGCTGGATCGATTTCGACGGGACTTTCACTGGCAGATAGCTGATGACATAAGGAGTAACTTAGGCTACTTTTTTTAGACTAGCTTCTCCCCGTGGCGTTGCCCGCGGTTATAACAACAAACGCGGGTAACACCGCGGGTCTCAGCTAGTATTATAGATAAATAGCACCCGGAGACATAACAAAGGGTCATGCTCATCACATAATTACTTGTCCTGCGTGGGGATCGTACCCACGACCGAAGGCTTGGCAGTCAGGGTCACTACCCACTACCAACGGGCCCATCAGAAAATAATAAATTCTTACCTTCCCTAGTAATGTTTGCAGGAAGTTTGGAACACGACTTGTCGTTTATTTTCGTTAAATCACACTCGTAAACCTCTCCGATGTTATTCTCTCGTGGCGTACTTATCATCATTCTGTGAGAAAAATATTTGCATTGTACTCTACAGCGTCTGCGGAGTTCTTTACTACGGGTATATTAATTATAGTTATCAGTCATCCTCGTCTCCATATACTTATGTATTCACGTAAATATGTACTTATGGCGAGGGCTTAGATTATTAATTTTATATACACAATATTTTTTGTTTCTTTTTAAAAGACGACTCCCACACGCTACTCGCAGGGAACTTCACAAACATACAACACACACAACAACAACAGGACACAAAGAACACCCAGACTCTGCACAACGGTTCATGGATCACACAAAGTGTTGTCCCAGTAGCAGTAGACGTCGGCGAGGTGACCGCCTAATCCACTACAGATACGTATGATGTCGTCAGGTGAGTGCAGGTACAGAAGAGAAAAATCTGTGTGTTATATTTCACGATGATTGGTTGAAAAACTTTACGCACTTATATGTTGAGAGAAAATATATACCACTTACCGCTTGTTAAATTGGTCATAAGTAATACTAAACCCAAAGTATGAGTCCTCTCTTAAACTGTTTGGGGGTTGAAATGTTTCCGCTGAAAGCTCATGATAGAAATCCCACTGTTCTCCCCACACAACTTGCAGCAGTTGAAGAAATATTACTGCAAACAAAATAAAATGAGTGTGAGCACACAACAAAGTACCGGCCAAGTATTGAAGGTTCCCTACGATTTATTGCAAATGTAAGCGAAACTCTTTCATTTGATGTGTCACACGGTACAGTTATTTTTAATTTTAATTTAATATTATGATGTATTAATAAAATTTTAATATCATATTGTGTAATTATTATTAAGTAGCGTAGTGTGTTTTAATATCCTTCTTGTATATATTTTAACAAATTAATTAATCAATAAATAATTTAACACTCACATATCATTATTGTTTTCACTATATGCGTGCGTCTAACTCTTACAGTGTCAGTTACCACTGTGAAAAATTTCCCTTCTAAACAAGATACAATAACTGCAATCCGCTTCCTCCTCCACAAAACTGGCAAATATCCTCTACAGGCATGATCTGCTGTAAAATTACGGATTAAAAGTAGTTAATTATTCCATTAAATAAGTTATTGTTATATTCATTTTTCTGTATATTTCAGTTTTAATTTCGATCGGTTCTTATACGCGACCGCCTGTCTGACATCAGCCATGATTGACAGCTTTAACAGCAAAGGAAGAATGAACCATTTCAGAATTATGAATATGACAAAGAAGAAGATTATTAGAGTGGCAAAGATATCTGTCATAGTTGCAGCAGACATATTTTATGTGGGTTTTTTGTTCGGAAAACATACAGTGTATTTAACAAGGAATACAACATATTGTGTTGAAACTACTCACGATTTACATGTTTTCGCAGTTATACGTCTAAAAAGCCATAGGCACTAATAATTTGAAGAACCGTGCAATTATAATAAAGATAATTATGATAGGACAAACTAAAGAGACAAAAACTAAAATGGTTTAGTCATATTAACCCGAGAACTATCCATCTGTAAATATCCTGTTGTTAGTATGGTTTAGAGTTAAATAAATCTAATCGTAGAAAGCCAACCACCCCGGTTATTTCTCTCGCTGCTCTGCCAAAGAATGAGTTCTGTATATAGTTTGATGAACATTGAGGAGTGTCCAGATATGCATGATATCTAGAATCTAAGCTTTTTTTTTTAAGCTATGACAGCCCTCTCTTTGTTGCAGGCAGTTGGACATAGCGAATTTTATTTTCTTTTTATAATGATTATTTGTTAGGACTACGGAAATCTGTGTTCAATCGAACACATATACTGCTCAATATGTTCTCCACAAATCGTTCTGTGAAGATTCGATCTTTGATCTTTTTCTTCCACTCGCAGTTTACGCCAGCTATCTTCTTCAGGTCGTTTACTAGAATATCTCTACTTACTTTTTTTGTTACTTAGTACCAGTGGCAGTGCGGTAAATACAAGTACACGAAAGAACTAAATGAATAAAAAAACTTAACCAAATAATTGTAGGCATATTTGTTATACGTTCTTTCCTTCCTTCCTCCGAATCTTTTTCCCAAACTAGATTGATCGACTTTTGTACGAGTTGGATTAGATCAAGGTGAACCAGCGAAGGTGCCAATTCCTATTTATAGTATAATTATATTTGTTCTGATGTTGATATATTTGTTGGTAGTCACGGCAGATTTATGGAATCTTTGCGGAAATTTGATGCACCTTGGCATGTGCGTGTATTGACTGCACGCTTAGATTATTTTTGTCATTTTTTTTGTTTCTTTTTTTTTTTCTTTTGTATTATGCTTGTTTATTTTTGTAACCTCCACTTATTCTGAAGCTGTATTAATCCCGAAATCTGTGTACGGTAGTAATTGGAGGGCAGATTAAAAAATGTTATGAATATTTATAAGTAAGTTTATGCACTGGTCTGTATTCTGTAACAGTACCTTTTGTAAATAAATAAATAAATAACTGAACAAGATGTACGTGCATCAATACTCAGTACTTTTTGCTCCTATAATGTAAATAGATAACAATTTCAGCGCTATTAAAAAATGACGATAAGTACTTATAGAACATCGTAACATCAAAAATTAGGTCCGGTTGAAATAAACTCCCTGTGCTAACGGGTACGGGTACGGTAAATTTAGAGGGACGTCTCAGTTTTCCTAGTGGTGACGTCTACTCGTCGACCTGAGTACTTTTGTTGCGCTATACTTACACAACTAATATTAGCCAAGTAGTTCGGCTTGTCTCAGTTAAATTATTTTTAATTTTTAATTAGCCCCTAAAATGACTTCCATATTCGAAATTCTTTTTAACGGTTAGTTAACGATATACTTATGGGTGGAGTATGTTTGGGTGATATTAAGAATTTATATTTAGCATATTAAATAAAAGCATCAAATTCGTGTGTATGTTTGTGTGTGATATCGTGCTATCTTATACTAGTTTTAAATTTCGGAAACAAGTTACTCTAATCATCAATAGTTAATTTGGCAGATTATTTTTTTTTTCTTTTTTAAAAAGACAAGCCCGTACTAGGAATAAATCCTGTGTCGCGGGGGACTTTACAAACATACATGAAACGGACACAAAGACACCCAGACACACAAAGTGTCGACCCATGTGGGGATCGGACCCACAACACTCAGCGTAGTAGTAAGCGGCGTGGCGACCGCTTAAACCACTACGCTATCCGTGCAGTCAATCCGCCATCAGTCAAATATCTTAATTGTATCTAATTATCGCGACAGTTGCGAGCGGGCAGGTACTTCATTTATCCTTATAAAATAACTGATCCTATGACCTAGTGTATTAGCGTAACAATGTATTGTTAAAATATCAATTAATCAAATTGAGATAAGTTATGAACTGATTGAACTATTATTTACCGTTTTTACACTACGGCCTTGGATTGTACGAATGAATGGCAGAAGTCCGTCCCCCTTTTTTTTTCCGTGCGGAAATCCCCTCGGATACCACCTATCGGTGGCTTGTCGGACTCGAACCGACTAAAACCGCACGCCGTCTCGGGTACTAATAGCCGGGGAACCAGGTATACCCTAGAAAGAAAGTCCCTGGTGCCCCGACATACCTCGGGCCATCTACAACAACAGGTAGACGACCCCCCCCCCCCCCCCCCATGTGGGAACCCCATGTTCCCTCTGCTCCCTGGAAGCGAGCGCGCGTCCCCTGAGGAAGTCGTTGGGACAAGTTTAGCATTAGTCGTCTTACAATGTAATGATATTCGTCCGTGTGGTCCGTGTGGTGACGGATTAAGAATACAGAGTGTCACCACCCCTATTTATCCCGTGGGTGTAGTAAAAGGCGACTAAGAGAGCAAACTATGCAGGACAACAGCACTACAGAGAGAAAGAAAACTTGACACAAACCCTATATCAACCCGTCTGGCCAGCGTGGTGAAGCAGGCTAAAACCTCCTTTCTAAGGAGAGGCCTATGTCCAGCAGTGGACTAGTAAAGGCTGTTGATGATGATGATGATGATTATTCAAATAAATATGATTAAACTAAACCTGTAGTAGTAGAAGTTGCGTTTGTCGTCAACCCTGTCTAAAGAACTACACGTCATTTTTCTTATTTTTTTTAAACAATTTTATACAATAATAGCTGTATCCTGCCAAGCTTCGCTGTGGCACTTTGTGATTGTATTGATATAAAGTGAAGAACAAAACCGACGAGCAAAATAGATAAAAACAATCTTTGAAGCGGTTTGTAAATCGTGTCAAAATTTGAACTGAATCGGTGCAGAACTTTTTGAGTTTTTGTAGCGTATACAAACCAACCTAACATTTATATTTATTAGACTTGCAACGAATAGTATATTCGGCAGTATACCGAATACCGAATATTCGGCGAGGCCCCTGACCGAATAACCGAATATTAAGCAAAAGTATTCGGCTGGATTTTAGCGCCAAAAACTTGTACAGACGTGAATTAAATTATGTACCTGTTTTATGTACCAATGACTACTTAATAAATGATTATAAAAGAAATGAGAACCTTACCCTTCTAAATTTTGATTACCACAATAATTCAAATACATAGAATCCTCCATTTTTCCAATTCAGAAGATGATTATGTACCTGTGTTATGCACCAATGACTACTTAAATGATTATAACAGAAATAAAAATATGAATATATACGTAATCAATCGTTTTTAATTTTTCATTTTACCAATTATTTCTCAATGACAAAATATATTATTTAAGTATTCGGTATTCGGCCGAATAATATGTAGATATTCGGTATTCGGCCGAATATAATAAAAGCAACCGAATAGGCCGAATACCGAATAGTAACCGAATATTCGTTGCAAGTCTAATATTTATATACATATAAAGATTGTTTTAGATCGACCCTAAACTTTATTAGATTCCGATGGCTAGCAAGGTTTAATGTAAATGTTATCTTACAGACTACTCAACAGTCACTCATAAAAAGATAATGGTAGTTTTTGACCAATGTTCAATTTCTTAATTTCCTACTTTACTTTTTACTAATTTAGTATCATAATAAGCTTTCCATCAAAAAACGCTTTACTACGTCTATACTTTTAAGCCGCCCTCAAACTAAATACTAAATTTTTTTTGGTGCCCAACTCCCCACGACCGACAGTTATTTCGTACTCGAACCGACTAAAAACCGCACGCCACTGCTATCTGGAGTACCACTAGCCGCGCTGCGCATCTTGGGCCTGGACGAATCTGTAACGATGTCCGCCTTGTAATCTGGGTGAAGACGGGGTGCAACGTGGACAACATCAGGGTCTGCACCATCCGCCCCGATCCAAGAGGGCTTGGCGCTGTGTGGATCAGCTGTCCCGGCTGGTCGGCCAAAGTTTTGAGCGACGCCGGCAAACTGCTCAAAGGTTCTGTAAATGCATCACAGTCCTGGCGGCGAGACCGATGAGCTGTTTCGAATGCCTGGCTTCGGGACACACTCGCGTCAAGTGTCAAAGTTGTTTGGTAAAAGTAAAAACAAAAAAAAAAGGTGTAACCTAGAAAGGAACTCCCAGGTACACCGACGGACCCCAGGCCAACTACGCCAAATAATAGCTACTAAGGCCCAAATGTATTTACTTTTAAATTGTAAGACTTCGAAGATTAAAATGTTCTGTCAATCCTTTAGTTTTTGGACTATGTGATATCGTGTAATAAGCTAAGCACGTATTCATTGGTTCTCAACAGAAATATTTAACCTAGTTATTATTAAGGAATTAAGTCCTCAAAGGAGGAAGGATAATTGGAACCACTTATCGGTTTACAATGAACTACATTGACCATTACGAAGTCTCAAATCCTTATTTACAATGCAATCCATTCGTATAAATGTGTACACAACTTACGTACGTTAATTAATCTAAAATTACTGGAAAATTCTACTTAACATTTTAAATGTTTTAAGTTTTAAACATACTAACACAGGCACAGGCTAGTCAGAAATAAATAAATAATAACACAAGTAAGTATACTAAGGTGTGTATGTTGTTGTCAATAACGGTATAGCAATTTGTCCTCTGATTAACTATTGCATTAATTACCTACTAGCTTTTGCCCGCGGCTCCGCCTGCGCCTGTCGGTTATCGCAGTAAAAAGTAGCCTATGTCTTTCCTCAAGAATCAAAGTATCTCTATACCAAATTTCGTCTAAATCGGTTAAGCGGTTTAAGCCTTCATATGCTCCTTTAGTACTTAACTTTAGGAGGAAAATAGTCCACTGTTTCCAAGTACATGACAATAATCTTTATTATGGTTTATTAATTATTATAAACACGCCAACAGTATACATATACAACATTCTTTAAAATCACTTCAATATCGAGGATAGTTCTTATATGTAGACCAATTAAAAGCATAGCATACATCACTATATAGACACACATTCAAGGAGTAGCAAGATCAAGATGGTTGGTTAAAAAAGATACCTTTGCAAGGTCTGTAAATATTTGTAAAGACTACAAGCGATAGGAGGTGCTAATCATCTATGCAATAATTTACACTCAAAAATAATCAAAAATTAATCAATTTATAATGTTTGATTCTGAAGAACGTAATGGAAACGTACGATTTACGTTACGTAAACGTTAACTGAATATATAAAAATGTTAAGATGGTTTGTGTACGTTTCAATAACTCAAAAAGTTGACCATAAATTGAGCTCAAATATTCGACCCGCTTCGAAGATGATTTTTATAAGTTTTTCGCGTTATATTTGTTTTACATTTCTCATCAATGCAAGTACAATATGCCACAGAAAAACTTGGCAGGGTAAAGCTAGTTTTACATATTAATCGAGATTGGTGATTTAGTCAATCATGCCACAACATAATAAATCAACTTGATGTTAAATTTTTATTACTTTACTTCTCACTTACAGAGACGAAGAACTTGCAAAACAGTTTTGACTTATGGTTTTAAACTGATATAATTATATATCCCTAATAATGAATCTTGTTATGAAATATCATATTTTAAGTTAAATCATCATCAACAGCCTTTAACAGTCCATTGCTGGACATAAGCGTCTCCATAGAAAGGAGGTTTAAGTCGAAAAACACTCATAAATTAACATCAAAAAAATAATTTTACCAAAAAACTATTACCGAAAAGCTTGAGATCACAGTCACAATCGTTTTTAAAGATCTTTTGCCTATTATTAACAAGATAAATCGTTTTTAACAGAATGTTGTTCTAACATTACACATACATATAATAGGTTGAATTTACTTACAGTTCATCATGTATGTCCACTAACCACACCAATAATGACTTGTATGTAATGTGTTGTGGCTTTTAAAGACGATAATATAATGCGTAAAGGAAACTCAGTAAACATAATTAGGCTTACTACGTACCTACCTACAGTTCACAACAGTATTTTTATGGCTTAGTGGGCAAACGAGCATACGGTTCACCTGATGTTAAGTAACTACCGCCGCCGATGGACATCTGCAAATCAAGAGCCACAACTGCGTTGCCACCCTCTGAGGAAGAAAATCAGGGGGAGGGGTGGTACGGGCTTCGCTTACCACACTCGCTCCATGAAAAACGACAAAATAATGATTTCTTGGAACTCTGGGAACATTGGTGTCCAAGCATGGCTTGCCCACGTTTCTAACATTTTTAAAAACTTTTATTAGCTTGACATCTACCTGTTTATTATCTATCTATGTAAGATAATCTTTAAACGATGTTTTCGCTAAATTAAAGACATCAGATTTCCTTCAAAATTTCGCAAACGTAAGAAGAAAATGTTATAATATTAGGGTCATCAGAATAAAAGAAAGCTACTTACATCAGAAAATTTTATTTTTTAACCGTGCTAAATTATTAAGTGGTGTGTTTTTGTCGGTAATTTATTATTTTTGATACGTTAGTTAGTTACAATGAGATCATATGCACGATACATTTAATTGAATTAATTAATCGGGTGAATCGGGTTTATCCCACGCGCTTAAATAGCGTAAACATTTATTGACACGTACCGAGAAGTTCCTCTATTTCCATTTCTTGATAATTAGCTCAATTTTCGGTATATTTTCTTTATTTCTATAATTCACGGTCCCTTTAAACTCCTGTCGTATTATTATAGAAGAGTGGGTTGACTAAATACATAAACACATTTCCATTCACACATTAACGTGCAAATATCGTCGAAAATCCATTTTGTGTTCTGCTCTATTTCTTTGAAGCAGATTTTACGGCTTTAGGCCAATATTTCTCTAACCACAAAGTCGTTACTACTCTACTACACACGCGCAGTGTTTGTTGCCTTAATGCGTCTCAGACGGTTTTGAACTGTAGCAGGATTTCTAAGCAAGACGTCAAGCTTCAGTGACGTATTATCGTCGGATTTTCAGTACTTAACGCACAAAATATACGTAGAAAATCTGATTGTAGCAAATTGTTATTGTTCATAATTTTTAAAGTTAACAGTCCAAAATCATAAATTCAATTGTGTTACTTGTATGAACGTTATTTTTTTTTGGAAGGGGTCACAGGTGAGAGGATCGAAGCCAAAGCGCTACCAAACTGAAAAGATTTTAAAGGTTAAAGATAAATTTATTTCTCACAAAAATTCACTTACATGTGAAGTTAGCACTTAATTACGCATTTAAATTAGTACTTACACAATTCTTTTGTTCTAAATAACTAAGTAATGATTACAAATCAAGTGCTAACAATAAATCATCATCTGCCCACCCTTATCCCAATTTTATTTGGGGTCGGCGCAGTAAGTTTGATTCTACCATTTTACTCTATCAGGACTGGAGAAAACGCCGATTTCGCAGAATATGTATTCAGTTTTAGCTCTGATTATTTTCAAGCCAACTTTCTCCAGCCTTTTTTGCCATTTTCCAGTATGCTCTGGAGCTCACCCCCGTCTTCACCGACCTGTTGGTACATTAACTATTGCACCTAGGTGCCTCCTCCTGTATTTAAGATGTCAGAGCATCATGGGCTTAGAGCCGATCCTTAGCGCAAGCCTACAGAGACACTGTATTGATCAGTGTTTCCTGTGACCGACCTTATATGAGTGCTAGACTCTCTGTACATAGTACGAATCAGTTCTACATACTTAACAGGCACTCTTTCTTCTTTCAATGCCCACCACAAAACCTCTCGGGGTACCCTATCATTTGCCTTTTCGAGGTCCACAAACACTATATGTGAGTTTTTGTGCGCACTCCTGTATTTCACACATAGTTGGCATCTGTTGTCCCGCGTCCTGACCTAAACCCAAATTGACTTTGGGTTATCTCACTCTCATCTATTATTCTTCTCTCAACTCTCTCAACAACAACAACCAGACTTTCATAGTAAATGACATGAGCTTTATTCCTCGATAGTCGTTGCATTCCTGACCATCCCCTTTATTTAAAAAAATGGGTACGTGTTGGGTTTGACATCATTCCTTTGGGACTACCTCTTCATGCAACAAAATATTTAAGAATGGAGTCAGTCATTCATGTCCGTCTTCTCCCAGTAACTTGCACTGGTATACCGTCGGGGCCAACTGCTTTTCCATTTTTCATACTTCTTACTGCCAGTCTGACTACTCATACTACTCTTACTCAAAAACTTCCATTTAACTTTTATTGATAGGGTTAATCATAAAATTTTATTATTCAAACTTCGTGCTCTCGGTGTTACTAAATCAACTCTACGCTGGTGTAGTTCCTATCTCAACAACAGGCCATCCTCAGTTGCCGTTGATGGCAGCCAGTCTGAGCCATATTTTGCTACATCCGGTATACCACAGGGTTCCAATTCGGGACCCCTATTTTTTAATATATTCATCAATGATATATCGCAAGTGTTCATACATTCAACACCGTATCTTTTCGCATATGACTTAAAATTGACCCGTATAATTTTAAAAGAATCAGATGTAAGTTTACTTCAGGCTGACCTTGATAATTTAAATCAATGGTGTCTCAGTAACAAAATGAATTTAAACTGTGCCAAATGTTACCACATTAAATTCACCAGAAAACGCAACAAAATCAAATCTGAGTACAACATTCGAGGAGACAAATTAAAAGAAGTAACCACTATCAGAGACTTAGGAATACATTTGGACAGTCAACTTAACTTTATACATCATTATGATACGATAACTAACTCAGCATATCGAGCCTTGGGTTTTGTACTACGTTCCTCGAATGAATTTAAAAAGCCATCTACCATGATCATTTTATACAATAGCTATGTACGAAGTCATTTGGAATTTTGCAGCACGGTATGGAACCCAATGTACCAAGTTCACATAAATAAAATAGAACAAATCCAAAAGAGACTAGTCCGACATCTAGCTTACCGTTTTGGGGTTAGGAACTTAACTACTTATGAGGATAAACTAACGCACTTCAACCTTATATCTCTTAGGGACCGTCGTACTATCTTTGATCTAGTATTCTTATACAAACTGTTCCATAACTACATTGACTGTCCAGACCTCCTCAGTAAGGTCGGTATAGGTGTTCCAACTAGAATCCCACGCTACCCTCGCCCGCTATTTAGGGTCCCACGAGCCCGGACGAATTTAGGGAAGCAAGCACCAATTGCTAGGATGACTCGCGAATATGACACCATTTCAGTTGCTTCGGAGGACATAGACATCTTTTCTAATAGTCTGGGTAAATTAAAAAAAATGTTTCCACTCATATATTGAACACTGTGTGATTGTTGACGTACCTCCTTACCATTTAAATTTTGAATTTTGACTGCTGCTAATTTACAATTTATAATCTACAATTGTTTGCATAATTGATTGTTATAATTCTTTAATTGTTTTTTTTTCTTATTTACAAAGGCCATTTGTGGCCACTGTCTTTAATCTTTTTTTGTAATGTCCATGTTGTGGTCTCCTATAATTGAGGAAGCACAAGACTTAAAATTTTATTGGCTTTATAACTAGCATGTAAGGTGTATTTCTTGTTGGAGATTCAATAAAATAAAATAAAAAATAAAATAAAATTACCAGCAATCTGTTGCGATACTACGGGTTCCCCGAGCACCACTTTACAGTCTCTGACACAGACAAACTTTTTTCTTTTTATGAGAAAATATTTAATGTGTATCGAGTGGCTAATACTCTTATTAGTGATAAGATGTTCGTGACGTTTTTGGAACCATGTGTTACCTTCTGCTAGGTGAAACGAAGAGGAAAACTGCAGTAGGGACTCACCATCATTGTTTCTACTTCCGAACCCCCTTCCTCTATGCACTCTTTCATAATCATAATTCGATGTTCCCACACGCCCATTGAACTCCAGCTATCAAAAGTTCTTCACTTTCAGGGATACCTATCATATCATCATCATCATCATCAACAGCCTTTAATAGTCCACTGCTGGACATAAGCCTCTCCTTAGAAAGGAGGTATTGGCCTACTATACCACGCTGGCCAGACGGGTTGGTATAGGGTTTGTGTCAAGTTTTCCTTTTCTCTGCAGTGCTGTTGTTCTGCGTAGTTTTTTCCCGTAGTCGGCTCTTACGACACCCACGGGATGAATAGGGGTGGTGACACTCTGTATTCTTAATCCGTCACCACACGGACACTTTGCATATATATGGCCGGCGCCCTGCCTGCCGCAAGCCCTTCTTGGGAATGTTGTCGTTTATATCCAACCAATATCCAGCGGTTGGAGAGAGTTCGTGTTGGTTGAAGAGGCCAGCAGGACAAGTCCTGCTGGCCTCTTCATAGACTGATAACACGGTTGGTTAGAGTGGTTGGACCAACACGGACCAACACGGACTGTATATACGAGTATACTGTCTGTTGACAAACAGTCCGAAATCCCTTATATTCAAACCGCCGTAAGCTTAGCTCTCCCATACAACAACCAACACGTTGGTAAAAACTTGGAACACATCTTCAATTGTATTTACTGTTTTATGAAGGAAAACCATGCCAACGTAAAGAATGATGTCAGCTTTATTGACGTCACTCTTTTCAAAAACAACCTAGACAATAATAATGATTTAATAAAATAATTTATCGTAAATGTAATTTACCTGTTTATTCCATATTTGTGTCTTTATGAAATAACTAGACCAACAATGTTAATATTGAGGTATGTTTCATGTCTTTATAAATAGAAAACTATTTATTACTATTTAAAAATATTTTAACTACACATTAGAAAACAAAAAGGTTAATTTCTAACTTATATTACAATGTACTTCATCATCATCATCATCAACAGCCTTTAATAGTCCACTGCTGGACATA